GAACTGCTCAACCTTTCATTATCGGTCATGATTATGAATTCATTTCCAGTTCTTACACTTACAGATGTAAATTCCTAACTCAGTGATAAATTGTGCTGCCAAAAAAATGGATTCGTGATCAGTGAAATGACTTGATAAGTTGTCAGAGCTGCGTCAAATTAGAATTCATCCTTTCTGCACCTGTTCATTAGGAGAAGGGTTCAGAGCAACTTCAAGGATTGATTGCAAACTTACATTACTGTGATGTATTCATAGTCTCATCAAAACTCTACCATGATAATGCGTTTTTGAACATCCAATAAGGGGGAAGGAATTCACATAATACATTCAGTTTATGGTCCCACTACACACAAAATGTAGTTACTTTGACCTTTTGACACACTATGAAAAAGACTTGCCTACATTTAAATGAAAACTTTTATATGTCATTACCTATGCCATTACTAATGAAAATATGATTAAAATGATACAAAGTTTATTGAAGTAAGATGGTAAAGCTGTGAATGTCTTTGAAAATCACAATTTTATATTTTTTAAATATTTTAAGCGGTAAATTAAACAAATCTCACTACATATTCAGCAGTTAAGAACAAATAAATGTTTCCACATTTACTTGAACACCGACAAACTGACAAATATCTATCAAAGAGAACCAAATTAGTTAGCAAGTCAGTTTGGGATTTTGTATATGTGATATGAAGTTAAATTCCATTCAGTCCTTGTGCAGATGGGTTGTGATGCATCCAAAACATGTAAAATCAGTTTTGATCAAGTTTCAGTAAATCAAACTCCATTGTTAACTGAATATATATTTCCCACAAATCATCCTGTAGGGCTTTCATCATTCTGAACCTCATAATATTAACCATAAATTTGCAGTCTAGACAAGCAGTCAGACAACCCATTAGTACCATACAGTCATAGAGGTGATTACTTTTATCTCTACAGAATTGAATCCAGCTGATTCCAAGAAATGCTAATATTTTAGAATTTGGACATTTAGAAACAAGCAGCTTTTTAAATTAGAAATGCCACTGAAAAGTATACTGAACTGGAAAACCAGTCACCAATTGTAATTCCGAATACTATATTGTCCTGTTATAAATATTTTTAACAAGATATTGAACCAGCAGTGCAATCTGCAATTTTCCCAACTACAAAGCAATTGTTGGAACCAAATAGAATGAATCAAGCAGTTGAAAGGAATGGAGATTGGGGGAAAAACAAATCAGTATTTGTTGTTGAATACAAGCTCCAAACAAATTTTGCTGATGAATGTCAACCTTTATTTCAGTGTACCCTGGTGACACAAGAACACATCTCAACATGCCATCAATCTGAAAATACTCTGGTAAAAATTGCATCCTGTGTTAAGTTCATTAACACATCACTGAAAATTCCACCCACAGTTGATAACTAAAGACACCCACTAGTTTGCAAGAGTGATTTCTTCTTCCGCCACGCACTAGCCAGCTTGTAGTTTTGGACTGCCAGTAAGTGCAATTTTAGCTTTACTTAACATAAAATATTGTAATAAAGCTGGCATCCTGTTGACAGTCAGTTTAATGCTGGAATCTGCAGGCCAGCAACTAGACCAATCATTGTGATAAACTCACTGAGGAGCCACACCAACAGACTAGTTGATGTCTAACTATCTATCTTTAAAAATATAATTTTTTTAAAGTTCAAATACATCACTAGGCACAATTTGTTGCCCAGTGAATAGATATCTTACACTGGGTAGTAGGTGGGAGATCTGGAAGAAACAAATAGAGTAAACAAGAGAAGATTAAACAAACTGAGAATTGGAAGATTTATTTCCTTTTCCTTAATCTTGAAGGTTTTAAACTTTGGAAGTTCAAAGATTGGTGAGATGCTGCTGCACATGCAGGAGTATTGGGGTGCAAGTGTAGTTCTCATGTTATATATGTGAAGCACTGAACATAGGTGAGCTGTTTCTCCGCAGACTAGAGGAAGAATTCTAGCCACCAGGCAAAAGAAATGTGCTCGGTGGCTAGAATTGACACAAGAGATGCCGCAATTTGGTTGGGGTGTCTTAAGAGAAAAATAACCCCCCTTTTCAAAAATGCAACCTCTTTAGCTCTAATTAAAATTAACAATTATGGAAAAACTAAATGTAAATGTTAACGTAAATTACAAGCCTGCCTTTTGTACATAAAATACAAGATGTTTTTCTAGCTATCTAATCAAAAGCAATGGTTTGTAATAGTGGTTGTATTATGGGGTTCAGCAGGTGCAGAACTTACATGGGATCTTTGATGTCCACCTGAACAGGCAAATGGGACTTTGGTTTAATGTCACATCCAAAGGACGAGATGTTAAACTGAGGTCCCGTCTGCCTGTTCAGATGGACATTAAAGAAACCATAACACTATTCGAAAAGAGAAAAAAAGATTCACCTCCAATTTTCTGGCCAGCAATCCACCAAATAAAATTGGTCAATCACTCCATTGCTGTTTGTGGAACATACCTGTGCACAACTGGCTACCAAGTTCTGCCCCAAAATAACCAGTCAAAAAAACTACTTTACAGTGTATCACGTAAAGCGCTTTGAGCCATCTCAATGACATGATAAGACGCTATGTCAAATGCAAGGATTATTATTATTAGGAGGAACTAATCCACTTACTGCCTGAAGCGATGATTGAAGCACAGAGTGTAGATCCATTCAGGAGGAAGCTACACCTTCACAGGGAATCAAATAACACCAATAACAACATTTATCAAGACCAATAAAAAGAATTTTAAATCACCTACCTATTATGCTTGACCGCTTATTATCATAATTTTGGGAGGAGTGAAGGAGTAACCTGTATGTCATAGGATTAAATGCTTCCAATTACCACAATTATAATAATAATCCTTGCATTTGATATAGCGCCTTACTTTGTCCAGATGTCTCAAAGTGCTTCACAGGATATACTGTAAAGTGGATTTACTGTGTATATTGTGGGTGAAACGAGGCAGCCAATTGCACAAAACAGTGCCCCACAAATAGCCAATTTTATTTGAGGGATTTTGTTGGCCAGGACACCGGAAGAAACTTCCTTTTTTCAAATAGTGCCGTGGGATCTTTAACGTCCACCTAAACAGACAGATGAGACCTCGGTTTAACAGACAATGCAACACACCCCCAGTAATGCATTGGAGTGTCAGCTTAGACTATGTAATTCCATAGTCTGACGTGAACCGTGAACCCAGAACTTTGTGAGCACTGATTGAGGCTGATACACCATAATAATTCCATACGCACACACACACACACACACACACGTGTGATTCACTGAGGAAATAAATCGTCTGGCCAGTTAATTTTCAACTAGTAGAGCTGGTAATGGATATGACCTAAGATCCTATAACATCATCAGCATTACTTGTGTTTCAAATAATTATCTACAGTAATATAATTACACACATGGTAAAATTGATCCTTGAAGTCACTCAACCAGCCACTACAAACATCAGCTTGTCAAGCATCTGAGTGAAAGCCATAAAGTAATTTCTGAAAATCATACAGACTTGCTACAGTAGGTAGATAAACACCTCATTAATCCTACATTAGTTTATTACTTAATGAAAGTTTGTCCTTACTGTTCACAAACGCAGAGTAATAGCACCTTCTGTTGTCTTGCTAGCACTTTTTTTTGTCTTAGGAAGACACTAGAGGTGCTATTAATGCATCTGTGCAGAGCGAAATCAGGCCTCAATAAAGCAATTTCTCATTGACAGAGTATGAAGAATGATTAACAGACCATTTACTTTCTAGAAAAAACTGCAATTGCCTTTGGCCTAGCTCTGGAGGAGGTAAAGACAAAAAATTGGTACAAAGGCACAATTACAAATCTGATTGATAGAAGAGAGTGGAGATGTCACTCTGCTACGGCATTTACAGCAAAATAAAACACACTTTACTGAACAAAGTTAATGTGGCACACACAGGACAGTTTGGATCAACATTGTCACAATCTGCATGAGACAGCACTGTCAAAATGAGAGACACTGCTGCTGTTGATTTGCAAATTAGCCTTTCAAGCAAAACAGCAAGCAAGAAATTTGAGGTCTATTAATGCAACTGTTCATATTTGCTTGAGGATATTCTTGAACAGAATTATAAAGCTGATGAACCAATCGTGGAATTTCTTCCAGCATTAAAATACTACAGATTGAATGCTTCACTATATGAAGCTCAACTTTACAAAGGGCTGAATACAAAAGACCTGTTAGCTTTAGGCTAAAATGTGGTGTAAGCAATACCATTTTGCGCAGCAAGCTATACGAGTGCAGCATTCAGTCCTGCCACCTTGAATCTGAATTGAAGTAAATTAATAATATTATGCCTTTCTGATTACACAAAGGGTAAGGACAACGCTGTGGGACTAAATCATACTAATCAAACAATCCTCCCGGTGGGTGGGTGGTGGTGGGTGGGAGGGAGAAGAAGAGGAGGTAAGGAGGGAGTAAGAAGAAAACGTTTAAAAGTAAAATTTACAGGATTTTTGTCCAGAATAAGAAACCGAGCCATAATATTCCACAAGAATACCCCAAAAGAAATCTGCCACCTGGTTCAAATTTGGACAGGTTTATATAATCTCTAAGTGTTATTAACTCACAACCTGCTCAGAAGTATTCGGATAACACAGTGGTCTGAAATATTACATAATGTAATTGCTTTTTAACCTCTAGAATTAAATAAATGATAATAGATGTCTATTGTACCAAAATCAAATCTGTAAAGAAATTGCTTCCATGGATTTCAGCACTATCCACATACATTCAAATGTAAAGTGTACACAATAGCCCTGTGCAAATTTTACAAAAAATAAAGATTACTTTTTGTATCAACCCCAAATCTACAAGAAATATATAGATTTTAGTGGCGCAAATTAATCACACGTGCACACCAATGGAACCAAGGTGTAGAATTACATGAATGGTTTCACGAACACAATTTCTCATTAGGTTTTAATAAGTATACCAACCTGCATTTACTATTGCGTCAATTTTAAGTTTTGTTATATCGCCTCTGTAGAGTGAAACCTTATCACTCAGATTAGTATTTTGGGGGTCAGACACCTCTTCATCGTCATCATCTGCAAAGTAAAATGGATTAATCAGCCTTTTGGCATCAAATTCCCCAAACAAATAATTATCTTCAGTCAATAAAGGTCAGCAAACATGGTTAAGAAATTTGTTTGCCTCCTAGTGCCTCTTCTATGTCATAACAGCACAATCCCAATTTGTGACTACTGGGGCATGGTTTCATCAGAGGCATTTTCCTTCCAGTTTTTTTATTCATGTATGAACACTGGAAACATCAGCAAGCAAAATGATCATTGAGGGCATTGCAGCTAAACACAATCCTGTACTCACTGAACATCAACACACATGCACCTCCAGCGGGGAAGCCATTTAATCCAATTTGGTGTCAACAAACCAGCTGGATAGTTTAATCTTCAGTCTCTGCTGTTCAAATGAAGAGTTTTAGATTTGATCATCTCACCGGATAACTTGATTTTCACACATCTACTGCTATGTTAATTTGCTACATAGTATAGCTGGGAATCCCACCGTGACATTGATACATACACCTTCTGCCTGCCAAGTCACAGTACAGAACTGGGACTTCCTGCACCAAGAGAAAGAAAGTCCTCCTCCTGCCCATCAAAAACAGAATCGAAATTCTACAATCACATTTTAAAGCTTCTTGCTTAGAGTGTTTACTCCATTTTCACAAAACAGAAGGTCTTTTAGTGATGACAAAAGGGTCTCAGTCAGTTTGTACAGACTGATCACAATCACAACCAACAATTTTAAAAAAATAAACACACAATCTGGTTTGGCAAATAAAAATTGCATGTTTCCTGGAATGAATAATGACACAAGTATTATTAAAAGTATGGTATTTCTATGTGTGAACTACGTATGTGAGCAGTAAATAAAACATCAGAATTTAAACTAGAAGTGATAATTTCTGTTGATGCTTCATAATTTGTTTGCTCAATTTAAAGACGTTCCTATATTCTATGAGATTTGCTTCAGGTTTTAAAAGAATTATCCTGAGTGAATCCAATGCATTAAAGGCCAGTCTATGTTTTTTTAAAAAACTCACCCTGGTGTAATCTTTACTTTGAAATTTACATTAAAAGTTACATAAACAAACAATAATTCTTACAGTTCGCATAGCGCAGGGGTCATTTAAGTTACCACTGTTCACTTCGGAAGTTTAAAGATCACAGTGAGTAGGGAGGGGAGAGAGAGAGAGACGAGCAGGGCTTCCTTGAAGCTGAACTGGCTTGGCAACAGAATTGTCGGAATCAAGTCAACCCTCTTTGGTGATCTCAGTAGTTAAGAACTCGGTTGTATTGGATGCTCTTAAGCATGGTAGAACGATTTCCGCACAAGTGACACACCCAGCGGACAAAAAAAAGTAAATGACTCACAAAACTTGCAAAGAGAAAAAAAAACATTACACAACCACTTTTTTTTTTACTTTGACAAACCAACCTGCATGTTCTGCTGGGCTATCTTTAGGTTTTGCATCACCTCCTCCAGATTGAATCTCTTTATCTGCTGTCTTGGCATTTTCTTGAATAATATCCCCTTCCTCTTCTTTATCTGCAACAATAAATAGTTTTAATTCTGCATCATATACAGGTTTAATCCTACATAGTTTACTTGCTAAAAGTTATCAATAAAGACCATAAGTGTTAGTATCATTACTCATCCAGAAAGCACCTTTGTGGACTCAGTTTAACTTGAACTCCGCTAAGATCCGATTACATCTATTGGTGCAGTGGCAAATAGAATGGACAGACTGACCCAATGATATAAGGAAAGGGATTGTCATACAATCAGTCTTTTCTGAAGCATACAGGACCAAACTCATTTTCTCTTTCAATCCTGCTTGGAGTCTGGATGTGAATTTCTCTTTTCCATCATGTTTTGAAAACAATTTTTTTTTTGGCTCATCGCTATTATATTCTTATCCCTCATAGTGGTATTGCCAAAGAAGACATCAACTGGATATGTACAACAGATGAATTTTCCAGGCAAGGTATTTATGATGGTTTTCCCCATCGTCAATTATTTCTCTCGGATTTCCCGTTTCAGTACCTTTGTCCCTTTCTGAGTGCTTTGAGATGATAATGTTTGTTTATGCTCAGCCCTTAGTCATTGTTGGCAACAAAAACAAGTTTGTTTTGTTCAAGCTACTGAAGAGGCTGGGGCAGCTCATCCTTTGATTTTTTCTATTATGAGGCTATGTCTCTAAATAAATCTGGAAAGAATTATATTTAGAGTTTGGATGCATGATAGATTTCGTTAAGATTAGTGGCATTAAACACCTCTTCTATCTGAGAACTCCGACAGACTGGATATTGCAATCGTTTAATTACCTGTTTCCTGGGTTGAGTTACCCTTTGCTTAAAGCAGAGTGCACCATTATGCTCCCAGTAAGATGAGACAATTGCTTAGCGTTTGAAGGAGGGTAGCCTGGGGCAGCAGCTACTTGTCCTGATAGGGAGTTACACCAAAATTCAAAACATATGGAGGCATTACCAGGGAAGCTTATAAAGTTGACTGCATTTATATCACATGCAAAAAACCTGGCTCCTCACAGCACATTAGAGCTTCTTCAATTTTCTATTACAGAATTCTTTTAACCGTTGCGTCCTACTTTCATTAATACGTGGGACGTCCTCCTGACGTGAAAAGCGCTATACAAATGTAATTTTGTATTCTAATATTGTAGGAAGTGGCTTAAACTTGTAATAGTTAAAACAAGCTATTTTCTCCATAAATGCATTGTGACCGCCAGAAAGGTGGAAGCCAGACTAGATGGACCTTGGTCTTTTTCGTCTTGCATTTCTTATGTTCAATTGCAGACTTCTAGAATATGAAAATCAACACACTGGAATGCTAATACATTTTGCTGTACATAATAGATTAGTGTGTTGAGGAGTGGAAATAAGCATTAATATTCCTTTATGAAGATTTTTAATTTAAAATGTTTTATATTTGAAATTCTACCATGCATTTTTTTTAAAAAAAGGAAGCTACAACAAAAACAGTGGTTAAAACAGCTTCCATAGTAGTTTTAAAAGGAAATTAAACAAATATGTGTAATAGGAAAAATCTAAATGCAAATAGGGGAAAAAGGCAGGAGAGTGGATTAAATAGATTACGCATTCAGAGAGCTGACACGAGCATAATGGTGAAACGGCCTCCTTCTGTGGTGTAAAATTCTATAATTCTATTACAATACTAAAACAGAACTGACATTAGACAGACACTGGTGTTGCAAAGGATTACCAATTACAGACTAACTATTATGCAACATAAAAGGTTCTCATAATTTGCTAAATAGGAAAAAAACTGTTGCGATGGCCTCATTATCAGAACTATAAGCAATCAAGTTGTCTGAGTGCTATACATTGGCGGCGGGGGGGGAAATCAGAGTACACCATCGATTCTGTTGTCACTACAAAAATTGTACTCTGTCTACAACAACAGAGTTAAGTTTATAGAGCGCCTTTCACATTGGAAGAACGTCCCAAGGCCCTGGACAGTCAGGGGTCAGGACCCGAGCATGGGGGAGAGGTGGGGTAGGGATGAGGGAAGGCAACTGAAGGCACGATCGAAGAGGAGGGTCTTGAGACCGGCCTTGAAGGAGGAAAGGGAGGAAGCGAGGCGAAGGGAGTTCCAGAGAATGGGGGCACAGAGGCTGAAAGCCCGGCGACCGATGGTAGGGCGTGTCAGGTGGGAGACATGGAGCAGGCTGGAGCCCACTGAACGGAGTGAGTGGGCAGGTTGGTAGGGAATCAGCAGGTCAGAGAGATAGGAGGGGCAAAGCCATGGATGGCCTTGAAAGTGAGGAATCTTGAATTCGATCCTCTGAGGGATGGGGAGCCAGTGCAGTCGGGCGAGGGTGGGAGTGATGGGGTCACGGAGCCTGGTGCGCGAGAGTACACGAGTCTAAAACCTAACGTTTGGAATATTGACACGCCAGCTTATTTATCAGCATACACGCCAACCTTTAGAAGCAGGATTTTACAAGTTAACATAGTGTTTTGTAACGTACTAAATTGATTAATAACAGAACAACCCCTATTGTATTTTCCAACATGGTTACTTTGTATGCCACCTAGTGGTATGTTCATTGCATAAATAATCTACCGGCATGGTGCAGCATTTCATTTCTTATTTTACTGTACGTGATCTGTCTTACAAATAAAATATTCTAATTAGGAAATTCTTCAGATGGAAAATACAATGCTATTTTGCACCTAAAGAATTTCCGAATTAGAATATTTCATATATAAATAAAATATTTCCAGTCTATCACCAAATCAACTACTTTTTCAAAGCCACGAGTCAAAATGAAGCTTACATTCACAAATAATCAAACAGCGTTCATTTTAAAGCTGCTGTATATCCGAGAGAGATAAAAGGTTAAGAACTCCAAGTGCAACGCTGTATCAAGGATTTTTGATTTCTAACATATGATCAAAACTGGTAAGAAAATCACAAGGGTCTACGTTTGTTCCATAAGGATCTTCTAAAGACTTTTTTTTAATATTTGGCCTCTATGAAGAATGCACCTCTTAATTCGCACAAGCTACAACATCTCAAGCTAACTATTCTCAAAGAAGTCCACTCACCTGATAACTTAAACCCATAAACTCATACGAAAATCCTACTACTATGCTACAGGTACAGAATCAACTGGAATGCTCACGTGGAATAAGTAAGGGTATTAAGAGATCTGGAGAAAATGCATGAATATGATATTAAAAGGTCCATGATAACCAATTAAAATAGTGGAACAGGCTCAGTCGAATCTCCCTAATCTTGTTTTTAAGAACATGCTCTCATAGGGAATAGATAGAGCATGGAGTTGAGTAAAAATGTTTATTGCTTGGTTTAAACATAATAATAATCCTTGCATTTGATATAGCGGCTTATCACCTCTTTTAGACATCTCAAAGCTCTTCACAGAATATACTGTAAACTGAATTGACAGTATATTTTGTGGGCGAAACGCAGCAACCAATTGCGCACAGCAGTGCCCACAAACAGTCGTGGGTTTTAAGTAACCAATTTATTATCATTTTTGAAGGAAATATTACCCCCGGAAAAGCAATCCACCAATCGACTAAAAATCGGATTCCTACTTACTGCTAGAGAAACAGAGGCGTGTGGAGTAAGGAATTGCCCAACATTTTGCCTTGCCGGAAATCGAACCCAGGTCTCTCGCTTGCAAGTGGAGTCCTGTAGGACAGTGCTCTAACCACTGCGTTACAGGACTCCACAATATTATGCAAGCACAGATATGTTGTTCATCAGAAGATATGGATAAACATTCCAGATGGCCATAATGCTTTGTATTTTTAAACAGAATTTCCACCCATTCTCACACCCCTCCTTAGCCTCCCCATACCTCTCTGCTCCCTTCCCTCTCATTTATTTAGTTTGTGTGGCAGTTTAGCCACCATTGAACTATTTATTACATTTCATTGAAGCAAGGCAAATTAACAAAGTCATCTTTATAAGGAAGAAAATCTAATGAATATGTAGAAAGTTCAGTGTGGATTAAAAATAATTGAAACAATTTTCACAACGCCCATGTGAGATTAAACTGAGCGACTTCAACCACGTTCCCAATCTTTGCTTACCAATTCCTTCATCCTGTTCTTTTTCTTCTAGCTTCTGTTTCAGATGGAACTCTGTTGTAAAAGACCAAATTGGGAAGTTTTTTTTAAAAGGGGAAAATAAATAACTTTCATACAAATGATACTCCAAATATTTGGCCGACATAAAATTCTATTAGACAAAGTGATTGCCAGTTGTGATATTATGATACTCAGACCAAAAATGTCATGTGTTGAGTTAGCTATCCTGTCAGGTTGGACTATGATTGACCCTTGGAATGAAGGGAGGGAATGCCAGTGACACGGATGGCCTGATCTCAATAGACATCCTCCACCGGACATCTTGTGTGTCAAAATACCTTTGTATGGACGTAAAGCTGTTACAACATTCCTATGATGTTCTCCAATGATCTCAGATGAGTGGGTGTTCTGCAAGATCAAATGGGCCACAGGATCTTTAACATCCAACCTGGCATGTTCTTATGCTGGGCCCCCACTTTTGACACCCACTGAAGGTGATTTCAGGAACAGTGATTTGCATTTACAGTATAAATGCAGTTTGCACCAATTGCACTGGATTTGGACTCAAGATCTGTCAGGAATTCTGAATGGGCTATTTAATATTTATTAAATCATAAAATGATCATAAAAAATATCAAAAAACACGCAAATGCAGATCACACCAAAATTGGTCCTGTTTTACTCCACGGCAAACATTGAAAATAATGCAGAATGGTTCAGGATAAACCCTACTTCACAACAGTATATTGCTGGGAGCAATCAGCTGTGCTTACAGCAGTCTAACCACAGCAATAGTGACCAGAGAAATTTCTCACCCTTTGTAACCATACAAATACATAATAAATAATCCTTGCATTTGATAGAGCGTCTTATCACGTCTTCAAGATGTCTCAAAGCGCTTCACGGAATATACTGTAACATGAATTGACTGTATAGTTTGTGGGCAAAACGCAGCAGCAAGTTGCGCACAGCAATGTCCCACAAACAGTTGAGGATTGAGTGCCCAATTTATTATTATTGTTCTTTTAACATACAGTTAAATAAATGAATCCTGCAACATCCTTGTTGGGCTAATATTTAAATATTACAATATTTTGAAGTGCTGTGAAAAACATAATGATAACAAATGAAAGAAATTACATATTTCTACTGTGTACAGTTAATTGTATCATAATTGAAATGAAAAACACATTTGAAATGTGCTAAATGAGAAAAGCTGCATCATTGGTTCATAAACCATTAAAATTATCTCCTTGACCACCATAACATCTTCACCTTGCAATAATACTTTTTAAATGTTCTCATCTTTTAATTTGTTTTCTTTGAAATGTAAAGCCTTAAACAGCATCTCCATTTTGCCTTTTAGCTGCAGCATCTTAGCATTTCAACATTCAGAAACTTGAGAATAAAATACTAGACCTCAGTGAAAAGCACTTACTTTTTGCATCTTCTCTCCATACAGAAATATCCTTCAGGTTTACTAATCCATCCTCAAATGAATCTAGTGCTGTTGGGGAAATAGGAAAGACTATTTCAATATGAACATAAAACAAAATTAACATTTGTCTACAACTGCCAACATTGCCATGTCCAGATATGTGCAGAATTGAATATTTCCCATTTAAGATTGGGTTAGATTATTGTGGGCCCACACCATTCTCTAGAATTGAGAGAAAGAAGGAAATATACTTCTGTATTTGTTAAGAGTTCCATAAGAACAAACTACACATTTAATAACAATCCTTGCATTTGATGGTAACTATAACATGAAAACACCTTGAAACTCTTCATAGGCAATTGCTGCCAAATATAAGCACTGTGTATTTGCAGGTAAACATAGCAGTCAATTTGTGTGCAGCAACAATCCACGAACAGTCACTATGAAAATGGGAATATATAGAATTATATATGAAGGACATTCCACTTAATTGTATATCAGTTAATTGGGTAGTCCATTTCATTGCATAGCAATTTCTCGCTACCAATAATTTTATATTTGTTTGCATGGTATTGCACTCAACTTAAATTCATATTGGATAATTCGCTTAAATGCATGAAAAATAGCCAGTTCATTACATTTGTAGCTGTATAATTAGTTTGGATAATTGCATTGGTTGAGGAGTTGACCGTATCAGACCATACGACCATAAGAAATAGGAGCAGGAGTAGGCCATTCGGCCCCTCGAGTCTGCCCCCTCCATTTAATAAGATCATGGCTGATCTTCTAACCTAATTCCATTTACCCGCCCTATCCCCATCCCTTAATCCCACTATCCTTTAGAAATATATCAACCTCAGTCTTGAATATGTAAAGAGGTACAGCATGTATATGTACAGCAGAGAGGCAGCGAGAGAGCGACATGAAGAGGGCCAGAGTAGAAGATATGAAAAGGCAGCGCGGAGAGCGGCAGCAGAGGCACAACAGAGTGACAGGAAGGCGGCGCCACTAATGAACTTCAGATAGTTGTATTCTCCGTATAACTGCATGGTGTCTGTCCAGTCACAACTCCATAAAATTATACGGAGTACAGGGTATATACTAAAGAATGAAAGAGAAAAAGAGAGCCTCACACTCACTCTGTATTTTCCCTCAATGGTCTAGTCAAGATCAGGAACTCACTGTCCCGTTAAAAGTTTAATTTGGAGAGTAAATGAAGTTACGACATATCTGAACAAATGAAATAACTTGCATTCTTTTAACAACTTTTATGTTGTGTCTCAACATAATAAAGATAATCCTTGCATTTGATATGACGCATTGTCACGTATTTGGGAAGTCTCAAAGCGCTTCAGAAAATACTGTAAAGTGAACTGATTGTCTATTTTGTGGGTGAAACACAGAAGCCAATTGCACACAGCAGTATCCCACACAGTCATGGATTTAAGTGACCAATTTATTATTACTATTTTATTTTCAAGGCATTATTACCCCGGAAAAGCGATCCACCAATCAACTAATAACCGGGTTCCTACTTACTGCTAGATAAATAGAGGCGTGTGGAGTAAGGAAACTTGCCCAACATTTCGCGCAGCCCGGAATCGAACCCAAGTCTCTCGCTCGCGAGGCGAATGTTCTAACCACTGAGCTATAGGACTCCACAACATGATTTACAACAGCAAAAGGAGACAAAAATAGCAGGGAGATGAATAAACAATTAACCTGGAGGTCAGACATTGGAAGAAACTCCATTCTGGTTTGTGAATAGCATCACAATATTTTCAACATTCACCTGAACAACAGGCACACAGGCTCGGCCTTGGTTTAGCACCTCAAACAAACGATGGCACCTCAGACAATGTACCTCTCTCCCAAAAAGTGGACAGTCTAGACCAGTGGGGAACAGGAACAGCAGTACATTATGGCTGCTCTTTTTTTTATTCTATGCTAGCTGAACCAGTTGCAGCTTCACTTGCAACCAAAGGATCCAATTTGTATATCAATCTACATTCCAGACAGACATTTCCTGCAGACATTATACTCAACTGGGAGCACTACTGTGGGAGTGTTCCTTTTGGGAGGACTCAGTGGGAGGACTCCATTAAATATATTTTCTCCCGAGAACCTAGCCCCGGTCTCCTGAGAGCCTCGCCCAGGTATCTCGAGAGCCTCGACCCGTCTCTGTCTCTCTTTCTGTCTCACTATCTCAGTCTCAATCAAACACAAACTCAACCATATCAATATGGACTGCAAAAAGTTTATTAAAGTTGCAGATTAAAATCCTGACTTCTGGTAACAAACCATCTTGTGTTCTTCAATATGCGTAACAGGCAGTTTATCTTACCTATATTCATCAGCCTGGCTCATTTGATAGACCTCTTGCCTTGGAGTCAGAAGACTACAGGATCAAGCTCCACATCAAGACTTAGAACTAGACTTAAATTGAGACTGACATTCCAACAGAGTGCTGGGTTGTGCTAAGTTGTCGCAGGTGCTGTCCTTTGGATGAAACATTAAACATAGGTTGCTTCTGCCTGTTCAGGTGGAGGCTAAAGATCCCATGGCACTATTCAAAAAGAAAAAGGAGTTTCTCCCGGTGTCTTGGTCAATAATCTCCAAAACAAAAAACGTTGTTCACCCCTCAGGCCGCTGAAACTCTTGTTCATGCCTTCATCATCTCCAGGCTCGACTATGCAAGCGCTCTGCTTGTCGGCCTTCCCAACTCCTCCCTCCACAGGCTGCAGATAATCCAGAACTCTGCAGCCCGTGTCCTCTCCCGCACCAAACTCTGTGACCCCATCTCCTCCACTCTCGCCCGACTCCATTGGCTCCCTATCCTTCAGGGGATCCAGTTCAAGATCCTGGTCCTCACATACAAAGCCCTCCATGGCCTCGCCCGACCCTACCTCTGTGACCTCCTAACCCCCTACCAACCCGCCCGTTCCTTCCGCTCAGCCGGCTCTGGTCTGCTCCACGTCACCCGACCCACCCGCCCCACCGTTGGCGGGAAAGCCTTCAGCCACTCTGCCGCCAACCTCTGGAATTCCATCCCCCAATCACTCCACCTCACCCCCTCCTTAGCCTCCTTCAAGTTCCGCCTCAAGACCTTCCTCTTCAAACATGCCATTGGCCACCCCCCTTCCCCTCCCCCTTCTCCCTCCCCGACCCCAGCTCGGGTCTGAAATGCTGCACTCTGTTCAGCGCCTTGGGACGTCCTCCCGATGTGAAAGGCGCTATACAAATGCAATCTTGTTGTTGTTGTTTATTCACTTCTTTGCTGGGCATAAAAATCGGCTTTCCCATTCCCTATAAAATAGTCTCTATCCTTTACAATAAATCCTATGAAGTACTTTGAGACATTCTCTCCATGCAGAAAGGCCATAATATAAAAATGTAAGGATTATTAAGAATTATTATTCAGGCCTTGATGTCAGTGAGGCAGGCAGTCAGAACATCAATGCTCCTGCAATCAGGGATAAAAGAAGTGAAGTAGATTTGGGTATCATCATTGTATATGTGGAAACTAACTGTCTCGGTAGCACATGAAGTCACAAAGCAAGAGCTGATGAGGAAAAGGAAAGGATAGAGCCCTGTAGCACACAGGTGACTGCGCGAGTAGGAGGAGAAGCCAAACGAGGAAACAAAGAGGATGTAAAGGATGGTCACATGAATGACAAAGTTGATGTAATCAAGGAAGATAGAATATCAAAGGCAGAAGAGAGATCAGGTGGAATGAGGAAAGTATATCATTTGTGACTCTGACAACTGCTGTCTCAGGCTGTGAGCAGGACAGAAACCGAATTGGAAGAGCTCAAAACATATCATAGTCGATTGCAAGGAGAGTTTCTTGCCCTGATGGGGGGACGGGGGAGAAGGCAGAGAGAGAGAGAGAGGCAATGGTTTCTTAAATGGTCAAACAAGATTTGGCTGTGGACCGTGAAGCTATTCTTATGCAACCTGCATTCGAGTGTACAAAGAAACAGCAGTTATCATTATACTAACCAGGGGAATGGCTAGGTAGGGAGATGGCTCTGCATTTTCACACCCTCACCCCACCCCCAGTGTGTTGCAGAAGGAAGAGGTGTATTGGGGTTGGGTGGCGAAAAGTCTAGGTTTTACTAAAAAACACAAAGAAAAATTACATGGAGGCAAAGGGAACTGGAGAATTGAAAACTTTTCATTTGACATCGAACAGCAACAAGCAAAGAACAGCCTGAATGCAGAGTAGTTCTTTTTATTCTGCCACATCTAATCTGCCAACCCAGGAAGAGTGTACTTCGCTGTGCCATTCTGAAATTTTGCACTTCCCACACAAACAATCTTTGCAATCCTCTAGAAGATAGGTAATTTAGATAGGTACTTTTTGTGCTGTCTGCTCTCACCTATTGGGTTATGTTGAGGTTGCCCAAACTAATTTTCTAAAGCACATTACAGCCAAGAGTGGTGAATAAAAAGAAATGCAGACACAACCTTCATCCAGTCAGTTTGAGCTGAATTCAAGCCCAGACGTGAAGTTGTTGACTTACTGAATTACCTGGCCACCTGCAAATTTTTCTTGTTAATTCTCATTATTAATTATCACTAATAATACAGTATTTACATTTGATAGCGCTTTTTATGTCAGGGGACATCTCAAAACGTTTCACAGGATATACTGCAAAGTGTAATGACTCTGGAGTTTGTAGGAAAATGTTCCAGCTAATTTGGGCAAAGCAATATCCCACAAGCAGATATGAAATGAATGACCAATCTTAGCTGGGGAGTTAGTTAGAACACCAGAATAAACTCCCTTCTCCTTTTCAAAGAGTGCGTCTAGAAGACGTGAAAAGCTCTCTCTCAAATGCAAGGATTATTATTATTATCCACCTAAATAGGAAAACAGGACCTCAGTTTAACATCTCATCCAAAGGTCAGTACCTCCAACAACGTAGCACACCCCCCCAACACTGCATTGTAGTGTCAGCCTAGTCTATATGAGTTCAAAGTCCTGACATGGGATTTAACAATCTGACTTAGAAAAGAGTGCTGCCAATTAAGCCAGGCTGACACACAAATATAAGAGTCCTACACTTTTTTAAAAATAAGTTTTACAATTTAAAAGCAATGCACTTAATGAGCCTATTAGCTCAAACTCTAACAGCTAGAGTTGTCCTCAGTGGAAAAGTAGCAGGAAGCTTGCCATACAGCGTTCACAAATGCACATTTTCAGATGGTTAAACTCCAGCAGTACCCAAATGCCCACTCTGGGTTATCAACCATTTGCTCCTGAAACTTGCACCTAATACTCTCTGGGATTAAGCGAGCACGATGTATGCCTTTGGGAAGAAAGAGTCCACAATCCATTCCAGACAAATGGAAATTTCCATGCATATGTGTAAGTCTCAGTAGTCTGGTTTAGATACAAGTGGAGTCCTGTGGCTTAGTGGTTAGGGCACTTGCTTCACAAGCGTGAGGACCTGGCTTCGATACCCAGGCGCAGCAAAATGTTGGGCAAGTTTCCTTACTCCACATGCCTCTGTTTAACTAGCAGTAAGTAGGAACCCGCTTGTTAGTCGATTGGTGGTTCGCTTTTCCTGGGATAATAATCCCTTCAAAAAAATAATAATAATTTGGTCACTCAATCCACGAATTGGGACACTCCTGAGCGCAATTAGGTGCCCGTTTTAGCTTCAAAATATACAGTCTATACACTTTACAGTATGCGCTTTGAGATGTCTCAAAGACACAAAAAGGCGCTATATCAAATGCAAGGATTATTATTATTATATATCAAATGCAAACATTAACAAGCACAAAAAAAAATTAATGAACCCATATGTAACCCAATTTTTAAACTTTCATTCTTCCACCTGTCAGTTTTATAAAGTCATCAAGGGATTGCCAAACCGAAAACAAATGAGAATGTAGATAATTGGAACCTCCTGGATTAAAGGTAAATCATTCTATGTCTGTATACATCATTTGCAAGGCCTGTTCTAAAAAAAAAATGATTTTGGAAGCTATAGCTAGTTATACTGAAGCAATACATGGGAAGTTTTGACCATCAAAACAGTTCACCCTTTCTGCACACTACTAGTTAGTTTCTCTCTCCTAATAAAGCTGGAATTGCAACCTCTGATGTCACAGCTTTGTTATGAAAGTAACAAACCAGTTTGTCAACTGTCAAATTAATTTGACAACATAAAATGCTAGACAACCTGCTTAATGCATTCATGCTTTATTCAAACTGGTATAATAACATGGTGAATATGCATAACACTCTCCCTTCTAAAGTTTACATTATATCGCTTAGCCTTTCCCTCATCTTGCCCCATTACTCATGCAGCATCAATCTTTGGTTGATCCATTTAGTCTTTCCTGGAAAGATTTTAACAGTCTAACAGGACTCAAATCCCCTCATCACCAGGCATGGAAACAACTTGAACATACCACATTGGGAAATATCCACCAGCAACGCATCTTTCAACTTGACTATCATCCCAGTCATTCATCGGCATGATTCACTGAAACACCACCTGCTTCAGCCAGTCAATCCACATACAAATTGAAACATCTGACTGACACTCAGCTTCATAAATAGATGGAAATAGGAACTAAATCCAAAGTATGCAGCTAGAATAAAAGGGCTACTGGGAATCCCTTTCTGCACTAACCAAGCAAGTTGTACTAACTCAAGGTTGAGAAGATTTCCCAATAAGAAGCTACAACAACACCTTTAACAATGACGAGTTCGGACACCAAGCCGGGTAAGGGGGGGGTCACAGTAGACAAAGTAGATTTTAAGACTGGATTTATAGCCAAACAGAGAGAAGGCAAGACAGAGGAATGGAGTTCCAAACGTTAGGGGGGTAGTCGCTGAAGCCTCAACCACCAATGATGACCCAGGGGAGTAGCAAGAGGTCCAAGTTAACAGAACAAGTGAGAAAAGCAGTGGGAGAGATGATCACAGAGATAGGGAGGTGTTTGGGAGAAAAGGAATTTATAGGTGAAGATAAGCACATTGGGAGACAGCAGAACTGGGCAAAGACTGGGGTGATTGACATGCAGTGTTTGGTGTGGTGAGCCAAAGGTGATGTAGTTTTAGAATAACTGGAGGCTAAGCCTCTCCCCCCCACTGTTTCTATTTGCTATCAAGATGGAATTCCAAACCCTTTTTTGAGATGAGAAACAGGGTTGAAAATACTGAAGCTGATTTTAAAGAGCCTTACAACCAATTGGAAAAGGAGATCTTCTTTGCATTGCATTGAACTGAATTCAAACCAATGCATCAGTGGCATGCTAATCTAACATGACATCCAATCCCCATTTTGACTCAAGAAGAGCATTATGATCTGGTGCATGAGGTAGGCTTTGAGAGGTAGGTAGGTTTAGGTTACTGGTTTACGTAGATTAATACAATAGAAATAATTTATGTTGAAGTAGCCTCCATATCACACTTCACAACATTGTAATACCAAACTGCAAAGCTAGTTTACAAATTCCATTTGGGTCTAGATTTACTCTTTCAAAGTGTACAGAAATTGGCAAATTGTTGAATTCAGTCTTAACTTTGAAAACAGTTTCCTTTAGCTCTTAAAACTTCAAAATTGAGACATTATTTAAGAAACTGCCAAATTCAGGATCCTCCGAAATGTGAAGAATGAAAGAAAATTAGACCGAGGTAGAATGTCTCCATCCCCAATGTCCTCCCTCCCCGAGAATTATCCTGTTTTTAATAATAATAATCCTTGCTTTTGATGTACTTCCATATCATGTCGTTGAGATAATAATACTTGCATTTGATATAGTGCCTTATCACATCTTCGAGACGTCTCAAAGGGCTTCACAGAATATATTGTAAAGTGAATTGACTGTATATTTTGTGGGCGAAACGTGGCAACCAATTGTGCACAGCAGATGTCTCAAAGCGTTTCACAGAATATATCACCCACAAAACATACAGTCGATTCACTTTACAGTATATTCTGGGGGGAGGGGGGAGTGTGGGGGGGAGGGGGGAGTGTGGGGGGGAGGGGAGTGTGGGGGGGGGGGGGGGGGGGAGGGGGGGAGGGGGGAGTGGGGGGGGAGGGGGGAGTGGGGGGGGGAGGAGTGGGGGGGGGAGTGGGGGGGGGAGGGCGGGGAGTGGGGGGGAGTGGGGGGGAGTGGGGGGAGTGTGGGGGGGGGGTGTGGGGGAGGGGGGAGTGTTGGGGTGGGGGGAGTGTTGGGGGTGGGGGGAGTGTTGGGGTGGGGGAGTGTTGGGGTGGGGGGGAGTGTGGGGTGGGGGAGTGTGGGGGAGGGGGAGTGTAGGGGGAGGGGGGAGTGTTGTGGGGGGGGGAGTGTTGGGGGGGGGGAGTGTTGGGGGGGGGGGGAGTGTTGGGGGGAGGGGGAGTGTTGGGGGAGGGGGAGTGTTGGGGGGAGGGGGGAGTGTTGGGGGGGGGAGTGTTGGGGGGGGGGAGTGTTGGGGGGGGGGAGTGTTGGGGGGGGGGAGTGTTGGGGGGGAGTGTTGGGGGGGGTGTTGGGTGTTGGGGGGGGTTGGGGGGGGGGAGTGTTGGGGGGGGGGGAGTGTTGGGGGGGGGAGTGTTGGGGGTGGGGGGAGTGTTGGGGGGGGGGGGAGTGTTGGGGGGGGGGAGTGTTGGGGGGAGGGGGAGTGTTGGGGGGAGGGGGAGTGTTGGGGGGAGGGGGAGTGTTGGGGGGGAGTGTTGGGGGGGGGGGAGTGTTGGGGGGGGGGAGTGTTGGGGGGGGGAGTGTTGGGGGAGTGTTGGGGGGGGGGAGTGTTGGGGGAGGGGGAGTGTTGGGGGGGGGGGAGTGTTGGGGGAGGGGGGAGTGTTGGGGGGAGGGGGAGTGTTGGGGGGGGGAGTGTTGGGGGGGGAGTGTTGGGGGGGAGTGTTGGGGGGAGTGTGGGGGGAGTGTTGGGGGGGGAGTGTTGGGGGGAGTGTTGGGGGGGGGAGTGTTGGGGGGGGGAGTGTTGGGGGGGAGTGTTGGGGGGGGGGAGTGTTGGGGGAGGGGGGAGTGTTGGGGGGGAGTGTTGGGGGGGGAGTGTTGGGGGGGGGGGGAGTGTTGGGGGAGGGGGAGTGTTGGGGGGGGTGTTGGGGGGGGGGGGGTGTTGGGGGGGGGGAGTGTTGGGGGGAGTGTTGGTGGGGGGGCAGGAGGTTGGGATAGAGACGTTGACATACAAATCTGTCCGCTTCCTACAAGTGCCTGAAGGCAGTCAGTGTGAAAGCGCGTCGGCGAACCTGTGTCCCCCCATTGTCTCCTGTGACGGGGATGGATTTCAAGGCCTAGTCTCGCCTCCTGTGGCTCGGAATAACGGGCAGTCTCCACTCCAGACAGCGGCCACGGCCGAGGGGAGCCGAGCCGAGCCGAGCCGGGGCGGGGCAGCCTGTCCGGTGAGCTGCAAAGCGTGGCCTCGGCGGTACCTCCCGTCGCCGAAGGTGTGGGACCGCCCTCCCACCCACTCCCATCCCCCTGACAGTGGGGCGGGTGGCTCACACGGAGGCAGACGAGAGAGGAGCAGCCCACGCGCCTTTGAAGCCGCTGCCCACCCGCCCGCCCGCCCGCTGCCCGCCCGCCCGCCGCCCGCCCGCCGCGCAAAACAAAAACACGCACCTGTGGATTTCTTTTCTTTCGGCATCTCCGGAGCGTTTGTTGTTGAACTGAACTGTGCCGAGCGCCCGCCTCTCCCTCTCTCACTCTCTCTCTCTCTCTCACACACCCGCAGCGGTTCCTGTCAAAGTGTCAGCCCTCCGCCTCCTCACACAGCTCCAAACCCAGACACTCCGCCTGCGCTCTCTCTCTCTCTCTCTCTGTCGCTCTCTCTCTTTCTCTGTCGCGCTCTCTCTCTCTAACCAGCGGCTGCCGCTCAACCCAACTTGATAGCGCGAGAGAAAAGGAGAGGTGGGCGGGTGGGACCGAAGCCCCGCCCACACCGCCGCCACCGCCACCACCACCTGACGCTTCTGCGACGCTCTCCTGGCTTGCGATTGGCCGGGCCGCCTGTCCGTCGCTCGCTCGCGGCCGGGCACGTGTGCTGGAAGGGGGGCGGGGCCTCGCGCGAGCGGCGCCCGAGCGACGGTTATTTTTTTTTTCCCGGGCGGAGTGGGGAGGGGAGAGAGCAAAAAAAAAAGTTTGGCGGTGCCGGACGCCGCCGCCTTTGCTCCCGCAAGTTTTATTTCGGGGGCCACCGGCGGCCCGAATGCAACATCCCCCCCCCCTCCACCAAAAAAAAACCCCGAGCCTCACACCACCTTTCCCGTGCAACAACATTTTTCTCCCGGTTTTATTTTTCCGTCTCGCGAACAACCTGGGCAGTGAGTTCTACCGGGAAAACGAGGAGAGAGGCACGAACCTAAACCGAGCGCGTGCGTGCGTGCGCGTGTGTGTCTGTGTGTGTCTGTGCTTCAATAACATCTACAGTATTTATTGATGCGCTGCGACCGAACGTGGTGCAGTTCTTGTGTTATCTGGTCCACGCTTTCTCTCCAGCGCTCTCCCCTCACCCGGTGCTGAGCTCCTCACCGACCGACCCCCCACCCCCCCAAACACCAAATTGTTTCCGGGGCAAAGTGGACGCAGGCGGGAGCGGGGTTGGCAAGACGCAGGGCTGTCAGAAATTCTAATTAAAATACGTCTGTAGCCCCAAGTCGACCGAAAGCCGAAAGTAGCCCAATACTTGCGCGCTGCTGACTGAGCGCCCGATTGAGAGGTTATTGGTGCTTTTTTTTTTTTTGGAAAGCGCGCAAAGGGTCTTCCGAGGAAAACAAAAAAAAAGTTTTGCAGGTTTACATTCAATTGAATGTTTCCCCCCCCCCAAAAAAAAATATCAGGCAACCCGCCCCATGTGCACCAAACCAAACCCGCCCGGTTGGGGCGTGAACCCGCCCAATCTGGCAACGCTGATGGTGACACGCCGGTCCCGCGCACGTGGGTGGCCGCGAGCTCTGATTGGTTCGGTTGAGCGCAGCGGTCGCCTGGCAACGGCGCACGCGGGTGTTTTGAAGCGGCCGAGGGGGCGGCGGGGAGCGAGCGGCGGCTAACGGCTATGGCACGAGGGCAGCTCGCGGTTGTCCCGGTTCTCCTCGCTATGGCGTTGCTCTTGCTGCAGCCTTTGGCGGCAAGTAGGTGTTTCTTCTCCCCCCCCCTCAACCCCTCTCAGTTGAAACTGCTCCTCATCCTTCTCGTGTCTGGGGATACGGTGTACCGTTTGGGACACCACATGTCCCGCTCCCTCCCTCCCTCCCTCCCTTCCCATTTTCAGGTCTCTGTTGGAAGACCTTTCTTTTCCGACCGCGCCTTTGGTCACCTTTCTTCCCCTCTCCCACCCCGGCTCGGTCCCGGGATCCGTGACTGTGAAGCGCTCTGAGATGCCGTCCGGCGTTGGAGGGCGCTGTATAAATCCAAGTTGTTGTTGTTGTTGATGATGGTGGAAGGCGAACTCGATGGACCGAACACATTCTTATGTTCTTCACCCTCTCTCGCTCTCCCTCTCTCTCCTCTGCCCTTTGAACGAACGCCCAACGTTTACCCAGTTGGCGGATCGCTTTCCAGGACTGAAAGGGGGCTGTGTAATAATAAAACAATAGTCCTTGCATTTCATATAGCGCCATATCACAGCTTCGAGACGTCTCAAAGCGCTTCACAGAACATACTGTAATAATAATAATAATCCTTGCATTTGATATAGCGCTTTTCACGTCGGGAGGACGTCCCAAAGCGCTTCACAGAACACACTGTAAAGTGAATTGACTATATTTGCGGGCGAACGCGGCAGCCAATTGCGCACAGCAATGTCCCACAAACAGTTGTGGATTGAAAATGACCAATTTATTATTGTTTTTGGTTTTGGAGGGATTATTATTAGGCTCTGTGTGGAGTAAGGAAACTTGCCCAAAGTTTCGCCCTCTGCCTGGAATTGAACTCAGATCTCTCGCTTACAAAGCGAGTGCTCTAACCATTGAGCTACAGGACTCCGATTATTGCACATCCATTACTGTTACTTTCATAGTAGAAAATATATATTTTTACATATGTGATAATGACTAGTTAGCTCTACAATATACTCATTAAACAATGCATATCTCACAAAAGATTATCTGAATAAGGATAATGAATAAAGTGTAGTGAGTGTATATTTTGGTGGGGGGGGTGAAACGAGGCAGCCAATTGCGCACAGCGGTGTCCCACAAATAGCCTTGACTGAGCAAATTATCGAGAGAGAGTAGATGCGAGGATTATTATTAGCGCCCATTTAATTCACTTCATGGCTGTTTGTAGGATTTTGTTCGGCAGGTGACAGCCTGGCTCAGTTGTGCCTTGAGTCGTCTCGAAGACATAAGGCTCTGTGTCAAATGCAGATTATTATATTATAATCAATCTTGTGATATTGAGCTAAGATGTCATTGATTCTCTCTCTTAAACTCCAAACATCTATCCAACTTCCTCTTAAATATACCAGAATTGGATAGTGCAGAAAGTGATTTTGTTTCATATAGGAGCAAAACAAGGTAGCATTCCTCTCAAAGCCAATTAAAATGAATTAGTTACTAAATCTTTAATCAGTAGCATTTATCCAGCTTTCAAAACCCTTTTTTATGTACAGAATGAAAGTTTTTCTTCTGATCTACTTGAATGAGTTGTCCATAATCTTTTCTACACGTTAATCAGCAAACTTTGTTATTGTAGTCAATTTTTCCTTTGCATTTATAATAAACATTTTATAGAAATGTATTCTACACTTTGTAATGTGCTACCAATTTAACTTTTTACTTAAATGTTCTGCTTCTGGCTTAAAGTGAATTGCACTTTACCATTTAAACATCTTACAGCTACAGGAATCCTGTAGCTTAGCGGCTAGAGCACTTGCCTCGCAAGAGAGAGGACCTGGGTTTGATTCTCAGGCTGAGCAAAACGTTGAGCAAGTCTCCTTACTCCATCACCTGTTTACCTAGAAGTAAGTAGGAACCCAGTTGTTAGTCGATTGGCAGATCGTTTTTCCGGGGTAATAATTGCTTCAAAAATAAATAATAAATTGGTCACTTCAATCCATGACTGTTTGTGAGACACTGCTGTGCGCAATTTGCTGCCACGTTTCGCCCACAAAATATACAGTCAATTCACTTTACAGTATATTCTGTGAAGCGCTTTGGGACATTTTGAAGACGTGATAAGACGCTATATTAATTGCAAGGATTATTATCATTATAACTTGGTGCAATGGACCATCCCCTCTTTCCCTGGAGAGACACATCCTGCTTACCTAATTCTTGAAAGTATTAGGCGCAGGTTGGCAGGAGCCAAGCACTTTGAGACATCTCGAAAATGTGATAAGGTGCTATATCAAATGTAAGTATTACTATTGTACTCCATACCTCAATCAAAAATATAACAAAAGGTTACTGGAGTGCATTCTGTAGCAAACCAATAGCTATAACAAGATTCTTTTTAAACAATATATTTTAAAAATGCTATATTGTTCACAGGAACAGACAACAGTTTTGCAAAAAGGAAAACCTCCCAGACCAAAAAAGAGGTGAGATATACAACAACAAGATTACATTTGTATAGCACCTTTCACGTCAGGAGGATGTTCATATTATTGTTAAATACTAAACAAATATTTATTTATTCTGTTGAGAAAGTTAGCAAAGACAATACTATTGTGTGTTAAAAAGCCTTTTAAGACTCACTTAAATGAGGAATAATCAATTGAACATGCTATGATGGGTCTGCATCGTATTTGTGGAACCGTAATCAAAAGTGGAGGAGAGGAAAAAATTCCATCGAAGCAAAATAATCAATTGAATGTACGAAAATGGTGTTGTTAATTTTAGAATTAATTTGAAATAATTTTATATTACAGCTGGTGGAAGACGGAAATAGTAAAATGGCACGAGAGGTCGTGGAAAGAACTCCTATTAGAAGTAGTTCAAAAGAAAGCAATTCAGTATCATCTCAGAAAGGACGCCCTTCACCCAATCCAAAAGAGGACAACAGTAATGATAAAAAATTACAAGAAATAAATAATGTTTCAAATCAGAATTCACAAGGTAAAAAGATTAGAGCAGTGGAAGGTTTACAAACACTTTATTTCATATTTTTGAACATAGACACTACCCAACCAACACTAAGCATCTCAACCACAACATCTTGCATTTATATAATGTCTCAGAGTGCTGAATGTTTCCTCATCCAGTCATCAATCCATAGAAGGTATAATGTAGAGACCTTGAATAGCTTTAGGGCTTCTGGCAATGCTGTTTTCCAACTAGACACTTTAAAGGAATTAAAACATTTGACCTTATAACCAAGAGCAAGAATAAAATCATACAGTACATGACTACTTTGTTGAAGCACTTCATGTGTTTAAAATTAATTTAATATTTGTTCATAACAAGTGGCAGAACATATTGTAGCTATATTTAGAATATTTTTCAGCCACTGTCAAACATTACCAATAGTTTACTAAATCTATAAATCGTGCCATTCGTTAGTTCAAAACCAGAAATAAAATAATGTTTTGAGCATTTTGTTTAATATTAGGCATCTATGGTTTGTTGACAATGACAGATGAGCAAGAAGCATTGAGAAAGAAACAAGTGCAAGAAATAGAGGAATTGTATCGGAATGGAAGCAAAATCCTGAAACGATCTAGAGATAAGAATCTTAGAAAGGAGTGAGTAAAAATATATACATTTGGTGGTTGGAGTGATCTTTGTTCTTACCAATATGTCATTGCTGCAGATTATAAATGTTTTTGTAATATTGATTAGTATCACATGAGATATATATATGGTAACGTAAATGTTGATTGTAACATTTGGCATAGCGTCTTACTTATCACACCGTCAAGGTATCTCAAAGCGCTTCACAAGAAATACTATAAAGTGCAATGACGATGAGTGAATGTTTTAAGCACTAAGAAACAGCTATTAAGTAGATGACCAATTCTATTTGGAAGTTTGTTAGCCAGAACACCAGAAGAAACTCTATTCTCTTCTTCAATAGTGCCATGAAATCTATAGCATTCACCTAAATAGGCAGATCAGACCTCAGTTTAATATCTCATCCAAAGGACGGTACAACAACAACAACATTGCATTTATAGAGCGCCTTTCACGTCGGGAGGACGTCCCAAGGCGCTGGACAGTTGGGTCAGGACCCGAGCAGGGGGGAAATGGTCAGGGTGAGGGAAGGGAGGGAGCGAGGAGGGGGTAGAGAGTCGAGAGGGGAGCTGAAGGCACGGTTGAAGAGAAAGGTCTTGAGACCGGCCTTGAAGGAGGAAAGGGAGGAGGCGGCGAAGGCACTGGGGGATGGAGTTCCAGAGCCTCGGGGCTGAGAGGCTGAAAGCCTGGCCACCAATGTTAGAGCGGAGGATGTGGAGCAGACCGGAGCCAGAGGAATGGAGGGTACGGGCAGGTAGGTAGGGGGATAGTAGGTCGGAGAGGTAGGAGGGTGCAAGGCCGTGCGTGGCCTTGTAGGTGAGGATGAGGATCTTGAATTCGATCTTCTGGGGGATGGGGAGCCAGTGGAGGTGAGCGAGGGTGGGAGCGATGTGGTCGTGATGCTTTTTTTTGTGAAGCAAACCTTTGAAAATACAGCACTGGGCTCGAGTGCCAGCCTATTTTATGAGCTCGAAGTCTCAAAGTGTGGTTTGAACCCTTCTGATTCAAAGACTGACACCCCTGGCACAGGTGAAAGCTCCTCTGTTGCTGCGCTAACAAACTTCCCTAACTCTGATTTCAGAAATCCAAACCAGCACGGGGTGGGGGGGTGGTGGTAGGGGAGGGATTGTGGCTCCTGTGAACTGCAGATCTAGATTTATCCTGTCCAGTAATCAAATTTCTTCCCCGCTAACAATAATGGCTTGCATGTGTATGTTACTTAAAACCATCCTGGGTAACATGAAGGATGCTTTGCTGGTGGACCACCTCATAGATTTACTAGTCTAATAGTTATGTAAAATTTCCATTGTACAGACAATCCCTTGTTTCCACTCATCTTTCAATGGAGAGATCCAATTATATGGTGTTGTAGTACAGAAGCAGTTGCGATACTGCCAATGCATTGAGTGAGATTCTTGCAATGCTAAATAATACATTTTTGTTCAGATAACTTATTAATCTTCAGAGGCTTGTTCCTCCTATAGATCTGTTGTTTATCAAGGCTATCAAGTGCACACCTTGGAGGTGCTATGTGTTGTGACCATTGGTGAAGACAGAATCAGGCTCAGTGACAACACTCCCGCTGGTAGATAGCCTGCCAAGATTCATTGACAAGGCTTACACATTGATAATAATCACTTGGCTGAAGTATTGTATGGTAACTACTTTTGGTGGTGTCATACCTTAATAAAACAAAAAAAGGAAGCAATAATGATCCTTGCATTTGATACAGTGTCTCTAAGGTAGAAAAACACTTCATAGGGAATTACTGTCAAGTGAACTGACTATATTTGTAGGTAGAAGTGGTAGCTAACTTGTGCACAGCAAAGATTCACAAACAGCCATGAAGTAAATCACCAAGTTATCTGTAGAATTGTTGGCCTGGACACTGGAAGAAATGTCTTCTGTTTTCAAATAGTGCCTGGCAAACCTTCCTGCTGCTTCTCCAGCTGGGACCACCCTACCCGTTAGGGTTTTGGCTTGCAGGATTAACAGGAGCTGAGTGGGAAGAGTCCCTTCCCCCAGTGTTTAGTCGTCCTGCTGATGAGCCAGCCTGGCTAGACTATCATCAGCAATGAATACTGCGGACCCGGCTGGCTCAGGAACCGGAACCATCGAGCCTGCCACCGAGGGCTGGCTCAATTCCAACACTCTATTGGCAAGCATGTCACCTTGGAGCAAGTTCAACTCCAAGAATACGCCGCATTTCCCCTCCTCCCCGGGAGGATAGACTACTTACAAAACTTTCATATTAACTGACATTTTCAAAGTACAGTCTGTGCTTTCCATTGCCATTAATTGAGACTGTTTTCAAAAATGATTTCTAAAGTCTTCTGTGCAATGATTCATTCCTTTGGGTGGATGAGATGTTTTTAGTATTGGCTCATTTTCTGATTGCTATGCTGTATTTTTAGTAGGGAGCCAATTCTGCTCCAGAAGCTATGTAACAATAATGAAAAAAAATTCTCTCTAGGTGTGGTGTTGCTTCTTTTCGTTGCACTTACATAACATAGATAATAGAAGAAAACTGAAGACAGATTGATCCACAATGGAAGTTAAATGTTTTTGATGGATTTTCATTAAGACCTTTTTTTGATTCGGACTTTTCTTTAAGTTCTATTTAACTCTGAAAGCAAAGCACAAGATATGGTCTTTCGAAAACCAAGATGATGTTACAACTCATGAAGTACTCTGCATCTCTGCATACAGTTAATGTAAAGTTTATATTAATGAACTATTTAGTGACACTGAGGTTTCTTATTATGTGAGTCTTTAGTCTTCTGACAGCTTCTCTTGGGCATGCTACTGCACATTATCACATAGGTATGCTTATTTCATTAGTTAATGAGCAGTCTCCAATTAACTTTACATAAGAACAGAGAATATAATCATAGTGGTTATATAAACCATACTCTTGATATCTCAGAATATCTGACAATGCAGTTGGGTTTTAAATTGTTTTTTTTGCATCTAACTTTAATTTTCCTGTTTTAAGTAGAGGCTATAAGCTCCTGATTAAAGCTGCTGACATGGGAAGCACTAAAGCCATGGAGAGAATAGCCTATGCCTTGTTGTTCGGTGACCAGCTGCCTCAGAATGTCACAGCAGCTAAAGATCTCTTTGAAGCCCTGGCAGAAAATGGTTCACACAAAGCCCAAACTGTGAGCTGTTTGATAGTAGATTTAAGTAATGTGATATCTATTAATTGGCCATTTGTTTTGTTTTTAGCCAGAAAGTTAAATGCATTAGAAAAGTCTATTATTTTGTTGAATAAGTTAGTATTCATGATGTCTGGGAATGCAAGGTTGGATGCTCAAGATTCAAGAAAAAGGCTACAGTGTTTAAACTAATAGTTTTCAAGAATATTAAGCTTTAAGGAAGTTGGATTCAATTAGATTTGGCACATTTTCTAACTTTTCCATATGTTAAAAAAAGTGCACAGTAATACTTGGCATCAAATTGTTAGGTGGCATGCAAGGGAACCGTAGGTTAATTCATCCTCTCTTTCCTCCAAATGGAGAGGAATCTCTTCAACAACATCAACAACAACTTGGATTTATATAGCGCCCTCCATGCCAGACGGCGTCTCAGAGCGATTCACAATAACGGATCCTGGGGCAGAGCCAGGAGGAGGGGGAAGAAGTTGACCAAAGGCACAGTCGAAAAGAAAGGTCTTTAGTCGAGACCTGAAAGTAGGAAGAGAGGGGGCGAGGCGAAGGGAGTGAGGAAGGGAGTTCCAGAGCCTCGGGGTGTAGTGGCTGAAGGCACGGCCGCTGATGGTGAAGCGGAGGATTCGGGGGACAAGGAGGAGGCCAGACCCGGTGGAGCGAAGGCAACGGGCACTGTTGTGAGGAGAGAGGAGGTCAGAGAGGTGCAGAGGAGTGCAGGGATTTGAAAATAAGAGTAAGTATCTTGAAATCGATCCTCTCTGGGACAGGCAGCCAGTGCAGTCTGGCAAGGACTGGGGTAATCGGGGAGTGGAGTTTGGTGCAGGTAAGAATGCAGGTGGCAGAATTCTGTATGACCTGGATTTTATGAATGGTAGTGGAGGAGAGACCGGCGAGGAGGGCATTTGAATAATCCAGCCAAGAGGTGACAAAGGCATGAACCAGGGTTTCGGCAGCTTTTGGAGTGAGATATTGGTGGAGACAGGCGATGCGTCAGAGGGGGACGAAAGCGGTGCTGGTGAGGGACCGGATGTGGGGGAGGAAGAATAATTTGGGGTCGAACCTGACGCCTAGGTTGCGTACAGGTTCGGAGAGCTTTAGGGGCAGATCGGGTAGGTGGAGAAGGTGAGAACCGTGCAATTGAAGACGTTGACGAGAGCCAAAGAGTATGGCTTCCGTCTTGTCAACATTTAGCTGAAGGAAATTTGCGCTCATCCAGCTCCTGATGTCTGACCGGCAGGCTGACAGAACATCAGCGGACTGGGGGTCGCAAAGTGAGGTGGAAAAATGGAGTTGGGTGTCATCCGCATACATGTGGAAGTGTGGCCCATGTCTGCGGATGACATCCCCAAGAGGGAGCACATAGATTAGGAAGAGGAGGGGGCCAACGATGGATCTTTGGGGTACCCCGCAGGTAACTGAGTGAGAGCGGAAGGAACAGCCATTTGTGGAGATGTCCTGCTGGCAGTTTGTGAAGTAGGACTCAAAGTGGTCCCACTGAGGTGGATGACAGAGGAAAGGCAGTGGTGGAGGATGGTGTGATCGACTGTGTTGAAAGCGGCAGCGAGGTCCAGGAGGACAAAGAGACAGAGGCAGATAGAGAGGATGTCGTTTTTTCATCTCTGCTCAACACCATTCTCCAGATGTCCTGGCTAAGAACGGATACTCACTGCATGGAAAACTACATACTATGTGATTATTTCACGCTACAGTGCATTGGTAGCCCAGCCTACAATACTACTGAATATAATTTGTATGGTGAGAAAAGCTGGAGATATCTGACGAATATCAAAATAAATATTGCAATGATGGCTGTGCAGGTAAAACTGTTATGAATGTAGCCTAATTCTAATCTACAATTTTGTTTTAAAAAAGGGTTTATGTCTTCTCAAGTTGACATTATGGGACATTCAGTTTCCTTAAGAACGCTATAAATAAATGAATGTGTATAAACTGAGTTTTGTTTGAACGTTTTGATGGTGTTCTTTGGAATTTTGTTAGGCATTAGGATTCATGTATGCCACTGGTATTGGCGTAGATCCTAATCAACCTAAGGTAAGAACATGTAGGGTAATAAACTTAGATGAAAGCATAGTAGGAACTATCAATGACTTTAATAAGAATATGCTTTGATTGCAATATGAGACTTGCTGAATATTATAAACATTTTGCAAGCACAATGCATGATTTAGCCCAGTGATGATCCAATCTAAACAGATGTTGACATTTTAAAAAATTGTTTGATCCCACATTATTTTCTAGAATATAGAGATTTGTTCTGGCAAGAAACATTTTTGTTTTGAACACCAACAACCTTTGTTCTGATACGAATAACTATCAAGGGACTAGGGGTCGCAAAGTGAAGTGGAAAAATAAAGTTGGGTTTCGTCCGCATACATGTGGAAGTGTACCCCGTGTCTGCGGATGACATCCCTAAGAGGGAGCATATAGATTAGGAAGAGGAGAGGGCCAAAGATGGATCTTCCTAGGTTCAAGGATTTAAAACTCACCTTAAAGTGTGAATAAGAAGCACCAAAGGTGTCAGGGGATGTCATATTTAAGTGACCTTGGATCATACTGGACGTGAATTTAAAAGTTTGCCAGTTATGTGCTATATAGTTTGGTCTATAATCCTATAGTCTTCCCACCTGTATTCCGTTTCTGATAGTTTTAAGTTCTTTTTTTCCAACTTTTGGGACCCTCCCATACCTCACCATTATTAACTTATGAACCATGTGTTGGCAATCTTACCTTCCACAGTGGATATTACAGCTTAACCTTTCTCATCTACACAAACACATACTCCAAGCCTTCCAGCAAAGATTTCTGGATATTTTTTCCTCCCTAACACTCCAGTAACTCCATACTGTGTTTACTGATCTCAGCCAAGTGTGTGATTCAAACCTAGGATTGTCTGGTGGTAATCTTGTGTTGTATCAAGTGGTACTTTAGACTACTCAGCCTTTGGGATAGTAGTGTCTTTCTTGTATCACACGAACACTGATGTATTTAATCATACCACAGTCCAGAAGCTGAGAATGATCAGTTCAAGCATAATCGCTTCTTTGTCTTTATAAATGGAAAGCCTAAACAAATATTTGTGTGAAGAAAAAAGTTGTATGATACCTTAAAAGAAGCTTTCACACTTAACTGGGTAGAGATGGATTTATTATTATTTTATGTGTACATAAATTAATAATAAATAACAGTAGGGCTTTGAATATGGCAGTAACAAGATAAATCATGAAGTTCTTCATATAATTTTTTTTGAAAATTGGATGAGCTAGAAAAATGTCTCGGAATCTATGAATAATAAATGATTGCAAGAGATGCTCATATAGTTTTGTTTTATCCTCAACAATACGTCACAAGGTGAATATTAAATCCGTTACTTTTCATAACTTCACCCTTTAAATATCACCAGCAGGTCGCCATTAATTGATTAAAATTGATTGGTACATTAGCAACAGAATATTAAGTATCTCAAAGAAAAATTATTCCTCCAAAGACTAATAAAGCTTTTGATACTTGCTAAAGATTTCCCTAAACTCTACCCGACATCAGAAATGCTTGCTTAAAATCAGTGGTTTCCCCTCAACTCAAAGTACATTTCTAAAATCAATACAGACTAAATCCAGTATTACAATCTATTCAGAATAGTAAAACTGTAAACAATATATTCTTTATTGCTATTCTACACTGATCTCAAACAAATTCATATCCATGGCATGTCTGCTGTTAAAATTAAATAAAATGATCAAATAAAATTGGTCACTCACTTCATAATAGTTTGTGAGATATTGTGGGATACTGCTGTGCGTAAATTGACTGCTGTGTTTGCCTACAAAATACACACTCACTACACTTTATATGTCCTGTGAAGCACTTTGAGATGTTCTTCGTACATAAAGGTGCTACATCGAATGTAAGGGTTATTATTATTATACAATCTGCTGCTAACTTCCAACTACTACCCCCTCCCCATCTCCCCCTCACAATCTGGCCCCTACCCACCCCTCCCTTCACACCTTCAAACCTGTCTTCCCCTCCTCTCTCATCCAGACGAAACCCACCACCTGCTCTCTCGGACCCATTCCAATCACTCTCCTTATCTGCCAGTTCTACCTCCTTGCCCCTCTACCCATAGACCTCATCACCCTCTCCTTGTCCACTGGCATCATTCTCACCCCCTTAAAAATAGCTGTCATCTCACCCCATCTTAAAAAAAATCCTTCCCTGTTCTCAAATTACAGCCCCATCTCCAGCTTCTCTTTCCTTTCCAAAGTCCTTGAACAAGTTGTTGCTTCCCAGCTTTGTTCCTTCCTCTCCTGCCACCCCCTATACAACCCCTCCCCCCCCATCGGGTTTCCGTGCTGCCCACAGCACAGAAACAACCCTGGTCAAAGGGACGAATGACATTCTGTCCATCTATGACCAGGGCTCCTTCTGTTTTCTCATCCTCCTTGATCTCTCTGTTGCCTTTGATACCATTGACCACTCTATCCTCCTCCATTGCCTTACCTCAACCTTCATAGTTCTGTCCTTGAGTGGTTCAGATCCTACCTCTCACACCACTTTGTCTCCACAAATGGCTTCTCCTCCAGCCCCTGCACAGTCTTGTGCGGCATACCTCAGGGATCTGTCCTTGGTCCTCTTCTCTAACTTGTACATGCTCCCTTTTGGTGACTTAATCCGTAGAAGTGGGGTCACGTGTATGGGGATGACACACAACTCTATTTCTCTGCCTCCACCCTCGACTTCAGGACCACTGCTGTTCTGACAGAATATCTATTAGACATCAAGTCCTGGGAGAGAGCTAACTTTCTACAGTTGAACGTCAACAAGACCAGGGCACTCCTGATTGGCTCCCGACAGCGCCTCCACACCTCAGAGATGCACAGTCCACCTCTCTGAGCCAGTCCGGAACCTCAACTGTCCTTTCTACCCCACATCTGTACCATGACCTGCTCTGCCTTCCCCCACCTCCTCTAAAGATTAAGATCCAAAGTTATTGGTAACTGGTAAATAACTGTGTAAAACTGCTTAGTGACACCCTAATTAAAGGGTTTCGTAGTATTGTACTGTGGAATTAAATACACAAATTTGATTATTCTAATAGCATCTGTCTTTATGAACTGATATCTGTGAACTGAGTGTAATCTCTCATTATTTTTCAGGCATTGGTATACTACACCTTTGCAGCATTGGGTGGAAATTTAGTAGCAGATATGATTTTGGTAGGTGCATTAACTGTAGAATTAGTCATCAATAGCCAGTAGCTTCTGAGTGCATGGTACTACATTGTAATGATATCTGTTTTAACAGGGCTACAGGTATCTTAGTGGAATTAATCTTCCTCAGCATTGTGAAGCAGCTCTAGTTCATTACAGAACTGCAGCAGAATACGGTAATCATTTCAGTATCTGAATTCAAAAAATATTGATTATTGTTAACATTTAAAAAATAATTGGAGCATTTAAGAAATTAGACACGTGCATATAGAGCAAGCATATTAGAGGGTACAGAGAAACAGAGTTGAGCTTAGAATGCATTTTGGAGGTGGAACTATTAATGGGCTGAATGGGGCCTGCTGCTGAATGAAACATTTCTATGGTTCAAACTTGGGTCTTTCATGGTTACCAAAGTTTACAACCACTCATGCATGTCCAGTAATGCATCATAAGTATATCTGTATAACAGACCTCAAGGGCCTAATTGTATTCAGTTGAAAATGCACAGTGTAAAATATTGCAGTTTTCACACAGGTTACACATCTTTAACCACTGCATGAGTCATTTTCTCAATGTAATGAATAGCTACTCGTATGAATGTACATGCTCCAGCTTCTCAGATCCCTCCTACGCTTACGTATCTCACTTATTTTACACAAGTATAAAACACCACGAACACACATAACCTTTAGTCAATTGTTTATTGTTATGTTTTTTTTAGTCAGCTGGGTGTTGGGCAAGTTTCCCCAAAAAATAATAATAAATTGTTCACTTCAATCCCTGACTGTTTGTGGGACACTGCTGTGCACAATTGGCTGCCGTGTTTCGCCAACAAAATATACTGTCAATGTGGTAAGGCGCTATATCAAATGCAAGGATTATTTTCCGAAGAGGGACACATCCTGCTTCCTAATTCCGGAAAGTGTTAGGCACAGGCTGGCAGGAGACAAGGTTTGGAGACTCTAGAGTGTGCATTGGGGTACTGCTGGAGTCTAACCATCTAAAACAGCACAGCTTGCCATTGACAGACACTGCTTGTCCAGCTTGAACTTTACTTAATTTTTGCGGACCTGCCCTTGACTGTTTCGATTCCTATCTCTCTCACCGTCTCCACTTTGTTGCCTCCAACGGTTTCTCCTCCAGCCCCTGCACTGTCACATCTGGCGTCCCCCAGGGCTCTGTCCTTGGCCCTCTCCTTTTTAATATCTACATGCTTCCCCTTGGTGACATCATCCGCAGACATGGGGTCAACCTCCATATGTATGCGGATGACACCCAATTCTATCTTTCTGCCTCCACCCTCAACTCCAGGAACACTGCTGTCCTGACAGACTGCTGTCAGACATCATGTCCTGGATGAGGGCAAATTTCCTACAGTTGAATGTGAACAAGACTGAGGCCCTCCTGATTGGCTCGCGCCAGCGCCTCTGCACCTCAAGCATCAACCTCCATGGTTGCACACCTCAACTCACCAAGTCAGTCAGGAGTCCAGGAGTCTTGTTCGACCCTCAACTGTCTTTTCTTCCCCACATCCAAGCCATGACCCGCTCTGCCTTCCCTCACCTCTGTAACATTGCCCGACTCCGCCACTACCACACCCCTCAGGCCGCTGAAACTCTTGTTCATGCATTCATCACCTCCAGGCTCGACCATGCAAACGCCTGCTTGTCGGCCTTCCCAACTTCTCCCTCCACAGACTGCAGATAATCCAGAACTCTGCAGCCTGTGTCCTCTCCTGTACCAAACTCCATGACCCCATCTCCCCCATTCTCACCCAACTCCATTAGCTCCCTATCCTTCAGAGAATCCAGTTCAAGATCCTGGTCCTCACCTACAAAACCCTCAAAGGCCTCGCCCCACCCTACCTCTGCGACCTCCTAACCCCCTACCAACCCGCCCACTCCCTCCGCTCAGCCGGCCCTGGCCTGCTCCACGTCCCCTGACCCACCCGCCCCACCATTGGCAGGAGAGCCTTCAGGCACTCTGCCGCCAACCTCTGGAATTCCATCCCCCAATCATTCCGCCTCACCCCCTCCTTAGCCTCCTTCAAGTCCCGCCTCAAAACCCTCCTCTTCGACCATGCCATCAGCCACCCCTTTCTCCTCCCCTCCCTTCTCCCCCACTGACCCCAGCTCGGGTCTGAAATGCTGTACACTGTCCTGCACCTTGGGACGTCCTCCCGACGTGAAAGGCGCTATATAAATGTAATGTTGTTGTTGTTGTTGAACCATCGTTGCCATTGCCAAACATGTCAACTTTGAGCCAATTCAGCTCCAAGGAGACAGGGCTTACCCCCCCCCGAGGAGGATAGTCACTAATTGATCATTTGAGCTGAATGGTAGACGTCAGGAACTCCCTTTGAGCTTCCTCGTGGGCAAAACAGCTCATCATGAAATGTGTGAGAACATTGCCACCATCTTCCTGTCCGCAGCTTGGACACAAGTCTCTTCCCATTGAGCGATGGTTCTGCCAGGTGGAGGTGCAGAGTTTAAGCAGCAGCTCCTTACCTCTCTGCAAGCCAATCAAGGTGGATTCTATTCGCTTGATGTATGAACATGTGTTCACGAATTCGAACTCCAAGAAACACCTTCCAACAGCTCAGAGATTTCCCAAGCCTCAGAGATTCCTCAACAGCTATCTGGCGGACATTTGCCTTCATTGTGGTGGGAAGAACTTCACAGGACAGTTTGTGATGTGCCAACCACCTCGATGTTCTCAAAGTCCAAGTGTGGCATCCACTCTGACAATCACGACTGAGAAGAGACTGTTGCAATTGAATAATAAACAGTAATATTAACCATAGAGAGAAGCAAGCAAGAAAAAAAATCAGCTATTTTTGCAAACTAGTGCTATGAGTCCAAATTTAAGATTCTAAGCTGGTTTGCAGAATCGGATACTTTTGAATTGATGAATGAATAGAATAGGATACTTATGAATTGAATAACAAATAGGTTCCTTCCAGTGTTAATATATTGGGAACAAAGTCGAGGAACACTTAACTAAGCAGAATGTATTTCTTTGCAACTGAGATAGGATATTTAGCAGCTTAATTATACAGTATGTCTCTCTGGAGATGAGTATCTTGTAAAGTCAAGGGAAGCAAATGATGAGTCCATTCAGTTGAGTCTGCTTGTGATTGCCTATTGGAGAATTGATTCATTCCCACAGGAGACAGTTTGTAGCCAGACCAGATAATAAGGAAGAACAAATTGTGTCCTGTGGTACATCTTAGAATATTTGAACATTTTGTTCATTATCACATGGAGTAGTATTAATTGACAATCTATGGATCTGGAGATTTGCCTTATCTCCTTAATTTTGATCTCTCTCAATCTTTCCCTCTCACACATAGATGTTACGTTTTTGTAATTTAAAACTTTTAAGTAACCAAGAATAGCCTCATCAGTTATGTTTTCCATTATTCATTACAACAAAAAAGGGGGAAGAAATTTGTATTTATATTGAAATGAAACTTGAAAATACAGTATTCATTGAATGATGAATAAGAAAAAATCAATTCATTAAACCATATTTCCCACTAATTGCTGGATTTGATAACTATCTTTGACACCAATTGAACCAAGGCTGACACCAATAATGTTATTACTGCTTCGTTTTCTTTACCCAACAAATTCAAAGTTGGCTACTTATTTGTCTTTAATTTTATTACGATAAAATGTGAGATTTGTTTAGTTTCTGATACGTTTTAGTGTAAATTAACAACAAAATGTCATAATGTTTAATTCTGGTTTATTATGTGCAGTTGCCAATGATATTGCCCTTAATGGAGGAGTGCTAACAGAAAAGGTTAGACTGACAGAAAGAGCTGAAAACCTTAGCTCAAATGGTGAAATAATGGAATTAGATTTGTACCAGTACTTCCAATTAATAGCAGAGAAAGGAGATGTTCAATCACAGGTATGAAACTGCACTGAGTGAAGTTAAATAATGGTTTTAATAGCAGTTTATTATTATGGAAGTCTGTTTTCAAATCTTGTTCATTTTTTACTATTTAAAAGCACTTCGTAAAACTATATTTGACATTTCATTGAAATCAAAAACAGAAGTCGCTGGGAACACTCAGCAGGTCAGGCAGCATTTATGGAGAAAGCAAAGTGAGTCAACGTTTCAGGTCCACGACCCTTCGTCAGTTCTGAAATATTGACTCACGTTCCTTTCTCCATAGATGGTGCCTGACCTGCTGAGTGTTCCCAGCGACTTCTGTTTTTGTTTTCAGATTTCCAGCATCTGCAGTATTTTGTGTTTTGTTTGACATTTCGCTATTGCCTGGTTAGACCTTGACTACAAGTGTGGACATTTTACCCTTTAGAAATTTTGGATGACTTTGGATGGAGTATTACCACACAAGCCTAAACCATTAACAAGTAAACGTAAAAGCAATGAAATCATTCTGATAATATGCTAAGCAGTAAAGAAATGCAATTTTGTATGTAAAAATAGAAAACTGTAAAAAATATTGGAAATCTGGGGGAAAAGCACATAATGGGTCAGGTCAATCAGCAAGTCATAATACTACGAAAGAAATTCAAATGAAGACAACCCTTTGCCCCATTTGATTTATTTCTTACAAAATAACAACTCTTCCATCTTCTCATTGCAGCATCAAACAGCTTCTTAAATAAATTAGTGTCCAGGCTTAATCAACCCTTTTTGTAACCCATTCCATCTGTTAATTATCTTCTGTGTAAATAAGTATTTCCTGGTGTTGAATCAGGCAAACATAGCAACTAATTCTTGCAAGAAATGTCCTGCAAAAAAAACAATGAGATGGATCGTCAATAAATTAGAATTTGGGGATAAATGTGGATAAGGAGGGAATATAAGCATGTTAACCAGAAGATTGTACGCCACATTTTCTTTGAAGTAGCAATGGCCGGGCCTTTATGTCCAACTGATTCAGAAACCAGACAGTATATAAATTAAAGAAGAACCAAAAATATTATCCAGTCATTCCACATGTTGATCTGCTCTGCATTATCACTAGGGTTAAAGGTAAAAATCCTATCAGTGATTCACCTGGGACACATCAATGATGTTGCCCTTCAAACATTGACCAAGGTTTCACATTTCACAATTTAAATCACTTTTAATAAAAGTTCCTTCCATCTTGCAAAATATATAGAGGTTATTTTTTTTAAATTGAAATATAAAACGTTTAGAATAGACAAAATTAGAAAGGTAAAATAAAAATTGGACAGGAAAAATAAAAATTGAATAGCATAGAAAGGGAGCAAAAAAGAGAAATGAGAAGGAAAATAAACTGATTCATTCTCATTTCTAATTAACGTTATCCTTTAAAATACTTATATATGCTTTGATGAATGTAGAATAACTATGGAAGTTTATATTTGATAGATTGCCTTTGTTTTCCTTTAGGCTGGTCTTGGTCAATTACATCTTACAGGAGGCAAAGGAATAGAAAAAGACTATGAAGTAGGCATACTTTCAGGCTTGTTTTAAACATTTACTTTTATAATAATAATAATCCTTGCATTTGATATTGCGCTTTTCAAGTCTTCTCGACGTCTCAAAGCGCCTCATAGACTGTAAAGTGAATTGACCGCATATTTGTGGGCAAAACGCGGCAGCCAATTGCGCACAGTAGTGTCCCACAAACAGTCGTGGATTGAAAAATGAACAATTTTTTTATTGTTTTGTTTTGGAGGGATTATTATATATGGATAGTGACTGAAAGAAAATGCAGATTAACTTCAATACCATAGTGAAAAAAACAAATAATATGCATTCTGAACTGATGTAGAATGAAACCTTGTTATAATACGGAAATCATTTTTAAAATTGCAGCCTCTAACATGGATCACAAAATTCTACCTTATGAATTATGAATTCTTACATGAAGAGATTTTTTTAATGTTTCTCTGATCGTCCCAAGTTGTCTATACTGTACCTCCCCTCATCAATGGAAGAGGTACAGTATGAGCCCTCACCCGAGAATGGAACGTATGAATGGAATATAATATAGAATAGAATATAGAATATAATGTCTCTACGATAAAGTTTACTGCCTTGTTTATCAAATAGATCGGGGACAGGATACTTTGCTAGTGTCCTTTATTTCAATCACTTTATTATGCAATCAATAATGTTTTATTTCTCATATCTTAATTCTTTACCTTTTTCTCATTTCTCATATTTTAATTCTTTATCTTATTTCTCCATATCTGTTCTTCAATTTTTATACTACATTTATTTTGCTGTAAGCAAAAACAAAAATATGGTTATTTGTCACCAATGGTGCAGCATAAATATAGTATTGAAGCATTTTGGCTGCTCTGCACCTTTCAGATATGCAGCTAGACATCTACCAGCTCTTTCTGATCTACATGCTCCCTCTTGGGGATGTCATCCGCAGACATGGAGTACATTTTCACATGTCTGCAAATGACACCCAACTCTATTTTTCCACCTCTCTTTGCGACCCCCCGTCCCCTGATGTTCTGTCAGCCTTCCTGTCAGATCTCAGGGGCTGGATGAGCACAAACTTCCTTCAGCTGAAGGTTGACAAAACGGGAGCCATACTCTTTGGCTCTCGTCAACGTCTAAAACCTCACGGCTCTCACCTCCACCTACCCGACCTCCCCCTAAAACTCTCCGAACCCATACGCATCCTAGGCGTCAGGTTCATCCCCAATTATCCTTCCTTCCCCCACATCCGGTCCCTCACCAGCACCGCCTTCTTCCACCTCCAATGCATCACTCGTCTCCGCCAATACCTCTCCCCAAAAGCCGCTGAAACCCTGGTCCATGTCCTTGTCACCTCACAGCTGGACAACTCTAATGCCCTCCTCGCCGGTCTCCCATCCACTACCATCCTGGAGTCCTGTAGCTCAGTGGTTAGAACACTCGCTTTGCAAGCGAGGGACCTGAGTTCAATTCCAGGCAGGGCGAAACCTTGGGCAAGTTTCCTTACTCCACACGCCTAATAATAATCCCTCAAAAAAAACGATAATAAATTGGTCATTTTCAATGCACGACTGTCTGGTACACTGCTGTGCACAATTGGCTGCCGCGTTCGCCCACAAATATACAGTCAATTCACTTTACAGTATATTCTGTGAAGCGCTTTGGGATGTCTAGAAGACATGAAAAGCGCTATATCAAATGCAAGGATTATTATTATCCATAAAATCCAAATCATTCAAAACTCTGCCGCCCGCATTCTCACCCGCACCAAACTCCGCTCCACGATCACCCCAGTCCTTGCCAGACTGCACTGGCTGCCTATCCCAGAAAGGATTGATTTCAAGATCCTCACCCTTGTATTCAAGTCCCTGCAACCCCCTCCCTCTCTGACCTCCTCTCTCCTCAAAACAGTACCCGTTGCCTCCGTTCCTCCGGGTCTGGCCTTCGAGTCCTCCGCTCCACCCTCGGCGACCGTGCCTTCAGCCACTATGCCCGAGGCTCTGGAACTGCCTTCCTCACTCCCTTCGTCTTGCTCCCTCCCTTCCCATTTTCAGGTCTCTGCTGAAAACCTTTCTTTTCAACTGCGCCTTTGGTCACCTTTCTCCCCCTCCCCCTGGCTCGGTCCCGGGATCCATTACTGTAAAGCGCTCTGAGACACTGTCCGGCGTGGAGGGCACGATATAAATCCAAGTTGTTGTTGTTGCCAATCTCCATTTCTGAGCTAATTTCTCAGGAATACATGAAAGCATCCAGAGATAACTCAACCTTAGACTTGTTCCCCCTTTTGGGAAAATACAAAGCTTTATTTTCATTCTGTTGATACAAAAGCCATGATCAAAAGTAGGACCATATTCTACCTCTTTGCGGTACAGTATTTTAGAACTCCACCCTTAGGCCGTCTGATCCCATTCTAACGGAAGTCCACAGCTTGTGGACTACGCTATATTTGAAGTGTGATACAGGGTGCACAGGAAATCAGTCAGTAGCATAAATGATATCAGCGGCAAACTGACGACCCATTATAATGTTGTGTCAAATTTTATGGACCTCACGTTATAATTGGTTTGAATTGCACCTTTTTTTTAACCTTTTGTCTAATTTATTCAGTGATCTCTACATTAGTGTAAGTGCACAGAGATGTATGTTTGGTTGTTTCTGAATACCTCGTACTAAATGCAAGTAAAAACATAAAGTGAAAAAGTGCTGCTTTACTTTTTAAGTCTGAAAAACATAGATTGGGATAGAAGGAATAATGAATTGTAAACAATTAGAACATGATTTTCTCTTTTTTTTTTAGAAAGCCTTCTACTACTTATCAAAAGCTGCACATGGTGGCAGCATAAATGCCCTGGGTTTTTTAGGAAAGGTAATAAAATGAATCCTTATCAAAAATGTTTTGTCACACAAAATGTTGGAATTATTTTACATAACCATTACTTGAGTTCAATTTAAATGTAATATTCTGTGACAGGACGTTGTATCTACATAAAATCTTCTTTTATACTTTTGTGAAATTATTTATTCTGCATTATCCAATAAACATTCTAGAGATAATCTAGAAAGTTTTACAATTTTGCATTTACAATTTCACCTCAGAGTCATGAATTACGACTATTCTGACCCATTGCTTTGTAAGATACACTCCTGGTATGGTAAGATCGCTTATAGAATCGATTATAGAATTGAATTATTCAAGGTTACCATTTTGATAAACAGTTGTCATTTGTAAACAAACATGGTTCATAGGTGTCAGAGAATTGGATTTAGGAAATTTGGAGTAAAAAAAGACCATTACAGTCATCTGGTTTACTGAAAGGCATACACAATGAACAAATATGAACATATCGCTAAAGCTAACCTCTTTGTAGTACAGTACAAGGCATTTTTTGGAAGCGAGGACAAGATGGGCAGTATTTTATTTAAATCATACATATTTGTCAGAAAATATTGTAACAAAAAGAATTGTAATTGTTGGGTCCTCTCAAGTTTAAACAGCATACATTATCACAATAGATAGATTGATGCACCACCATCTTTCAATATACCGGCATTACCAAAATTTCTCTTTCTGGTATTAATGATGGGGAATCACAGTATACAGGCATTTAACATTCTGGCTGACATAATGATATTTAGTATGCACATTTTATAAGTCTTTGATCATGGATGTTTTGTCCCAGTGCTATTGATTAATATTCAAAGCTTGTAAGAATAATTGTGATAATATTTACTTGATATTATGGGCTTGTTAGATAATTGTTTGGCTTTGTGAAAGAAAATTTGTCATCAGGCTTCCCATATGTCAGATGGTGGATAATAAGTGCATGGTAAGAAAGAGGCAAATATTTGAATACTGAATTTCTGAAATTAAAGGATAAACACAACTCTGTTGGTACAGAGACTGGATGTGAATAGAGTAGAATCATGGCATATATAAAATTAATCTTGCATTTTGGTATAGCGCCTTTTGCATCTTGAAGTCCTTCACAGGAAGTGTAAAGTGTCATGTTTGTGCATTTTATAGGCCAACAGTCCATTTGTGCACAGCAATGTCCCAAGTGAATCCCCCAAAAATCTATTTAATTTTGGGGATTGTTACATTGCCCGACTCTGCCACTATCTCACCCCTCAGGCCACTGAAACTCTTGTTCATGCCTTCATCATCTCCAGGCTCGACTATGCAAATGCCCTGCTTGTCAGCCTTCCCAACTCCTCCCTCCACAGGTTGCAGATAATCCAGAACTCTGCAGCCCATGTCCTCTCCCGCACCAAACTCCATGATCCCATCTCCCCCATTCTCACCCGACTCCATTGGCTCCCTATCCTTCAGGGGATCCAGTTCAAGATCCTGGTCCTCACTACAAAGCCCTCCATGGTCTCGCCCCACCCTACCTCTGGAACCCCCTACCAATCCGCCCGTTCCCTCCACTCATCCGCCTCTGGCCTGCTCCACGTCCCCCGACCCCCCCGCCCCACCATTGGCGGGAAACCCTTCAGCCACTCTGCCCCCAACCTCTGGGATTCCATCCCCCAATCACTCCGCTTCGCCCCCTCCTTAGCCTCCTTCAAATCCCGCCTCAAAATCCTCCTCTTTGACCATGCCATCAGTCACCCCCCTTCCCCTCCCTTTTCCCCCACCTGACCCCAACTCGTGTCTGAAATGCTGTACACTGTCCAGTGCCTTGGGACGTCCTCCCAACGTGAAAGACGCTATACAAATGTAATCTTGTTGTTGTTTGTGTGGGCCACGGGAGATATTCCCTTCTCTTTATGAATAGAACTGTGGGATCGTTAATAGAACATCTGATCAGAATCTCGGTTTCAAATCTCACCCGATGGATAACATCCCAACAATACAGCACATCCCCAAGCACTGCATCTAGTCTGCCAACCTGCACTACATGTTCAAATCCCAACGTGAAACTCAATCCCACAACCTTCTGACTCAGAGGCGAGAATGCTTCCAAATTAGATAGGCTGGACATGTATGCCTTGAAACAGGCCTTTCGGCTCAACTGGCCAGGATAGCGAGAGAGAACCGGGAAGGGGGAGAAGAAACACAGCAAGAAAATTAGAGAAGCTACAATAATCCCAATTTCAGCTCCCTCCAAAATCAATACATAATATTTACTGGATCCCCTTGGACAAACCAATGTGATTATACACAGAATTAAAGATTCAAAGTGGGTAAACTTAAATAGATATTTGCAGCTGTCAGCAACCGCCAATTTAGTGTTGTAAGCAAGGGGGCTTTATAAATAGTGAGGTTTAAAGGGCCTGTTTAAAAGCTTTGCTGTTAGATTCTGGAATTTTCTTCCTAAATAATTGTGACCCACCTACAAATCTACCTGACTATATTTGCAGCTCACATCAGTCTATGGGACACTCAAACATCTTTGGGACTTGTCATTTTGTACACATCTGATGAGACCTTGACTACTTTGAAGAAAGAAAAAGTTGAAATAATTCATATATTTGGTTTTCCAGATGTACTCAGAAGGCAGTGAAGCAGTGCCTCAGAACAATGAAACTGCACTCCAGTATTTTAAAATGGCAGCTGACAGGGTAAGGCTTATTATCCTGCTCTGTAAATAGTTCACATACACACACTCACACACATTTATATAATAATAATATATTCAATTCAACTTAATGCTTGATAGAAATAAATTTGAGCAACAGCTTTGTAATATGTGTAACATGAAATCTGAATTCATATCTATACATACAGGGTAATCCTGTTAAAGTGCTATTATCTGATGCAATGTCTCAGATTTTGTGTTATGAAACGCAAAACAGGTTATTAAGTCGCTGCTCACATCAAGACCTAAGCCCTCAACCAGCAGAGTGTTACCTTGTATTTAACTGAAAAAATGCCAATACTAGACAGCCCTTAAGTTTGTGATAGTCTATCCCTGCTTTTCTGTGTCGACACATCGTGGAATTGTCATTTAGAAAAGGTGAGTTTTAAAAGGCTTGGTTGCACTTCAGATACTAGATTATCAATTGAAATACGTTCCTAAATTATTCAGCCTTCTATAAGATCATAATTTAGCAGCACCACAAGAGTTGTTGAACTTCAGACCAATAACCATGAATCTTAATAAGAGCACATTTCTGCAACAATAAAAAGTCTGCATACCAATAGGGCTGAAGTCTTGCACTCCACTCTGCTTCTGGAAATCAATGTCACCTGTTCCGTCATGCAGATATTCACATGCACAGTTAGTCATCATTTCTAACAGGATTGAGCAGGATTATTGGAGGAACATGCAATGATTTATAGCACAATTTCACCAATCTTTCCTGTGTTTCAGGATCTGCTGTAGCTACATTTTTGAGACATCTAACCCTAATGCATTTATTTTTAAACTACATTGTGTTAAACCTGAATAAGTTATACTGTACTTTATTATCCCTTAAATTACACTTCTGGTAGACTGGAATCAGAAATGCAGTACCACTGAATGCCATCTGGTGGCACTGGAAAATTGATCCTCGTTATAAATTTATCAGCAGATAGTTATTGTTTCTATAGCTGTTCGTAAAATGTATTCAGGCAGCGTCAGTTATAACGCAGTTGTTGAGGCCATAAAAAAAGGCATCGTTTTATGTCAGCTTAACAAAATGACTACTGGTAAGTGCTTCTGAGCTGTCAGGCCACTGCTGATGTCACTGAAACATGCTGACCGCAAGAAGCCAACCAATTAGTAGTCTGGTCTTAAGGAGAGACTCGTGATCTAGGCTGGAGAGTCCCTGCCAATGTTGGAGGTACTCTTGGTTGTAGTTAGATGAGAATAACTCCCAATTCTCTGATAAGCTTCCCTGTAATAGCTTATCACGAACACTGCACAACTAAATATCTTCACCATCTTTATATTTATCTCCTTCGATGACAACATCCGTAGGCATGAGAGCCACTTTTACAAGTACATGAATGAAGCACAACCGCATCTCTCGGCCTCTACCATTTATCCCAGGAATACTGTTGCTCTGATCAATTGCCTTTCAAGTACTTGATAAATTCTAATTTTCTATAGCTCAATGTTGACAAGACTGGGGCCTTCCTGAATGGCTCGTTTGTGCTTTCTCACCTCAGGTCCTCACCATATCGAGCTACATAGGTGCTCATTCCACCTCCTGGTTTGGAACCTTGGTTTGACCCCCTCCCACACATTATCCTTCAAACCTTTACATCTGGCTTTCACTAGTTCTACTTTCCCCTCACCTCTGTAAAATGACCGGCCTTCCCCATAACTTCAACCCCCAAGCTGCTGAAAACCTTATCCACACCTCCAAGCTTGATTACTAGAATATCTTGCTTGGTGGACTATCCAGCTCCTCCGTGTACACACTGCAGACCATCCAGAATATTGCAGCCAAGTCCTCTCCACCAGGCAACAATATCATAAAAAAAGAAACAGATCATCAAGCCTTGCTTGCTCAACTCCACTCACTTCCCATCCCCCAGTGTATTGAATTGAAGATTCTTGTACTCACTTTCAACTACCTCCATGACCTCACACCAACCTATCTCTGCAACCAACTGCCTGGTTGATCCTTCCATTCAGGAAACACTGGCCTGCTTTACGTACGCCTGCCCTCTCCACTGCTCCATAGGTTTGAGACTTAAGCCGCTCTGACACCACCCTCTGCAGCTTCATCCCAAAGTTCTTCCACCTCACCCCTACCAATTCATATGGCTTCTTGGGAACTGTACGCAAATAATTTGGCCAAATAGCCCAGCAAACTGTTTGGCTCGTTTATTGCTATCTCACATGTGAACGAGTCAACTGACACCCTGAGGTCTGTTTCAGCTTTCCCCTTGGCAAGTTTTGTCCTATCCATGGAATATATATGTCTTTTATTTTTACTTCCCATATGCAGTACCTTACATTTATCTGTGCTTTTTTTCAGGGGAATCCAATTGGATTGACAGGTTTAGGATTAGCACATCTTTATGGAAAAGGACTGCCTGTGGTAAGTTTCCTACTTCCATAATGTGAGGTTGTTTTTTTAAAAAAATACAGATGATCCAACTCAACAGTCCATGGCTATCATATATTGTTTTAATGTTTTTTGTTTTGTTCCAGGACTATGAAGAGGCATTAAAGAACTTTAAGAAGGCAGCTGATAAGGGCTGGGTAGATGGGCAGTTTCAACTAGGAGTCATGTACTATTGTAAGAATACAAAATACATTGTTTTGGTATATTAATAGTAAGGTAACATTGTAATTATACTTTGTACACTGTACCAACAGAAAATGAATGTAACTTTTTTTCATTACAGCTGGCTTCGGTGTAAAAAGGGATTATAAAATGGCCAATAAGTATTTTCAGCACGCTTCTCAAAATGGCCATGCTCTGGCATTGTACAATCTAGCTCAGATGTATAGTAGTGGAACTGGAGTGGTTAGATCCTGTGTCACTGCAACTGAGGTAATAGAATTGGTCCAGTTTATTTGAGTGGTAAAAATAGAAACATTAAACAGCAAAAAATGAAAAAAACACTTGATCCATCAAGTCCATTATCTTTGGACAATTTTGCACAATTTGCTTTAATATAGACACAACTAAACCCAGTTAATTTCCTGAAGAAAGGTTGTGCAAAGTAGATCAACCAAAACTTGAGAATATTTCTTTAACTTTATATCCTGTATAACTGTGCCTTTACTTTCCTTGGCATGACATTTATTTTTATAGTTCAAGCTGCTCAAGAAATATGTTCCTTGGAACATTTGAGCACAGCTTTTCATTAGCTCTATCTATCATTATCCTCCAACTAACCAGATATTCATTTCAGCTATTTTTAAAAGTTGTTGATTAAAATAGCTGCTCTAGCTCAGAATCAATTCCATACTTACAATGTAGAAGAAAACACTTTTTGTTCAATTTGTACTGTTGTCTTCTGATTCTATGCTTAGAACCCTAAAACAAGGAATTAGTTTGTATTTACATTGTCCTTTGCCGAAAGTATTGTAAAGATTTGGATCACCTCTTGATTTTTTTTTAAAAAGAACATTAAGATCAATTTTGTAAGCAATTTTTTTTCACAATTTAGAGCCCACCTTGCCATTTTCCTGAATCATTTCCAATGCATTAATGGCCTTTTGAAGTAAAGTGGCTAGAATTCCAAGTGTAATGTCACAGATCATCTTCACAGTAAATAATCACATCTTTTTTCTTTTCTGCCTTTGGTATTGCCTAAGACATTCCTTTATCACATACATGTTTTATTTATCCTGTCATAGCATGTGTATCCTTCTATTTGTATACATTAAAATTCATCAGTGGCCCCAAGTTTACGAACCATTAAATGATGGTTATATCTGTGTAACATTGCAGATACTTTAATCATCATTATTATTATAGAATTCATGCAAAATAGTTGAAGGATGTCAATAATTTCATGATTATTAATAAATACCTTTTCTTAAATGGTGACACATTGATCAAATCACTGTCTAAATTATTAACAGAGGATTATATCTATACAAATTAGATATGTAAATGTTCTTTTGAATTTGCATTATGGGATCTAATTTGTGGGATATCATAATTAGGAAATAGACATAGGATGCAAGTTATGCAGAAGCAGTTCCTGCAAGTTGAAAAGATATACTTCTGGTCATCAGATAAAGCTCCCATTGTATATTTATTAAGAATTCTTATTAACAAATAAAACCACAAATAAAAAACACACAAATTAAACTGCATTTTATGGTGATAAATGAACACCTAGAATAAGCTTTTTTCTCATCAGATGCGATGAGGTTTGGTGAGCCAAATGGTTTTTCTCATCTCTGACTTCTTTTCTTCTAACAAAGAATTTGCCCTAAAGTTACAGCAGATAAATTATTCAGTGTACTCTTTACTTAAAGTTGTTCCAATTTCGAGACAGTAATGTAGTTCAATGGTTTAATTATATTCTGATTTAAATATTTTATTTCACTTAGGCATTTATTCTAAGCAGTATTTATTTTGAATTATCATTTCTTTCAAATTCCTTTTAAGTTCTAAATTGCTCTTTCTTCTTCCCTTCAATAGCTGTTTAAAAATGTTTGTGAACGAGGCCAGTGGACTGAGAGAATCTTGTCTGCTTATTTTGCGTATAAGGAGAACAATATAGATTCTGCATTTCTTCAATATATGTTCCTAGCTGAACAAGGATATGAAATGGCTCAGAGCAATACAGCTTACCTTCTGGAATATGGTAGCTTTCAAAACTAAACTGGATCTTTTGAAGGATTTTATTTGCAAAAAAAATTGTTATTCAATTTTCTAAATATCCTTTATAACAGAACAACCTACACTAGTTGCAAAGACTGATTGCTACCCAATGGCTCTGATATACTGGAACCGAGCTGCAGTTCAAGGTACAGTTGTCTGTATAAAATACATAGCAAAGGCAGTCTAATTAGTCTACCTTCTAGCACCTAAAAACTACCCCAAGCTTGACTGATTTGTAAGCCAGTTTGTGGTTTTATACATAAGATCTACATGAAATACTTGTTTATGGAAAATAAACTACTGAGTTGCATAAAACATAACTACTGAATTGCATAGATGATCATGCTACAAATGCTTTTTTTCCATGTACCAGATTCTTGACTTGTATCTTGTTTTATATTTTATTGGCATATTGTTTAAAGTAGTATTTAGTACTTTTGGGGGTTTGCTTATCAGTCTGCATCTGGAGAGACACTATTTTGATTTTAATATATATAGTCCTATACAATAGTAGTTTCAGCCACCGATGGTAAGGTGGAGGGGCGAAATAGGGTGAGGGCCTTGTATTGTTTTGCCCTTATGTCTCTGGAAGTCCCACTGCTTCACTCTCTATGTATGGGGTCAAATTTCTATGCAGTACATTACAAATGTTTCGGAATTTGGATATAATAATAATAATCCTTGCATTTGATATAGCGCCTTTCACATTGTTGACACATCTCAAAGAGCTTCACAGGATATACTGTACTGTGGAGTGACTGTATACTTTGTGGGCGTAACACAGGAGCCAGTTTGCATACAGTAATATCCCACAAATAGTCATGGAATGAGTCACCAATTTTATTTAGGGGATTTGGTGGGCAGGAAACCAGGAGAAACTCCCTTTTTGAATAGTGCTATTGGATGTTTAACATCCGCCTGTTAAACATATATATCGTCCATAAAATATAGTCAATTTCACTTTACAGTATATTCTGTGAAACGTTTTTAGACATCTCAAAGATGTGATAAGGCGCTATATCATATGCAAGGAGTATTTATTATTATTACCTGAAGAGGCAGATGGGATCTTAGTTTAACATCTCATCAAAAGGATGGGCTTGTAAAGCTAAAATAGCTTGCAAAGGTTTCAGAGACTCCTTTTCTATAATTCATTAGTATCTACTTTTCAGTCAACAAATTGGACAAATGATGAAAGTCTCAAAGCACTTCAGTAAGATGATGGAGGTTACTAGGCAGGGAGAAAATCACCCGACTATGGTTATGTGCCTTCCTCTATCTCTTTGGATGAGATTTTGGTGGAAGACTACAAATGTGTGTCTTCACCATGTCAACTGAAATCTAGATTGGCCTTCTGTCTGAGGATGAGAGAAATACAGAACTACAACATGTGTGTTGCCATGGTCAGTTAGAAATATACATTTTCCCCTACCACCTGTCAGTTAAAATGAATAAAACGGGAATTCTGTTTCAAGCTGGAGAAATACTATGTCATCTCTGTCCTCTGCATCAGTCTTTACATTACAACCCCATTAGGCACTCCTCTTCTTTCTGTGAGAAGGACGAGATAGAGTGATAACAAAATCCCCAAATGCTGAGAATAGTTCTGCATGATTGGGGATATAGTCAAGTGTAAGATGGCTACTAATTTGAAGCTGTTATATTCCTTCAGATAGATTGTAAAATACCGTATAATTGTTTCTTAGGCTATTCATATGCCAGAATTAAACTGGGTGATTATCACTACTACGGATATGGCACACTGGTGGATTATGAAACAGCTGCAATTCACTATCGTCTGGCTGCTGAACAGCAGCACAGTGCACAAGCCATGTTCAATCTAGCGTATATGTATGAACATGGTCTTGGGACAGAGCAGGTATGGAGCAGTAATTTTCTTTATTTGGGGTTATTTCAATCAGGGTCCAACATTGCTAATGTTATTCAAGTAAGGAACTCAAGAATAAGACGCCCTCCAGTAAGGAACACATCATGCAACCTGCTGAAAGTTTTACACTGAAAAGCATATGACATAAGAGCAGAACTTCCATGTTGAAATGTCATATGTCCAGTGTTCTTATTATGCCATACATCCCTTTGGAAATTGATGTATACTCTATTTGATCCCTATGTTGTATTTTAGTAAAATATTTTATATGATGTATATCATTTTATATAATGTACATACTGTGTATGTTTAAAAAATCATCATAATTTGGTCACTCAATCCATGACCGTTTGTGGGACGCCGTTGTGTGCAATTGGCTGCTGCATTTCACCCACAAAATACACAAGTCAATCCACTTTACAATATATTCTGTGAAGCACTTTGAGACATCTCAATCACTTCTTCAGCCACTATATCAAATGCAAGGATCATCATCATCTTGTGTTATATATTTCAAATCAGATTATTTTATTCTAATAATACTGTGGTTTTCAATCATTTATATCCAAGATATTGTACCTGTTAGCCGAAATTGAACAGTATTTCAAAATTGTATTCCTCTAGGATCTTCACTTGGCTAAAAGATTCTATGACTTAGCTGCAGAAACAAGTACAGATGCCTATATTCCAGTCTTCTTTGCACTTTGCAAGTTAGGAACCATAAATATCATCAATTCTATTCAATCTGCCAATGTAAGTAAAATAAGAATGTACAAAGATTTATAAAGCTAGCTCACAAAAAAGCTAGAGGCATGGAATGTAAAGCAGGGATTGTGGCTGTATGGGAATCATGATCAGTTTTGTGCACCTTCGTAGACAGGATATCCTGACATAAGATGGGAGCATTGGCACGTAGCACAGATTCAAAGATAGAAGGCTATGTCACCTCCTCCCCCGGCTCAGGTTCCGTCTCCATCCAGTGGAGGCCTGTAGCTCAGTGGTTAGAGCACTCGCCTCGCAAGCGAGAGACCTGGGTTTAATTCCCGGCAGGGCGAAACCTCGGGCAAGTTTTCTTACTCCACACGCCTGATAATAATCCCTTAAGAACAAAAAAAGCAATAATTTGGTCACTCAATCGATGGCTGTTTGTGGGACACCTATGTGCACAATTGGCTGCTGTGTTTTGCCCACAAAATATACAGTCAATTCACTTTACAGTATATTCTGTGAAGCACTTTGAGACGTCTTGAAGACGTGATAAGGCCCTATATCAAATGTAAAGATTAATATTATTATCTCTATATCATTTTGAGATATTATTCTATACAAATACTGCACTTCTTCCTGAAAATTCTTCACACAAATAGCTTCTTTGCTGATTTTGCCATTTTTAATGTCCAAAGGGACAGTGTCGATCATGTAACACCATTAACATATTGATGTTAGAAACCCTTTTCAGAACAATGCAGTTGCGGAGGAAAACCTGGATGACTCACTCCACTCAGCTTCTTTAAAGTGCTCCTCCAAAACATTACCCTAAATTGAGGGTACAATATAAATTCAAGTTTTTGTTGTAGACAGGAGGCTGTGCCAGTAGCTGATTCGGAACTTGCTTTTCTCCCCACTTAATCACCTCCAAGGTTCTCAGAGACCAGCAGTCTGTTATTGCACGAAGCTCAGCTCCACCAAATCCTAACCAGGAGCCTGATGCCTTCTCCCAGAATGGCTGCTCACTGTCTTTGCAAGCCCTGCTCTATGATGTATGCTCCTGGACACGAGAGCAATAAAAATTTGCTGCAAATGAGAGCAAAATGGAAAAGCCATTAATTTTACTATTAGTATTAGATTGATTGTCTATTTATTTTTAATTCAACTTTTCATTCTTACAGCTCAGTGAAGTGTGGAATCAAATAAACCTGGACAGGGTACTCTGGCCTCATTGGGATTTGTATCTAATAATGATTTTAATTCTACTTCTGGGGTTACTGAGGGCACACAGACACGGCTAGATGGAGAACGCTTGAGTTATATCCTCCATCCTAGTCAGCAGAATGGATTAACATCTTGGATTTAAGGTGACCAAGGAATAAGTGTAGCAAGTATTGCTTTGTAAAGTTACCTTCTCCATAAGAACCTTCAAATGACTGCTGTACTGAACTGAAACTCAAGCTTCAAAATACCATGATATTAAATACATCAAAATCTGCATTATTTGTAACTGTTTCCTTGATTGCTCTTTCTATAACTTGTGACATTACTAAAAAAAAGTATTTGCTATGCTTACATGGAATGCAATTATCAGGCTTAATTGATGTTACTTCCTGCTTAGCAATCATAGTGGTTACTTTTCTAATACAACAGCAACAAATTGCATTTATATAGCGCCTTTCACATTGGGAGGATGTCCCAAGGCCCTGGACGATGAGGGGTTCGCACCCAAGCTGTGGGTTGGGATCAGAGAGAGGACATGGAGCAGGCTAGTGACCCTACACAGCGGAGAGAGTTCGACAGGTTGGTGAAGTTTAATAGGTCGCAGAGGTAGGGAGCCTCTATTCTGAAACTATTCCTGAAAAATTTCTCTCATTAATTGTAGCATTAAAACAGTAATGCAGTGATCAGTAAACTTAAATTTAAAATATTTAAAAATTAAGCCTGTGATTTTGTTTATACTCTAAACATAGGATGAAAAATGTTATGTAATATTCAAGAAGATTTAGCTGAATCTCATGCAACAAAGCAGAACTTCATTCCCAGGTAAGATTCCTCCCTATTGCCCAAGCTGGAATGGTTCACTGGTTCATTTATTTGTTCTACAAGCTATTATATTTTGCATAGTTAGTATTGATGATTCTGTTCTTAGGTGCCCAAACTGGAAATATATTCAATTTTCCAACACTGATATTTTTCCCACCTCAAACGTAAGCAATCATAACATCAAAAGTGCACGAGGGCTGTGAAAAGAAAGTCTAATGAATATAGAAATATATTATTAAATCTGCTTTAATCGATAATCCTGCAATTCAAAGAGGCCATCTGGGTAAGGATGAAGGCACCTTATATTGACGGGTAAGAATGAAATTTCGCACAAGTCAAGGCTTCAGGTAACCTCGGGAGTAATGGAGGGCAGGGAGAGTTAGGAGGTGAGTAATACAAGTTGTGTAAAGAAATCTCAGTGGTTTTGATAGGAAACTGAAATGGAGCTCAGTTGAATGTAAGATTTAGGCGTTTAAACAATTTATACAAAGACTTATGCAAGTTTTACTGGATTTGATTAATTAACAGCTTCATGTTGACAAGAACCTTTCAATTAATTATTAGGAATAACCAAAAAAAAACCCTCTCTACTTCGCTAATTGGCACATTTCATTGTGCACTATTTCCTGAACCAATATGCATTTATCTCATTAAAATCCATCTGTCATTCTTTAGCACCTGTTTAGGTTTAGATTTTTGAATCATTTTATTACCCATCTCACCACAAATTGCAATGTATTACAGCTAAGCTGTCTAATTGTTGCTAATCATTAAAGACTTAATGAGAATGATCAATTGATTTAACCAATTAGTTTCCAAGTTAAAAGTATTGATGTGCTTTGGCTCTATTCAATATTGTTCTCCAATTACCTTATGAATATAATTCCAGAACTAAAGAAGACTGGTAATTGAAACACCTCTATGGGAAGCAAAGGGTTTCCTTTCTATTCATTTCTAATCAATCAAATGCATAAGAAATAATTAGGGCATATGATTATTCCTTTGAAAGATGTTGTCTCATTCATTGGTTTCTATTATACTCTTGCAATTGAAAAGGAATCTGGCAAATTCAAGACTCTTTAAAATCCTTACAAGACACCGGTATAAGAAATCAAAAGTGTGACCGTTTTTGATTGCATTTGTTCCTAACAGGGTGTTGCACCTATAGAAAGGTAGGATACTGGATCACAATTATGATTCTGCACATAGCAAGTTTGTTTCCTAATCTCAGCTGTGCCATCAAGGAAACGTTGCAACTGAAATCCAGCCACAAGAATGAAAAATCAGAGAGCGATTCACTCTCTTCCATACTCCATAGCGTGCTCCCCTAAGAGAAATATTGGCAGATCATCTGCCTGTCGCCTTGGCCAAGGAACAGTGCCTCTTCCAGCTAGGAAATAAAATATTTAAGTAGTGGAGACATAGAATAAACAAAAGTTTAATTTGAAACAGAGCTCCAACCACAATCACATTATAAAGTTTTCCATTTATACAATCCATAAATTTGTCAGTCTCAATTTAAACATTTTATTTCAACTTTTATTCTTTTTTGTTGATATAAGTTCATTCATTTTCCCCAGATGGTCAAATGATAATGCAGCAGAACCTCTCTGTGCTGGTTTAGGCTGAAAGGAAGCAGAAATAACATGAATACAACAGTAGCGATTAGTGAGTGATGTAGAAACTAAAATGTCCCTGAAACCAGTCTTACTTGAGCATATACAATTCACAGTAAATGTGCACATTCTGTTTCATTAAGATACAATTAAGGGTTAACTTGAAAACAATCATATTTTTAAATATATGTAACAATTACAGATATTTCTAATTATTTCCTCACACCACCAATGGAATTTGTTTTTAAAATTAGTTGGACAATGAGTTGAGAATCCAAGCCATCTGTTATTCCACACGCATCTGCGTGTGTTTAATATAAGAGTTTGCTCTGTGGTTTTCTATCTCTCCTTTGAAGTTTGTATCATGCAACAAGTCAAAAAGATGAAAGCAATGGATCAGCATTGGGCAATATTACAAAGAATGAGTAGGATAATTAATGTCATTGGCTAGTTACGAAATTGTGAATAGCAAGAATTTTCAGTTTTTGTCAATAAGTGGGTACTTTTTCAATTAGGAGAAACTTGAAGGATGGTTTGTACTTAACTCCATGTGTAGCTAAACTGCACAAATATGAGCACCAATTCAGATTAATTTAAACTAGTTTTGGAGATGGTGGGGAAAGGCTTTGTTCAATAAGAATGATTTAGGCCCATTGATGCTACGAGTTGTGAAAGGTTGAAGATTACATGTACTTTATGTATGTAATACATAGAATATTATTTAAATATTTATAATATATTTTAGTGTATCCTACATGGGAAGTCACTGGCTTTCTGCATGCAAGTGATGCTACAATGCAAAAGTACTGACAGATAATCACACCCAGATATAAGGCGGGTTGGGATTTTACGAAACCCAGCTACCATGTTAATGGTACCATGTCACTGCACATTTAAATTCCACAAAATTAATTTAAATCAAAACAAAAGTAAGACCATTCAAAGTTGTTTTTAAAACAAAGGCAATAGAGGTCAAATTAACTACCAGCACGAGGTAATAGTGAACTTTTGATGAGTGGATTCAGGATTTTTTCCATTATTTTTTGTACTCTGGCATTACTTGTTATCCATTTTTGAACTGAACGGGGGGGTGGGGGGAGAGTGGTAAGAGATCCAAATTGCCCACTTAAGTTACCTGGGAATTTGAAAAAGTAACTCGTAGAGCTGATGGGAGTCTGGAGTCTGTGCAGATACCACTCTGCCTTTTAACAAAAGATGGTGTATATAAAGAAAAAAACAAAAAAAAAGTTTTCTGGTAATCTGTGAATCAACATTTCATTTTAATTGTCTTACCTGCGATTCGTGGGGTTTCCAACCAATCATATAGAAAATTTGAAATGTTGCTGGCACAGATCCATCGTCACTCCCATACATCTCTTTCAAAAGAAGAGGTTAAAAGCAATGTGTTCTATAACTTGCAAAAATAATCAATCCAAATCTATCCAATATTAGTTTAGATGCTGTCAGTAAATAATTAAAACAATTCTTCATTAGCGCTAGAAGCAAAAATGAGCTACCATATTGATCTTTATATTCTAAGATTAGTGGTGGCAATTATCTATTCCAAACCAACTTTCATGGGTCTTGCATTGTATTTTTTAATCTCGGCCTTCCAGTTTCATTCATACATCTATATGTTAACTATAATAATAATAATAATCCTTCCATTTGGTATAATGCTTTTCACGTCGGGAGGACATTCCAAAGCGCATCACAGGATTTACCCTGAGTTTGAATGATTGTGTATTTGTAGGCAAATGCAGCAGCCCAATTGCATACATTAATGCCTCACAAACAGCCAAGTTATCAAACAAGCTCATAGAAATCCACAAGACATGAAAACTCCTCAGACGTCAAACTGATTTCCAGCCCATAACTGATTAGAATAGCCCATAATTAATACATTGCTAATTAAGCTCATGAGTTCCTATGGATAAGCACTGCTAGCAAAAATCTGGTGTGTGAAAATATTCAATGAGAATAGTCCTACATGAGCTGGCAAAATAAATTATATTTCAATGTACTGTGTATCAGTGGTAAGAAATAAGTTGCAATCAAGATTCTCACCCTTCCCTTTAACTGTGAATTACCAATCACAGTTAGGAAGGGATCAATTGTTTCCCTACAGGGAAGAGAAGGTCATCTTCCTAGTTATTCATAAAGTAATGCAACCTGCTACAAGGTTTCATGCCAATCCTCTTAACTGAAGATGCTGGCACAGGGAAGAATAGATGCACTGTAAAAATGTGCTGAACTTTAAAGTAAGCACAAGGAGGGGAGTTTATCAACATGCTATAAAATACTGTATACCATTTATCATCTGTCAATTTTAATTCAGATCAGTCAAATTTCACAACCAATCTAATCTCTATACCAGCAAAAACTCACCTTTGTAGATTGCAGCAGCTGCCAGCATTGTGTCTCTATGCAACAAGGGTTTTCTAGTCCACGCACAATTGCTCTCTCCCATACCTTCACATTCACAAAAGAAAATACAAATTGTCTACTTTCTGTCAATTGGTCATTTCAAACTTCACAGTCCTGTCAGAATAGTTCTGCACCACATCCAATATAACAATCACAACTACATTTTCTTTGCATAGATCCATGTGCACAAGACAAATATTATTGTATTTTGGCATTAAATATATTTCTCCTAAATCACAATGTTCGTAGGTTCACAAAATAAGTGACGTAAAATCCATTAAGAGTAGAGTACAACAATGGCAGAGATTTCTAAAATTGACACACCTTGTAAATCTTCCATTATTTCAAACATTCCTGGATAATTCACCTGGATTTCATCAAAGTCCTATTGGAAATTAAGGACATGCATTGCATGTAAAACAATTCTTTATAACAGAACGTGTCATGATTGGCAGTAGTGCAGTTTGAGTGCTTATCAAAAGTATGGGCAGATGCCAACTGAAAGTTGTGTTTTTATTGAAACTATCTTTCCTGTGTTTGTCTGCTTTATCCCCTACCTACCTGCCCGTACCCTCCGTTCCTCTGGCTCCGGTCTGCTCCACGTCCCCCGCCCCAACCGCCCTACCATCGGTGGTCGGGCCTTCAGCCTCTCAGCCCCCAGGCTCTGGAACTCCATCCCCCAGTGCCTTCGCCTTGCTTCTTCCCTTTCCTCCTTCAAGGCCGGTCTCAAAACCTTTCTCTTTGACCATGCCTTCAGCTCCCCTCTCGACTCTCTTCCCCCTCCTCGCTCCCTCCCTTCCCTCCCCTCACCCTGACCATTTCCCCCCTGCTCGGGTCATGACCCAACTGTGCAGCGCCTTGGGACGTCCTCCTGACGTGAAAGGCGCTTTATAAATGGAATCTTGTTGTTGTTGTTGCTTTCTGGACAAACAGGTAGTCAGATACACAATTGATATTTGCAGAGGTCTAGGAACTGCTAGTTTAACAAACAATGGTGTATGGGTGGTAGACAAAAACATTTTTCCAAAAAAATTACAAACAAAATGCCTCTCAGATGTTGGAATAAGAACTTTGCCTGCGAGAACATATACATGTGCAAAGTAAGTCCTGGAACTTATGAATAAAACTGGTGAGCATTTGGATTGGAAAGAAGCTGCTGAAAATTATCAATCCACTTTACCAAAGTCAGCATGTTAAACCCTGCTCCTCCCAGCAGATTGCCCAAGTCCGTCAAGGCAGTGAAAGGTGATACGTGGGGTGCAAAACCTCCTTCACGCTCCAATTCTGCCAACTGTAGGGAGCAGCGAAGTTCGTATAGAGTCTCTCCTCCCACCATGGCACCAATAAATACCCCATCTGGTTTTAAGGAATAATTAATCTGTAGATGACACAAGCAGACAAAACATGTAATCAGCCATTGTATCTAAATTATTTGGTGAAACACACAGGTTAAGCTTCATTGTGATGCCCAATAATTCATTTATTTTGGACCGATTACTTTGCCATTTTGATTTGATCAAGAACCAAAACATAAGCCTTTCAAAACTGTTTTAAAAATAAGTTTACAATATTGCAGTTCTCAGTTAGCTTTACCGCTGGAAGCACTCAATTCCAGGAAGCAATATTTTAGTAGCCACTTTTGTATATAATTTTGTAGCAAGCCATATATTAAATATACACAGGTGTCTGGGAGAACATGAGCCAGTATTGGTAAAATTGAGACACTGTTAAAAAAGATAGTTAAATGCTGTGTCAAATTAAATACAACAGCACATTATGCATAGCACATACAAAAAAATTGTGTAGTGCCCTTCACGCGGAGTACATAACACCTCGGAATGCTTATAACATGCTGATTATCTGCATGTCTAAGTTTTTGGGCACCTCCTTCCTGGCAACCTATTCCAGTCATTAACCAATTTCTGTTTAAAGAAATACTTCCTGGTGGCTTGTACTGAAAATGCTTTCACAACCCCAAATAACCGATGGAAACTGCAATGGAAATTACACAATATTGAAGAAATATGTACAATTGTAGAATAAGCAATCAATTGGAAGTGAGGTAGTGTGGGGATTCCAATTCATATGACAACAGGTGACTGTAACCACCTCTACAATGACCCATCAGAGAGGCTTGTAAGTGCACCAGTGCGAGAAGATGAAAAACTAGATAACACATTCTACAGACCTGGATGTCTTGTTAGGCAGTAGTGATCTGGGATTGGTGCAAACAGTGGAGATGCACATTGCTCTAAGCTGCTTGTTTGGATGAAGGAAGATGTAACATAACATTCAAAAGAATGTTCATTTGAACAAAGTTTAAATAATATTAATAATGTAGCAGCTGGCTCACTCAGTTCTAGGTCAGAAGCTTATTCGTTCAAGCCCCATATCGTGATTTGAGTTCATAATCCAATGCTTTGACACTTCAATGCAGTACAGGGTGAACACTGCATTGTCGGATGTGCCTTCTTGGGGCTGAGCTGGCTCTAAGGTAATGTGCCTGGCAATGAAATATGAGAATCAAGTTGATACTCTCTCAGTGATTTGAGGAAGCTTGCCAATCAAACTCACAATAGCAAGTTTTGCGGTTTTAGCTCATTAAACTCTCAGAGATCTCCGTCTAACATAACTTAGCTACGGCATTCGCTTGAAGGAAAAATCACTACATTTTACAATAAAATTCTGCAAAATGCTTTGGGTTGTTTTGTAATAAGGCGCGACATCACAATTCCTCCAAAGAATTTACAGAATATATTATTCTACCAGCCTGAGATAAACATTAAAGTTACCTAAATTAAATGTTAAATAGTTAAATGTATTATTGATGCAAAACACTCCAGTAACAGCAACAAAATTACATTTGTTTAGTCCCTTTCACGTCGGGGGGACGTCCCAAGGCGCTGGACAATCATTATTTTGGACCCGACCTGGGGATCGGGATGGGCGGTGGGGAAGGAGGGTGATCGAAGGCACAGTCAAAGAAGAGTGTCTTGAGACGGTTCTTCAAGAAGGCAAGGAAGTGAGGCGGAGGGACTGCGGGATAGAGTTCCAGAAGGTGGGGACAGAGTGGCTGAAGGACCACGCACAAACGGTGGGGCAGGCGAGATCCCGCTGAGTAGAGGGAGCGAGCAGGATGGTAGGGGGTTAGGAGGTCGCAGACTTAGGGGGGAGCAAGACTGTGGAGGGCTTTGAAGGTGAGGACCAGGATCTTGAACTGTAGCCTTTGTGGGATGGGAAGCCAGTGGAGTCAGGCGGGATGGGGATGGTAGTGTCATGGACCCAGGTGAGGGAGAGGACATGGGCTGCAGAGTTCTGGATGATCTGCAGCCTATTGGAGGGAGGAGTTGGCGAGGTCGACAAGCAGGGAGTTTGCATAGTCGAATCTATATGTTATGAATGCGTGTATGAAGGTCTCGGCGGCCTGCGGTGTGAGTCAGTGGCGGAGCCGGGCGATGTTGCGGTGGTGGGGGAAAGCAGAGGCGACCATGATGCAGAAGTGTGGTAGAAAGGATAGTTGAGGGTCAAACAAGATCCCAAGGTTCCGTACTGGCTTAGTAAGGTGGAGTGTGCATCTACGGATGGTGATGCTGTCAGTGCCTGAGGTGTGGAGGCACTGACGGGAGCCAATCAGGAGAACTTCGGTCTTGTTGACATTCAACTGAAGAAAGTTAGTTCTCATCCAGGACTTGATGTCTGACAGACATTCTATCAGAACAGCAGTGGTCCTGGAGTCAAGGGTGGAGGCAGAGAGATAAGAGATGGGTGTCATCCGCGTACATGTGAAAGTAGACCCCATGTCTGCAGATGATGTCACCAAGGAGCATATAGATATTGAAGAGGAGGGGACCAAGGACAGAGCCCTGAGAAACACCCACAAGACAGTACGGGAGCTACAGGAGAAACCGTTTGTGGAGATGAAGTGGAGACGGAGTGAGAGGTAGGATCTAAACCATGAGGTTGAGGTGAGAAGAGGCAGTAGAGGAGGATAGAGTGGTCAAACGTATCGAAGCAGCAGAGAGGTCAAGGAGGATGAGCAGATGGACAAAATGTCATGTCACTTTGACCAACGCTGTTTCTGTGCTATGGGCGCCACGGAAATCAGATTGGAGGGATTCATGAAGAGAGTAACTCCTGCAAGTTGTCCTAAGAGAGGGCTACGAAATAATAATTCCTGCCCACTTATTTAACAATCCCAAATGAATTCTTACCTGTCTGAATGCCCCAGGAAGATCATTCACCCAATGCAAACTAAAAAGAAAAATATATTTTAAGTCCCAGTTTAGTATATTCAATTAGTTTTTGTGTGAATTATTAATAATTTTTGGATTTACCCTTCAAAATAAAGTTTTAAAATAGAATTCATTTATTTTTTAAAAGTCAAAGGGAACTGACCAACTTCATTAGTTTGGAGCAGGATACACAGCTACATAATCAATGCATACCTTAAACTACTAAAAACAAGGTCAAATGTATTTTCTTTGAAGGGAAGGAATTCTTCATCTGCTAAAATATTATAGGTGGGAACTTCGGTCTCAATTGGATTTTTCTGGAAGAGAGGTGTATTCCTGAGATTACAACAATATCTTTTTAATTTTAACAAACATGCTGAGAATATCTAAATTTGCCCAAAGGACACAGCATTTACACTGACTCCTGTGAAGCAGACTTTGGTCTGTTTCCGTGCTGTAATATTCTGATTCAATATCGATAGAAAATCAAATGTTCTAAATGTTCAACTTAAAATATAATTGCATATGTCAAATACTAATAATGTCAGGGTGCCTTATTTCAAAGCATTCCTTTAATACAAAATCTAATATTTAAAAGAAAGAAAACCAAATGTGTACCTACCAAAGTATTTTCTGCAATGTCCACTTGGAATAATTTCTGAACAACATCCTAAAATAAAATAACCAAGATACAAAGCTCAATGCATAATCAAATCACATTTTCATCCGGTTTAATTTAATTTCCTTTTGTCTGAGTGTTAGTTTGTTTGGAGGTGGGGAGCGACATCGGAAGATATTTGTTTTCAGTTAAGAGTGATTATTTTGCAGTGTGAACAGAAAGGTATAAACGCCCAATCACGTAACATAAATCAATGTGTTAGCAAGTGCAACTTCTTTGTTGACATTGTCTAAGGAACATTTTTGAACATGGGACATTGCAGTGCCCAAATTCACTGCTGTATTTATCGAAAAATACAGTGACTACACTTTACAAAATATCTTGGAGCTTTAAAAAGTTTTTACATAATGGGCACAATATCAAATGTAAAGATTGTTTTATTATAAAAGGGCCAGATAATACAATATTCTATTTTATCACACTTTGTGATTTAGTAACCCAATAACATTTAGTACATTGAGAGAACTGCCATTCATATTGGGATTGAAAGAATATTATTGTAGTATAAAATGATAGAAACTCCAAATGTTTTGCCTACTACAATGTTAGGAGTCCTGTAGCTTAGTGGTTTGAGGACTCACCTTGCAAGTGAGAAAACCTGGGTTCAATTCCCAAATAGGGTGAATTGGGCAAGTTTCCTCACTCCTCTGTTCACTGAGCAGTTAAGTACGAACCCAGTTGTTAGTCAATTGGCAGATCGCTTTTCTGGGGGTAATAATGCCTTAAAACATTTTTTAAATATAATAATTTGGTCACTCAATCCACAGCTGTTTGTGGGGCACTGCTGTGCGCAATTGGCTGCTGCGTTTTGTCCACAAAATATACAATCAATTCACTTTACAGTATATTCTGTGAAGTACTTTGAGATGTCTCGAAAACATTAAGATTGCTCCTAATCCTCCAACTCCAGTAGCTGTGTGTCTCAAGATGCTTGTGTCTATTCAGAACAGGATTGAAACTGCCCAAAATTATTTTGTGTAGCTAATATTGAGGAAACTATCATCAATCAGCCTGGACTGTAATCAAAACCAAATCCCTGAAACTGACAAATGCTAACCCAACTTGGTCTTGTTCCTAAATTTCAAAGACATGGCGTGTGAAATATTTACCGTGTTTAGGTTTTGAGCAATGTAACCTTTTCCACACCCAATGTCCAATGCAACAGGAAAGGTTCTAAAAGAAAAACGTGAAATCATAAGCAGATTAGAACGCAAGCAAATGTTTGTACAATGTAAGCTTAATATACTACAGTTCCTTTATAAGGCACCATTTGGGGGCCAGAAGATTCTAACTAGCCTTAGAGCTGGGCCGTGAAGTTACTGCATATGCACACATAAAGCTGTCTGGCTCTATTGGCACACATCGCACTTCAAAACACGTTGTCATGCTTCAAAACTCGTCATCATTTGTCAAAGTGATAAAACATGTTTTAATGAAGCTTTACTTATTTTAGAGCTTAAAATAAAAATGGATTAGATAACTCAATATTCAACTTTCCACGCAGCTCCTCTGTCTCCAAATAACTGGGTTGTAAAGTGAATACTGTCTATGAAGAAATCTGCGCTCTGCTTTGCTGTTCTATTTAAAGGAAAGAGTAGAGGCAAGAGGCCCTTGTGAAGGATCAACAACAACAACTTGCACTTGTATAGCGTCCTCCATGCAAGGTAGCGTCTCAGAGCACTACATCAAAACTACAGAATCAAAACTACAGAAAACAAAATCACGAAGCATGTTCCACTTAAATGTTTTGCCTGGTGACCAGTAAACTCCACCAATATCTCTTCATAACCAGGTTTGAGGAGATGCTGATGTAAAAGATTAGATCAATTGGCTTGATCTCTAGTTTTCCATTAAGGAGTCCTGTAGCTCAGTGGTTAGAGCACTTGCTTTGCAAGCAAGACACCTGGGTTCAATTCCAGGCAGGGCGAAACCTTGGGCAAGTTTCCTTACTCCACACGCCTAATAATAATCCCTCCAAAAAACCCAAAACAATAATAAATTGGTCATTTTCAATCTACGACTGTTTGTGGGACATTGCTGTGCGCAATTGGCTGCCGCGTTCGCCCACAAATATACAGTCAATTCACTTTACAGTATATTCTGTGAAGCGCTTTGGGACGTCCTCCCGACGTGAAAAGCGCTATATCAAATGCAAGGATTATTATTATTATTATTATTATTAAGGGAAACAGCATATATCCACCTGGTACTTCCAACAAATAGCAGAACTGCAACTAGTAACTCACATTGTGGACTATTATAGTTCAAATTAATATTAGTACAGTATTTCATGCAACATGACTTTGAATGACGTAAGTGTTGTGCCAATCTTTGCATGACAAAATGAAACTTTAAATGATTTGAAATTTGAATACTCTCTCCAGATGAAAAAATATTAATCAGTCCATTACATCAATAGTAGAAAATATGATATAGCAATTCATTTAATCTGATTTACCTTGATACATCAAAAATACGTTCCGCAACTCTGCTTCCAACCTGTACAATTGCAAAATTATTGTGATCTGGAGGATATAAAAACACATCTCATGATTGAAACTTGACTTAATGATGTTTTCAAGAGATCAATACCCAATCTTATAAAAGTTAAAAGTAGAATCTAAAGTGCTTTAATTTACTTATTATTGGGAAGTTATATTCCAATCAATAATCTCAAAATATTCTGAAGTAATACGTTTGTTAATTCAAACGAACAGTCTTGGAAGAAGCTTTTTTGTGTAATACCTCCCAGATTTATTTATTCTAATATGAATGGTTAGAGTAATACCTTATGCAACACAATGATGATACTAGTTTTGTCCATACACAGAAATAACCAAACACAAGGTAAAATAGGAAGAAGACAGAATTTCAAAGTGAGAGGAACAAGTTGGGATAATCTAAACCCAAAACAAGATTGCCTCTACACCATGTACAGCATCCCTTCCCCATCCACTCTAAAAGCTTCAACAAAACTAGAATTCTTCAGCCCAAGATTTCTTCTGGACAAGACTCTGGAAACCCATTACTCCATCCTCACCAAGCTCCACTGGTTCCAGCACTTCCATGGAACATGTTTAACATCCTTATCCTGGTCTTCAAATCCCTCCAAGATTTTGCCCCCGAAACTTATGTAATCTTCTCCATACCTTCTGCTCTTCTGCTGTTTGCACATCAATCAGTGGTGTAATGTTTTGTTACATGCCCGTCCTCTGAAAGTCTTTTCCACATGGCATTAAAAGCCTTCAAAAAAATATTTTCTTGACTATCCTTTTGATCAATATCTTTAAATCACAAGTTGCACTGTCCACAACTAGTGTTATTAAGCTTTGAGTCATTTGTTTCATGAAAAGAGCTCTATAAATTCATATTAGAATCACAGAATATTCTAGCACAGAAGGGGATCATTTGGCTCATCGTGCCTCTGGTTTTTTTTTGCCAATTATCTTAAATGTATGTGCCCCGGTTACTGACCCTCCTGCCAGTGGAAACTGTTTCTCCCGATCTACTCTATCAAAACCCCTCATAATTTTGAACACTTCTATTAGATTTCCCCTTAACCGTCTTTGCTCTGAGGAGAACATTCGCAGCTTCTTTAGTCTTCCCACATAACCAAATTCTCTCATCCATGGTACCAGAATTGCCCAGAATTGGACACAATACTCCAGCTGAGGCCTAACCAGTGACTTATAAAGGAATAGCAGAATTTCCTTGCTCTTGCACTCAATGTATAAAGCCACAAGGATCCCGTATGCTTTTTTTTTAATAGCTCCATCAACACCTCACGTTCTAAGTTTATTTAAAAGCATTTGCCCTTCTCAATTTCAGTTCTGAAGAAAAGTCAAGATGCTAACCCGCCTTTCTTCTGGACGCCGAGTTTTTTTTAAAAAAAAATTTCTCCGCTCAAAATGTAAAGTTTCTTTACTCTCAAATAGAATACAAAATATTACCGTCTCCGTGACTCAATTGTTGCTTAGGTTGTGGCCTACGAAGCACAAGGATAACACAGACTAAAGCATAGGTTGGAACCAAATGCAGACAGACATTGGCATCTCATGCAAAGGACTTGCGATAGCAACAACAAATACTATATACTGTATATACTGTAAAGTGGAGACTGCGTATACAAAATAGCACTTTGACACTTTGGCACTGTGTCAGATGCGAGGATTATTATTAATATAGTGCAAACACACCTCCTTCTTAAGATAGTCGTATTTGCCACTCTCCGAGACCGAGGATGCCCAGTTTTTCTGTCTCCTCTTCGTTTTCCTGTCAAACACGTTCAGTGTATTTTCAGTCGGGGCTGATCGGGCTCTGGCCGGACTGACCCGGTGGTCGCCGCCTGAGTTTGTTCGGGGCAGAGTCCGAAACCGAGACGCTTCGATCCCGCGGCCTTTCCTCGTTCGGGCCCAGGCGGCCGAGGCCAGCAACCGGGGGTGACGGTGGGTGAAACTAACCGGTCTGCTGCACCGACACAGCGAGGAGTTCAACACCGAACACAGGACGCGGTTCATTTTGGAATCTCTTAACGGTCGCGCAGACGTGTGACGGACGTTTTCAAAGTGAAAGTGAAGTGAAATACCGGTGCTCGGTCCCGCTCGCGGGCTTCTCTGTGCCGGTGCCGCCGCCGTATCTCCTTCACCAGACGCCCAACTCAAACCACCGGCTCTTCCAAGCGAACGGACGTCAACTCCGTCTACCGCGGGTGGGGGCTGCGTGAAGCCCTGGCGGGCGGCATGCGCATGCGCGCGCGGTGGCTGCTGGGATCCGGTGCACGCGGGGGGCCCCTGTCCTGCTGTGAGTTGAACGCGCGCTGCTCGCGCGGTGGCCGTTACTGACCGTTCGTGTCGCGCGGGGGCCGCGAGCGCTCACTCGCATCTCCCACAGACCCCCCCCCCCCCCACCGACGGCCACTCGTGGCGCCGCCGTGTTTCGGGCTCAGACGCCGAAAAAGAGAGGGGAGACGGAAGGGGGAAGAGAGAGAGGCAACGGTACCTCTTCAGGCCCTGTGAGCAACGAGACATCTTTATAGCAATAATAGCCCTTTGCGTTCGATACAGCGCCTTATCATGGCTTCGAGACGTCTCAAAGCGCTTCACGGGATATACTGTGAAGCGACTGTTTATTTTGTGGCCGAGTGGGTCTGAAGGCTGGTCTGGCCTTGGGGGCAACCCGGTGCAGCTGGAACATCCCCCCCACCTCACCCTGGGAGCAAGTGCTCAGGGGCTGCCCCTCTGCCAACCACAACTTGCATTTCTCTCGCGCTCTTCACGCCCGGAGCGCTCGACAGTGATGGCGTCTGACCCCGAGACAGGGGGAGAGCTATCTCCCTCACAGGGTCAAGGCTTACGTCACAGACGGTTATCGTACTGTAACGCTACAGCTTCTAGACCCGGAAGTGAAAATAATGATCGGGAAACAACAACAACAAGATTGCATTTATAGAGCGCCTTTCACGTCGGGAGGACGTCCCACGGCGCTGGAAGTGTGGGCATCGTGTTTTTGTTTTAATAATGTCTTGTAAAAGCAGAATCCGCCCGCTGCCATGTGTCAGCCCCGCTAAGTTGGCTGCACTCCCACCTCGGGGCATCGTCCTTCGGGTGACACGTTAAATCTGGGTCCGGTTCTGCCGGGTGAAACAAAATATCCCACGGTGCTGTTCAAAAAGAGAAAGAAGGTCCCCAACCGCCCTACCATCGGTGGTCGGGCCTTCAGCCTCTCAGCCCCCAGGCTCTGGAACTCCATCCCCCAGTGCCTTCGCCGCCTCCTCCCTTTCCTCCTTCAAGGCCGGTCTCAAAACCTTTCTCTTTGACCGTGCCTTCAGCTCCCCTCTCGACTCTCTTCCCCTCCTCGCTCCCTCCCTTCCCTCCCCTCACCCTCACCATTTCCCCCCTCCTCGCTACCTCCCTTCCCTCCCCTCACCCTGACCATTTCCCCCCTGCTCGGGTCATGACCCAACTGTGCAGCGCCTTGGGACGTCCTCCTGACGTGAAAGGCGCTTTATAAATGGAATCTTGTTGTTGTTGTTGACGAGCAGTCCTCCAGAGGGGAAAACAAATCAGTCGTTCATTGTGCGTTTCGCCTACAAAGCACACAGTCACCACCTCTACAGTATATTCTGTGAAGCGCTTTGAGACGTCTTGAAGACGTGATAAGGCACAAAATCAAATGCAAGAGTTGTTATTATTTTACGGCAGGACATTGCTGTGCCACAAATTGGCTGCTGCCTTTGTCCTCCGAATAGACGGTGACAGCAGTGAAGCACTTTTAAGATGTTCTGACTACTGTGTATCAAATGCAAGGATTATTATATTATTATTTACTGCCAGCTATTGTGCACATTTATATTTTAGAATTTTCTGCATAACATGTAGCAAACCCAAGTCAGGGTCATATAAATGGCAATCCTATTGCTCGTGCTTCTAAATGTTCATCCCACATGTAAGACCCTTACGTAAGTTCAAGTTGTTCCAGTGACTTAAGCTAGTTTATTATTGAGCAATCCCTACTGTAGGTTGTTCATTGAGATATTGAATTACAAACAAAACCTGTCGGAAGGAGGGTCAAAGATTGTACTGGCAAAAAATTAAGGTGAGAGCCAACACAACCATTGGTGCAACATAAACGATTGACCTATTCATTGAGTTTGAAATCCTGTCTCTGATCTATGATTTTTTTTTTAAAAAAACAATTAAACTGGAAAGCAAAGTTGTTTTTAAGTGGATTTTGAAGGTAGATTGAAGAATGGCCTATGAGATTCCGAGAGTGGTAATACCATGTTTTAGCTCCAAAAAGATATAACAGGTTCATACTGTTATCTCCACAAGGCAGAGGTGCCAGGTATAAAGGCATTTCTCCATTGCAAGGATAGAAATATCATTAGATTTATCAAAAAAAATAGTTTTTATACAATTCATAGTTGCCAGATCAAGTGGAAAAGACTTGAAGGGCTGAATGGCCACCTATTCCTGTTTTCCTAACAGTGGATGTGTAGAGGTATAACAGTAGATCACTATATCTTACTAAATTGGAATACTGTAAAAGGAATGAAGGAAGTACTTGCCTCCCTCAAAAGTTTAAAAATAATAATAGTCCTTGCATTTGATATAGCACCTTTCATGTTGTTGAGACATCTCAAAGCGCTTCATAGGATAGATATACTGTAAAGTGGATTGACTATTTTTTCGTGAGCCGAACACGACAGCCAGTTGAGCACAGAAATGTTCCACAAATAGCCAATGATTGAGTGACTAATTTTATTTGGGGGACCGTTGGCCAGAATACTGGAAGGGACCCCCTTCTCGTTTCGAATAGTGCCATGGGATATTAATAATCCTTGCATTTGATATCAATATGAATTTGATGTGCTTGAACTGCCACCTGAGCCGGCAGACTGGACCCCGGTTTAACATCCCACCTGACGGACGGTACCGCCGATAATGAAACACAAACCCAGCACTGCATTGGACTGTCAGTTTAGACGATGAGATTCAAATTCCCGACGTGGGGCATAACCTTCTGACTCGGAGGCGAGAGTGCTACCCCTCTCCAGGCTGACACACACTATGCAGACAGACTACAGTTAGAAATGTAGTATAATTCAGAAATGTTATGCTACAAAAGCCCAGTACATTTAATTCACTATAAATATTTCAACGGTGTCCTTTTGTGGATTTTTATGATTCTTGAAAAGGTTATCTCTTATTTCAGGTTTTCTCTGTTTGGGTGAAAGCCGGGATAAAAATGGCTTCAAAACAACCGGAAATGACAAATGATGACCGCTTCAGTCAGGTGATGAAGGACCCAAGGTTCTGGGAGATGCCTGTAAAGGAGCGCAAAATCAAGATTGATAAAAGATTTCAAGGAATGTTTCATGACAAAAAATTTAAACTGAATTACACAGTGGATAAGAGAGGAAGACCAATTAACCACAGCACAACAGAGGATCTGAAGCGCTTTTACCAATTATCAGACTCCGACAGCTTGACAGACAGTGAAAGTGAAAAAAACAAAAGAAAAAAGAAAAAGTTGAAACCAAAAGAAAAGAAGGGTTCTGACAACATTGAAAAAGATGCCATGGTCAAAAGGAAAAAAACAGAAACACTCGTAAAATTTGGAACGGACAAGGCTAAAGAACAAATAATAGACAAACAACCAAAAAGTTCTACTTCAATTGATAATCTCTTGGAAGTCTCTAATGAAGCCAAAGTTAAAAAAGGAAAAGAAAAGACAGTTAGTAAGATACAAGTAGCAAAAGATAATCAAAGTAATTATGTTGAAGTGGAGCAGAATGATACAAAGAAAAAGACAGATTCTGACTCGAAAAAACAATTGAAGAAAAATATTAATGTAAATCTGAAAAATGAAGAAAGCCATCAAAACAAAGAGAAGAGAAAGAAAAGTATGAATATCGTTAAACCAAGCATTTTAAAAGATGCAACTGAAATAGGTATGTAGCTTTCCTGAAGTTATTTTTATTTATTTTACATTCTGCAGTTAACCTTAAGAATAGTTGTCCTAACTAAGATTAAGTATTTCCCAGCCTTCCCACTCCCCCTGGTACAACAGCCACCCTCGCTCCCTCAAATCCAAGACATCTGCACTCAAGTGCGGATGGCACGAAACCGGCCTCACAGTTCCCCGCCAGACACTGCTTGAATATTTCCGAATTTACCACCCCTCCCACAAAAAAGCCCAAATTGCATTTTATTCCATTGCTATTTTGGAGGCCCAAAACGTCCCAAGCTCCTGTTTTCAACCATACATCATGATCCTCCTCCATGCCGCTTCTCAAGCCCCCACCATCCTCACCTCAGATGCCAAATGCGAAGAGGTCTTGGACTTTTTCGCAATAAAAATAGACAACATCCGCTTAGCTGCTTCCTCTTCCTCCACACCACCTTCCACCTCTCCATCCTTGTCTTGCAGAACTCCTATTTCTTTCTCTACTGCCGCAACCACTGTTCCCTCCCTACATACGTTTGCCCCATTTCTACCTCATCAATCAGATGAAATGTACCACCCGCTCTCTTGACCACATCCCCACCCAGCTGCTTTACTTCACCCCCCAACCCCATTGGTAACACAGTCACCTGTCCCTCTCCTCCCACTCTCCTGCTCCACCTCAAAACCAAAGACATCTCAAAAAAAACAATCTTGATCCATCGAACTTTTGTTAATTCCAGCTGATCTCAAACCTCCCCTTACCTTTCTAAAGTCCTGGAATGCGTTTTGCCCCCAACTTCACTCACACCTTTCTTCCCATTCGCTTGACCCCTCCCAGTCTCTTTCCATCCGTCTCAAGACCCTCCTCTTCGACTGTGCCTTCGGTCACCCTCCTACCCGTCCTCGCCTTCCACCCCTCCTGATTCCAACCAGGGTACGCATCCCTGACTGTCCAGCGCCTTGCGACATCCTCCTGACATGAAAGGTGCTATACAAATGTAATTTGCTGCTATTGTTGCTCACAGCATTGAGACAGTGCTCGTCAAGTTTACAAATAAGGTCCTCTGTCCCTGTGACCAACTCTGGAATTCTTTGTATCAATCCCTCCATCTTTCCCCTTCTCTACCCATCTTCAATTCACACCTGAAGACTTTCCTCTTTGACCATCCTTCCCCATTCCATCTCTCTCCCACCCCTTCCCCCTTCAGGTATGGCATGAAGCCACGCAGCTGTTAAGCGCTCCATGAAATTGTAAGAATATGCCATGATGCTATCTGCATGAAGGGCACCATATAAATGCAAATTGCTTTTGTACGTGGAACTGGCAAGGTGGATTGTGATGGTCTTTTCTAGGCCTATTTTTATTCAAGTACTCCTAACAAAAATGTTATAATCAAGTTTAAGGCTTAGCAGATATGTAATAATCTTTTTTGACCATTTCCCCCCTGCTCGGGTCATGACCCAACTGTGCAGCGCCTTGGGACGTCCTCCTGACGTGAAAGGCGCTTTATAAATGGAATCTTGTTGTTGTTGTTGTTAATACTTTCTGCTGTTTTGACAGATTTTATGAATAAAATTATTGAGTTTTAAGCTGTGGATCAATTCTGAAATAATAATAATAATAATCCTTGCATTTGATATAGCGCTTTTCACGTCGGGAGGACGTCCCAAAGCGCTTCACAGAATATACTGTAAAGTGAGTTGACTGTATATTTGTGGGCAAACGCGGCAGCCAATTGCGCACAGCAATGTCCCACAAACAGTCATAGATTGAAAATGACCAATTTAATTATTGTTTTTGTTTTTTGGAGGGATTATTATTAGGCTCTGTGTGGAGTAAGGAAACTTGCCCAAGGTTTCGCCCTCTGCCTGGAATTGAACTCAGGTCTCTCGCTTGCAAAGCGAGTGCTCTAACCACTGAGCTACAGGACTCCACAAATGTGGAATTTATGCAACCTCTCTGTCACTGGTTAGGTGAACGACTACAAACTCCGAGTCTGACTTTTTCCCCTCTGACACAAGTTGGTTGGTTCTTGAATGATCTGGAACTGGGATAACTCGTCATTTTACAGTACCTTTTACAGCAAATTGCTTTCTGAGAGAGGTTTGCCTCCTGAGACAAGTTGTTAATATAAACATTTTTTTGTGTACATATAGAATAGTACAGTACCAATATGTGTAGACCCTAGGGAGTCTTGATTAGATCACTCTCAGTCTGTGTTGGTGAGTATACAATAAAATAGATTTTTTTTTGCTATAGGTTTACTGTGTTCTGTCCAAAGTCAAGAAATTGAACATTTCACTTTTTCCCAGTTTAAAATGCATCAGGAAAAGCGGTTTTGGTTGAACATAAATATTGTGTATTCTTTCATATTTATATCTTCTTTCATAGTAAACCGTTGTGTTTCTGATTTAGAAAGTGGCAACTGTGAAGAGGACAGTGACAATGGTAAGGACAGCTGGGGTGATGAAGAATCATCAGGGTCAGATAGTCAGAGTAAAACCGAGGAGAAATCAGAAAATGAAGAACTTGGAGATAATGATGAAGAAGAAGAAGAAGAATCATCTGAGGAGGAGAGCGAGAGTGACAGTGGTCCTGATTTGGCCAGAGGGAAAGGAAATGTGGAAACAAGTTCTGATGAAGATGATGATTTTGCTGATGTATTGAAAGTTGGAGAACAAATTGAGCACAGTTGGGGAGAGCTGGCAAAGGATGCTCCTCGAGGAGATGAGGTATATCACAAGATATATTTGCTCTTTCTATTTAGGTGCAAATACAAATGTTAGTGGTGAAATTGTCGTGGCTAATCATTAAATTAATTTATCAATATTTAGGGATTGTAAAAAAAGAATTTTCACAACTGTTTTTCGCATGACTGACCTTGTCTATTTATCAGATTACTCGACGTTTAGCAGTTTGCAACATGGACTGGGATAGAATAAAGGCAAAAGACCTGCTGGTTTTATTTAATTCGTTTAAACCTACCGGTGGTGTTGTGTTCAGTGTGAAGGTAAGTGTGTTTCATTGTTCACCTTGAAGTTAGGTAATTCCTGTATGTACATGGCATCCCTTTTAAATCCTATGTCACCAAACACATGAATGCCAGTGCCCTAATAGCCAATGCATATCCCCTGCTTGCTTAAGAAAAGTGAAATTAAAAAGAATTTTAGAAAAATACGCTTTGCATAATAGATTTTTAAGTTCACTTTTCTTCAGCTAGTACCTGATGTGAAAGTAAATAGGTAGAGAAGTTGAGAATGGGAAGGTACAGTGAGATGCAAATAGATTGTAAGATTGATAATAGCATAATGATTATAAAGGTTATCCCATAACATAATGGTTTGTGCACTCGCCTCGCAAGCGAGAGGACCCGGGTTCGATTCCTGAGCAGGGCAAACCCTTAGGCAAGTTTTCTTACCCCACATGCCTCTGTTTACCTAGCAGTAAGTAGTAACTCAGTTGAATTCCAACGCCTTCCTCGCCGGTCTCCCCAGCTCCACTATTCAAAAGATCCAGCTCATTCAGAATTCTATCGCCCACATAATTACCCGGACAAAAACTCCATACCCACATCTCACCAGTTCTTGGCTCCCCATGACCAAACAGATCCACTTCAAGATCCTCATACTCGTGTTCAAATCCCTTCACTCTCTGGCATCTCCCTACCTCTCCAACCTCCTCACTCCCCAATCCACCACCCGGCATCTCCCCTCGACTAGCACCGGCCTCCTACTCGTCCCTCGCACCCTCTACCCCGCCATCGGAAGTCGCACTTTTGGCCACTACACCCCGAAACTCTGGAACACTCCCTCAATCCTTCCGCCTTGCCCCCTCACCCTTTTTGAAGTCTCGCCTCTCGCCTGAAAACCTTCCTCTTCGACAATGCTTACAGACACCTTCACCCCCGCCCCCCACCCCGGCTCCACCAATGTTAAGCTCTCTGTGACGCTACCCTACGTGGAGAGCGCTATATAAGTGCAAGATGATGTTTGATTAGCAGCTAGCTTTCCAGGGGCAATAATCCCTCCAAAAGAAAGGTCACTCACTCCATGATTGTTTGTGAGACACTGCTGTGTGCAATTGGTTGACGTGTTTTGCCCACAAAGTACACAGTCAATCCACTTTACAATATATTCTGTGAAATGCTTTGAGACGTCTCAATGACATGATAAACCGTTATATCAAATGCAAGGATTATTAATACTATAGTGCCAGTGATTTTCCTTTTTGCTAGCTCTGCACATGTCCGGAAAGTGCTTTTTTTGAGTCTGAAGGCTTCAGGATGAGAAATTCCTAACTAAATTGAGGATTGGTATCACTCAGCAATATTAGAGATTTCTCACCTCAGATTTGAAAATTAACTTTTTTAATACTGAATGTATATTTTTCAACAGCTCTAACTGAAGGGCAGTTATTACATAGTTATCCTGGTCTAATATTTCAGAGGCTGCTTTATAACAAGGCTTGAAAAAATGTCCAACTTCATGTTGTCAAGTTATCACTGACATCACTTCCTATGAGATGTGCATGCACAAGAAGCACTGTTGACATCATTTCGTTCACAAACTTACATCACCTGGCTTCCTGGAAGTAAACTTTGTTAGGATGGGAAGCCTACTAGTCAGCACTGAAAGCCCAGTGTATGCCTGGGTCGAAGTGTTTTCTATCTGCCACCCAAATATGTTCTAAAGGGCCACCCTAATAATTTGTATTGAAGCTAAAATCTATAACTTTATGGTTAGATTCTGGCAGAATATCCACATAGAGAAATATATTGCCACTGTAGGCTTTTTTTATTTTATTCAGCACAAAAATTCAGTGCGCACATTGGCTGTTACTTTTGCCTACAAAGTACACAGTTACTATATTTGACAGTAAAAATTGGTGGAATATTTCCCTCCTGACTTGAAAAGCACTATATCAAATCCATGTATGATTATTATTAACTTTGACATATGGAGGTGCAGAATGAGACCAATGTCTTCAAATTATTGATGTGCTTTAGGACTTCCTTGATCCTTCTAATGGACTAAAAAAACTTCAGAAATTGTTGGGTTTAGGTATGATCGAATAATGATGAAGTGGATCCCAATAATAATAATCCTTGCATTTATCATGTCTTCGAGACATCTCAAAGTGCTTCACAGAATATACTGTAAAGTGAATTGACTGTATATTTTGTGGTCTGTATGTGGATTTGTTCTAATATGCATGAGGATAAAATGGAATTGAAAGCAAGAAGCAGTGCTTCAAGCTGCAATCCAGTAGAGGGTGCTATCGCTATTTTATTTTTCCAATTTGGCATAGTTGATATTGTACATTGCAATGAGCACCAGGACGGAGAAGTATCTATAGCAATAGCTTAACCAACCTGCTGTTTTTTCCACATCAACCAATTTATCCAATTCCACTCTCCTGCTCACTTGTCAAATCCTTTAATTTTTTTTAAAAAATGGATCTAATTCTTTTTTAAAATGATTTATGGACATTGTTTCGAAAGCATTTTAAGGCAGATAATTTCACATTCTAACTTCCCTTTGTGTAAAGATGCTTTCTAGCCTCCCCTTTTATGATTTTGGTGATTATTTTAAATTTGAGATTTCTCATTACTGGTTTGCCAACCAGTGGAAATAATGTATTACTGTAATAATAATCCTTGCATTTTATGTAGTACTTTATCGCTTTTGAAATGCTTCACAGGATTTTTAATTTGAAGTGTGGTGACTAGGTAAACGTGGCACCCAATTTTGCATACAACAGTGCCCCAAAAAGAGCTATAATTGAGTGAAGTCTGGTGGGGGATTCTTCTGTTTTTCATTGTTTTGGGGGATTGTTAGACGGGACACAGGGAGAAACTCCCTTCTCTTTTCGAATAATGCCATGAGATCTTTAACATCCATCTGAATTGGCAGTTTTACCCTATTATAATTCTTCATAATCTTGAAGATCTCTTTTAGATCATCCCTTAATACCTTCTCAGCACCAGTGGAAAAATATCTTAACTCCTCAAGTCTCCCTTTATCACTGAAACCTCTTATCCCTGGTAATGTTTCCCACACTACATCTGCTTTTCCCTCCAGCCCCATTCTCCTGCCTGTACTCTTGTCATTTTAGTACTTGTGCCGTACCACCTCTGCCGCACCAATGATAGCTGTAAGACATTGTGGTTCTGATTGCTAGAATTCTTTCAAAATCCTTTTTACTTCTCTCCTTCTGCTTAAACACCCTTCAAACTGCACCTTCACATCATATTTGGTGATCCTTCTCATCTTTGTAAAACGCTTCAAGATTTTAGCCGAAGTAACAAGAAAAGTCTGGATTTACATAGCGCCTTTCATGTCAGGCACTGTAGCAAAGCACTATACAAACTGCAAGTTCTTCTGGGAACTGCCCAGCTCACGACATCCTATTGTGCTTTATTAATAAATTTATTAGGTGAGGTCTATGAAAATGGTAGTATCATCCTGGAATACTGTTTCTTATTAGTGGATGTGCTCCTGGCAAACCTTCAGGAAATAACAACTACTGTATTTGAAATCGATTCTTCCCAATAGGCTATGGAAAAATTTTTACGCATTGTCTTAACAAATTATATAACCAATGAACATTGTGCATTATATACGAATTGTGCATTGAAAACAGATTATATCATTCTAAAATATTTAATCTGATAGATAATATTCTGTGAAATTTTATTTTAGATCTACCCTTCAGAGTTTGGAAAAGAAAGACTTCAAGAAGAACAGATGCATGGGCCCCTCGAATTGGTGCATGCCAATTTACCAGACAATGCAGAAGAGGACACAGAAGAACAGCGGTAAATATCATAATAATAATAATAATAATCCTTCCATTTGATATAGCGCTTTTCACGTCAGGAGGACGGCCCAAAGTGCTTCACAGAACACACTGTAAAGTGAATTGACTGCATATTTGTGGGCAGCCAATTGCGCACAGCAATGTCCCACAGACAGTCATAGATTGAAAATGACCAATTTATTATTGTTTTTGGTTTTGGAGGGATTATTATTAGGCTCTGTGTGGAGTAAGGAAACTTGCCCAAGGTTTCGCCTGCCTGGAATTGAACTCAGGTTGTTCGCTTGCAAAGCGAGTGCTCTAACCACTGAGCTACAGGACTCCACACCCTAATCCTAATTAGGATCCTAATCCTTTCATGGAGCAGAAGAACATAAGAAATGCTAGACAAAAATAAAGACCAAAGTCCATCTAGTTCGTCTTCCACCTTCCTGGCGGTCGCATGCACATATGTCCCAATCTATGATTGACAGCAAAAGAGAATACTCCAGGCAGGATAGTTGAATTCAACAAAACAAGAGTTACCAGCAGTGACAATACAATAATGCATTGAAGTAACCCACACATTACCGCTTTAATAATAATAATAATCCTTGCATTTGATATAGCGCTTTTCACGTCTTCGAGACGTCTCAAAGCACTTCACAGAATATGCTGTAAAGTGAATTGACCGTATATTTGTGGGCGAAACGTGGCAGCCAATTGTGCACAGCAGTGTCCCAAAAACAGTCGTGGATTGAAAATGACCAATTTATTATTGTTTCTGCTTTTTGGAAGGATTATTATTAGGCGTGTGGAGTAGGGAAACTTGCCCAAGGTTTCGCCCTGCCTGGAATTGAATCCAGGTGTCTCACTTGCAAGGCGAGTGCTCTAACCACTGAGCTACAGGATTCCACGAGTTGCTTTATCGTAAAAAAAATGGAAAATTATACCGTACGTAGAATATATCATCATTGGTTGCCAACAATGATCTATCCTAAAATATTCTGTTTAGAGTAACCATCAGATAAGATGCCAACCCTTGAAATTGCATACCATTGCTGATGGCCAACATAACTTTACTTGAACTCATATTTATTTATTTTTGTTCCTCTCTTTATTTTAAGCTGCTTTAATTGTTTCCCTGACAGAAGGCAGGCAGAGTACCATGCTTGCTTGCGGTGGCTGTTAAAAAATGTTTGAGACGTCTATTGTAAATCTCTTAGTTTCAGAAATGTTTCAAAAACATTTCTCTTACGAAGGTTAGGAGGGCACCATACAAGTGCTCAAAAGCTATTTGTTCATATTGAAGCAAGTTAATACAAATTGTCTTGCTTTAAGGTAATTTGCATACATGAGGGGCATGGGAGAGGGCATTAGGGGGCTTGGTGATCCAGGTGAAGTATAAACACCAGCACAAAATCGGCTGAATGGCTGTCTATGAAATTCTAGGTGTCACAATACAGTGGAAGCCGCTTTAGCCGGATGGCGGGTATATCGGACTGCAAATTTGTTGAGAGAAAATATAAGTAATATTGGTGTCAGTTTTCACAAATACAGAGCAACCCTGTCAGAGCACTGGCATAACAGGGCTTCTCAGACTGGACACTGTCCACCCGGATTCCAGTGCTGACTAGCTGCTTCTAGATTGTCTAGCGACTGCTGACAACACTTCTTATGTTGGTTGCTATACACAGAAAGTGTCACTGATGTTGCTTTATGAAAGAAGTGTAAAATACATTTTCTTTGCAGGATTGCAAGAGAAAAAGTGCGAGATTATCAATTTAAACGGCTGAAGTATTACTATGCAGTAGTGGATTGTGATTCTCCTGAAACAGCCAACAAACTTTATGAGGAATGTGATGGAATGGAGTATGAAAGTAGCTGCTCTTTTCTGGATCTCAGGTAAAATAATCCACTGAATTCATATGGTTTAATAGCCCAGAAAATTAAAATAATTTTATTTGTGCATGTGGTGAACAAAAGGACATGTCATTTGTGCTAAAAAAGTTTTGTTGTATGTTAATGCCTGTGCAAACACTACTGGGGACAGTAGTATTTTTGTTCAATTTGGACCATTGGATAACAATTCATTTTGGGGTACTTTCTTCAGTTCTGTTCGCCTTTGATGCTGACTCTTGTCAAAGTGTAAACTACTTTTTAAAAATGTTTAGCTTTCCATTTTTAACAATATTAATTAAAAATGTATTCTTCCTCCAATTTTCACTCCCATTTCCTTTCCTGTCCAAAAAATAGTGGCTCATACTTGGTTATGATTTTATAGGCTCCAGTACCTGTAGTTTGTCATCTAAGTGACCATTCTCCAGGAGTGAGCCCAGGCAGTGACTACTTGACATCAGAGCCATCATTAATCTCACACAAAATCTACACAATTATGTGAGGAATAGTGAGGCCAATTGTATCATGACCCCAGTTGAACTTAGCTATTTCAACGCAGAACAGGAATCATGCTTGGGACCTTCCTAGTCTGTATGGCTCAGTAATCTTTTAAGAATTTTTAAATTAATATATGTGGTTATGAATCTGAGTTTTGTGATAATGAATTAGAAAGTTTGTGTTCATTGCTTAACATGCTATATTTTTGCAGAAATAATCACTAATACACCCTCTGACTCCAGAAATAATCCCTTAATACACCTCTGGATCTACATTTTAGTGAACTAATGGCAAAGTTAACCTATTGACACTTGGTCAATTTTGGATTTTAAATTTGACTACAGATTATTATTGTACGAATTTTAATTGAGTGATGGTATTGATAAGAAATTATTGTGCTCTAGTATTAATAAGAAATGGAAGAATTCTGTATCTCAGTTGGATTTTTATTGTTACCCAGGTTTATACCAGACGTTTTAACATTTGAGGATGGGCCAAGGGATGTAGCTGCAGATGTGGACTTGGCACCATACAAACCAAAGTATTTCACAACAGCAGCACTCGGCACATCAAAGGTAATTAAAAGCATTTGCCCTTCATCTTATAAACAACATGGGTCATATGTATACAATGAATCGTCCATTTCATAAACTGTAAAACGGAAAGATCTTGGAATTTTGAAAATCAGGGAAGTTTAAACTAATAAATATTGTGTATATGGTAACAGTTAAGACCAGATGTAAGTTTTGCTTTTTGAGGTCGCGCATACCTCAATTTAAGCAAGAAAGGAAAAAAATTAACGCAGAAAATTGCATAACGAACGAAGTCCATAACGTGGACCAGATGAAACATGACGTGCAGAACTGGACAGATTTCATGCAGTTTTGTCATTTTGATATGCCAAAAAAAAGTGCTTTTTTACTGTAAAGATTGGAAGTTAAAATGTCTTTGAAAGATAAAACTGTCAGAATGTTTTAAACCGTAAATTTCTTCCATAGAGTAAAATTCTGCAGTATCGTGGCATTCTTCATTTTTAAGATATCTATGATGTGCATATTCAGATGATCTATTTATGCAATACTGTGATGATGTTGAATGATATATAAAATACTGTTCAGTAAAAGTCAATGAGTGCAGCAATTCTTTTTAAAGTAGGTTTTAAATTATTTTTCTAATTTTCTCTCCATCTGCCTCTCAGCTTCTGGTCTGGCCTCCTCATGCTAGAGTACAGTTTGACTGGTGCTTGGTGCCCTCATGTACCCTGCCCTAGAAGTTCATGTGTGAGCCTGGCAAGTGCAGGCCACTAAACTGTAGAGGAGGTCATAGCCGACAGCTTGTCCTTGGTTTCCACACACTCGCACAACTAATAGAGGGACTAGAACTAGGATTCGTGTTTGGTGTTGTCTCCCTCACCCTGGGAAGGCCAATTTAGGAAGCCTGCCTCTTAAGTACAATATTAATGATACCTTCTGTTAAATTACATTGTGTTTGATAGTCTCTTAAGTACAAATGATTCCTAATTTAGAAATAATGCAGATCTGGTACATACTAATAATAAGTATATAAAAAGAAGAAATAATGCAGATCTGGTACGTAATAATAATAATTATATAGTAATAAGAAATAATGCAGATCTGGTACATAATAATAATTATATAATAAGAAGAAGAAGAAATAATGATAATAATAATAATATACAATGATTCCTAATTTAGATGTTATTTCAACTGAATTTGGGGAAATAATTTTAAACTACAGTATTTGTTAAATTGGGTCGAACAAAGCTTTACATTTCATTAAATCTCTGAAGAAATCCACTGTGTTGACTTTGTAGTGGAAATTGTTCCCATCCAGTGGCTGAAAGTACTGGGCAGGGTAGCTTGTTAGAGTGCCCTGACAAAAGACCATCATCCCATCCTTTGATCTTTCTGTAGACTGAACTGTGGCTTCTTGGGAAAATTTATATTTATTTCTTTGAATTTTGTAGACTCTTATCCCTATAGAAAACCTATTCCACTTGTGACCTTTACCCTTCTTGAAGTTGCGAATTCTTTGATGCTATCAAAACCTGTGCGCATTTAACTTTGTATCATGTCAGCAAAAACGTTGCACCTGTCATGGTTTTTTTAATGGACTGTCTAGAAATTTATAAAATATGAACCAGACGCCAATAATGTGTAGAGCATTAAGACTTTCAATGAATTTTCATCACAAAAGCAATCTTCAGAACTCCAACTATGATCGTGCTCTGTCCTTATCCCATCCTTCATTCGGATTTAAATATGGTAAAAGGAGACAGCCCTAATCAGCAAGATAGTTTTTTTTTACTTTTTCTATTGGAAGTTATTTTATTTTTCACAAACCTTTCTGGTATTTTAAACACATCTGTAAGGTGATGGTAAGGGTGTGTGTTGTTAAGATTCGATGGATGAAAGCAAACACCTTTTTGTGGCTATCACCTGGGGCATTTGTGACAGTCTGGGAATAGGTTGTGCCCTCACCCTTTTGGCATCAAAGAGTGAAACCCAGTGAACCAAAGCTGTGGATAAATTACAAAAATTGAAGTATATAAAAAGAAAGTATAATTTGAAAAAGTTGAACCTTGCTCCTTTCTCCCAGAGAACTATTTGCATACGTTTTGACAAGAATAATGCACTTTTTAAGTAATCATTACATTATTATTAAATCCTAATATAAGAGGGAACTTCTTTTTAAAAAATAAATCTCCTTCACTATACTCCTGCAGGAGTGAAGAATGCATGGATTTGGGGTGTCTTTCTTCAAAGATCTTGAGATTGGCCAGATCCAGCCTCTGACTACTTGTCTTACCTTTCTACCTGTTGGCAAGAATTAGCTTAAAAAAATGTGGTCACTCAATCCACCACTGTTTGTGGGACATTGCTGTGCATAATTGGCTCTGTGTTTTGCCCACATAATACACAGTCAATCCACTTTACAATATATTCTGTGAAGCGCTTTGAGACGTCTCAACGACGTGATAAGGCGCTATATCAAATGCAAAGATTATTATTACATTTGTCATAGCTATACAAATTTTAATATTTTTAATAGTTTCATTATGATTCTTGCAATTTTCTGTTGAAGATAATTACTGTACTTGAAATAACCTCTGTGCTTCAAAATCCTATTTGTTTCTTTCAAAAATCAGAAAAAAATTTTGTTTTGATTTCCTATTTCTAAAGTTTTTTTTAGAGATTGTTACAGAATAAGTGAAATCCAAAAAAACAGAACTCTACGTCTACTTTTGACTGGTAGATAAATACTATTGAAAATGGTTAACGTGTTCTTTTATTTGCTTAATATTGTTACAGGGACACCTAACCTGGGATGAAACTGACCCTGACCGTGCTGCCACTTTGATGAAACGGTTTAGCAAGGATGATGTTTCTGAAATGGATTTCCAAGCATACTTAGCATCTTCAAGCGAGGAAGATGATGACGAGGAGCTGCAGCAAGGTGAGGACACATCTGACTTCCGAAATCTTAACTCTTGAGAAGTTGGTTTGCCTACAAGTTCCACAGTTATTATACTTTGCAGTATATTCTGTGAAACGCTTTGAGATGTCCTCTTCATGTGAAATACAAGGATTTTTAAATTGTAAATAATATAGTTCATTTCATTACAGTTACCACACATATAATCATTCAAGGACTACAACAGTAATGTGAGAATGCATACTGGTGTATTTTTACTTATATAAGTGATCATCACATCTTTATTTATATAACTTGCTGGTGTGGTGTGAATCTGGAGTATAAATAATTTTGCTTAATTCTATGTATTTTTCAAAGCCTTTATGTCAAATATTATGCAATATATTTGAGAATTTAAGAAAGGATTTTTATTGTTGACTTTTAGATGAAGACATCAAATTTGAAGTAAAAGATAAAAAGACAAAGAAAGATGACGAACAACAGATTTTAAAATACAAAGAGCTACTGAAAACAATACAAGGAAAGGAAGAGAAACCGAAAGACATGGAGATGGAGATTAAATGGGTTCCAGGTAAAACTTCTTTTACCCTTGTGTGCAAGAGTTTTGGATAGCCATGTTCTCTTTCCATAGTTCAATGTGCCACTTGCTTTCACCATTTCCGTTGAGAGATTTTGACTACCATACAAGTATTATTTTTTCTGTTCGAGGGTGAGAAGATAGAACATAGATTTTTTGCAATATATTTTCTGGGAAAAACCAATTTGCTCAAAACTAACCTGATATTAGTGATATTACTCATACAACTTATTTAGTAAAGAAAACAAAATGACAGACAAAACAAACCCAAGAAAAAGACAGAGGCAAAGACATTTACAATAATTATAGATGTACTGACTTAGAATTTGTGCATTAATTCACATTCGTGAAGTGGTGATCTAACTCACAATGTTAGAGGATATGCTTCTCAACATTACAAGTTATTTTCCTTTATTTCACAGATTCTATATTAGCAATTCTGTTTAAACCATATGTTTGTTTGTGCGATACAATTATAAAATGCCAATTGTAAAGTTGCTACTGATGGTTGTGATCTTGGGCACCTTACTTCAGGAAGGACATTAAGACACTGGAAAGGATGCAGAGGAGATTCACGAGAATGATACCAGGAATGGGGAACCTTAGCTATGAGGACAGGCTGGAGAAGTTAGGACTTTTCCCATGAGAGCAGAGAAGGTTACGCGGGTACCTGATAGAGGTCTTCAAGATCATGAAAGGTTTCGACAGGCGAGATAAGGAAAAGCTGTTTCTGCTGGTAGGTGTGTCTGTGACCCGTGGTCACAGTCTTAAGATATCTACCAAAAGAAGCAGAGGGGAGGTTAGAAGAAATTTTTTCACTCAGCGAGTTGTTCGAATTTGGAATGATCTGCCTGAAAGGGTAGTGAAGTCCGATTCGATAACAGCTTTTAAGAGAGAACTGGATAGGTATCTGGGGAAGACGGGTTTGCAGGGTTATGGGGAGAAAGCTGGTGATTGGGGTTAGTGAAAGTGACTTGCTCTGTCAAAGAGCCGGCACAGACTCGATGGGCCGAATGGCCTCCTGTGCCGTAACATTCTATGAACCTTTGAGACTTATCCTATTATGAGTTATTTCTATTTGCATTTTCTTTAACAAGTTTGTAGACTACCCAAATTGGGTCTGACTAAAAAAATCACTCAGATAACCTATTAATGGGTCTATTCAGCTATCTTGCGTTACAGTAAAGGAAATTTGTCAAACTTTGTAGCCCTGTTTATCTTGGCAGTTTGGCTCTGCTGGAACCAAATGTGTTAATGGTGGTATTGCACCACAATTGGCATTCAGGAGAAGTTGGTATTTTGAGCTATGTGCTTAGCTTTCATTTCACTCCCCAGTAAAACCCCTGATCTTCCACTTCCCTTGGTTTATTTACCACATGGTGGCCTGAACCAGAAATGTCAAACGTATTTATAAATACAATTGATGCATCTGTATCTTTGGACTTTTAAATCTGCTTCTGCTTATTTCTGAAGCAATCATTTTAACTGCTTTTTGTTAGCTAATTGTCTCAGCTACGTATTACTATCCCGCTGCTCCTTCTTTCAAGTGAAGATGCAATGATACCTTATAATGCTTTCCATATTGTTTCTCTGAAAAAAGTTTCAGCCAGCAGGTGTCCTCATGTTTGCAAATCTTATTTTATGACTACAAATGGAGTTTCATCTGTTTGTTCAGGCATTCGCAGTTTGCACTGTCTGAAGTTCCTTGCCAAATACATTTAACAGAAACTACAACCACTTTTATTATATCTACATCCACATACAGAGCATGACCCTCAAAGTAGGTGCATCATTGTGACTGCTTTTATTTCCGTTGTTAGGACATTTGTTATTTTATTATTATTATTAGCACGTTCATTTCAATGGTATGAGTAAGCGTGTCCTATGGAGGTAAGACAGTCTGGGAAGGTTTTGAATTTTCTGTTTAACTTACCAAGTGAATTTTCAGCAGTGATTTGATTTTTTGGAGAACTGTGATCAAGGGTCTTGGTGAAGGTTTTGATTAGTCATTTTGATCACCAAATGGTAACTCAACTTTTGTTGGAGCCTCCTAATTACTCTTTGTTAAAGGATGGGAGCTGATTTGATTTTCCTAACTTCTGTATCAAAAATACTTAAAGCCATTTGGATCCCGAGTTTGCTTTGTTGAAGTCAGTTACATTCACCAAATAAATATCTCAACAGAAATCAGGATTGCATTCCATTTAATTTTTGAGCGATGTAAAAAAAAAAACAGTTTGAACTATACTTAAAACAGTTACTTCCGTTGTGGTGTTGCGTTCTACTCTGCTAACTGTGAGGTGTTTGAACAGCATATCAAAAGGATCAGAACAGTGTTTTTTAAATACAAGAAAAAGTTGGCACACACTGGGCACAGTGATTTGATCATTCTCAGAAGCCATTGGATGAAGGAGAAGCACTGTAATCCACTTGATGAAAAACTTCTTCACCATTTAGCAGCGCGTAGTTTATAACAACAACTTGCATTTATATGGCACCTTTCATGTAGGACAATGTCTCTGAGCAGGATCAGACACCGAGCAGGGGAGAAAGGGATATGACCTTAGGTGTGGGCGAAGAGGTAGGTTTCTAAGTCAGGACACAAATCAGCTGGAGAGTAGAGAAGGGATGAGACAGAGCAGTAGAGGGAGGGAGTTCCAGAGGTTAAGTGTGCAGAACTCAAAGTTTAGCCACCGATGAGGCACGAATGTACAAGTCCAAGTTAGTCGAACTGTTGGTGAATTAGGTAAGTGTGGTAAGAGGAGATCTGAGGTAGGGAGGTGCTTTGGAGTGAAGGGATTTGTAGGTGAGATATGCTTGGAGCACAGATTTACTGAGAACCTGAGTTGGCGACCTGGAATTTGTCAATTTCTTAACGCAGGCAGGCAGGTGTCCATGCTAGCTGTTTGTACAGGTTCACAGTCAATCTGTGCTCTTCGCGAGGCACTGCAAGAACAACAACAAATTTATATAGTGCCTTTCACTTTGGGAGGACATCCCAAGACACTGGCAATGAATTTAGGCTGAGGAGCATTGGAGGTCCTCCTGTATTTGCAAACATCACTTTCCAACAGGGTCACTGAACACCAATTAAGAACTGAAATATAACTGATTTTTCCCTTCCATAGCTCTGGACTATGATGCTAGATGTAAATGCAATACCCCCAACACCAGAGAAATGCATCTTAAGAAGTAAAGGGTTTTGAATAAAAAATTGTGGACTCTTACCATTATAGCTGTCAGCAGTATTTCCAGATAACCAAACCATTGAGTAAATCACTTTAAAATCACTGGTTAACTTGGTTGTAATTATTAGTTTCAGCTGGTAAAAATACAATATGATTCATCTTCAGTGTCATTCTGCTGCTTTTAGTATCTACTAGTTAATTGGAAATAGAAATTTGCTCCTTAATAGATTCAAATTTAATGTTTAATGCTTCAGAGCTAGACCACTTAGGGCATTTTCCCAGATTTGAAGCAGTCTTTAATTGTTAAGACTGCAGGAAGTAAAGTGAAGCATTCTGCCAGAGTAGAGAGCTGATAAAAGGTTAAATAGACGATGAAAGTTGTAAGTAAACGGTTCGTTAATCACAGGGTTTGACTTTTCCCTTGTGTGCTGGATCCAACGCACTTTGATCTTTAAATCTGTTCATATAATACATATTCCACATAATGAAAGAAGGCTGTTTGTTGCTGTTTTAATAATCAGGAGACCTAAACTGACCAGTAGCAAAGCGTTTTTCTGCAGTGGTCTAGACATATAGTATAATATGGTGTCATTTTATTTTGCATTTTCATAAGTTTACGTATGTCTATCTAATTAATAAATTATTTACAGATTGCTAACAATATAAAATCTACGTGTATGACACAATAACATTGTTCTTTTATGATTTCAGCCTTTTTTGAGATTTCAACATTTTATGCACTATGTCATCTGCAAGGGTTATTTATTATTATACAGTAATTCAATTTAAACTGGGAATGTTCAATCCTATCCAAATTTTGAATGTTTTGTGTGACTCAAATAGAAAAGAATCTAACTGTGCTTTTTTCTATCCTGTTCCAGGTCTAAAAGAATCAACAGAAGCAATTGTCAAGAAGAAATTGGAGAGAAAGGGTATGACAACACCATGGGAACAGTATTTGCAGAAGATAAAAGAAAAAAAGAAGCAGAAGAGAAAGAACAAAAGAAAACACGAAGATGAGGAGGTAATGTCAACTTTGGTGATTTTTTATGATTTAGAAGCTTCATTTCTTCCTCCCCGCATCCAAGATATGCAATGTAATCCTTTATACATACTTAACTTTCTCATGAATAGCAAATATTGGCTGGTCTCCAAAGACAGCGTTGTTTACTTAGAAACCACATGCCATGCTTAAATAATCCCTTTTAATCTATATTTTGAGTGGTAGTCAGGGCTGTAGTTTAGTAAAGGCATTCTACATATTTGTAATCTTCATGTAACTGCCAGGGTAAACATCATTAAGAACCTTGAATGATTAAAGCAAAATAAACATCTTGTTGATCCACCCAGAAAGATGAAAACTAGCTTTCATCATTGAACTTTAAGCGTAGAAATACTCTTGTATAATTTAACTGTTTCGATTTTTTAAAACCAAATATTAGATTAGTACCCACCATTCATTGCTAATTCATGGGTATGAACATACTGTATTTATTCTTTGGGGAAGCTCTGTTAATTGGTTAAATTATTCTAATTTTCCATGTCCACGATTAACCTATTGAGAATTATGGAAACTTTTCAGTGCAAAAATTAAAACTAGTCAGATTATAATATTTGTTTATTAAAAGTAGGCTACAAACAACAACAACAAAATTACATTTGTATAGCACCTTTCACATCGGGAGGACGTCCCAAGGCACTGGACAGACAGAGTTTCGGACCCAAGCTGGGGGTCGGGGAAGGTGGAGGGCGGTGGGGGAAAGCATGGAGGTCGAAAATACAGTCGAAGAGGAGGGTCTTGAGGTGGGTCTTGAAGGGAGGGGGCGAGGTGGAGGGACTGCGGGATGGAGTTCCAGAGGGTGGAGACAGAGTGGCTGAAGATCCGCCCAACAATAGTGGGGCGAGCGAGGCAGGGGACATAAAGCAGGTTAGGAGGTCGCAGAGGTAGGGGGTGAGCAAGACCATGGAGGGCTTTGAAGGTGAGGACCAGGATACTGAACTGTATCCTCTGTGGGATGGGAAGCCAGTGGAGTCGGACGAGGATGGGTGTGATCGGGTCACAGAGCCTGGTGTGGGAGAGGATACAGGCTGCAGGGTTCTGGATGATCTGCAGCCTGTGGAGGGAGAAGTTGGGGAGGCCGACAAGCAATGAGTTTGCATAATTAAGCCTTGATGTAATAAAAGCACGTATGAGGGTCTCGGCGGCCTGCGGTGTGAGACAGTGTCGGAGCCGGGCAATGTTGCGGAGGTGTGGGACGGCAGAGCGGGTCATGGCACAGATGTGGGGTAGAAAGGATAGTTGAGGGTCAAACCCCAAGGTTCCGGACCGGCTCAGTGAGGTGGAGTTTGCAACCATGGATGGTGATGCTGTCAGCGCCTGAGGTGAGGAGGCGCTGACGGGAGCCAATCAGGAGAGCCTCGGTCTTGTTGATGTACAAATTAAGTCACTTTGGTTCTGTACATTTCTCCCATTGTGCTTCGTAATTCTCTTTTAAGAGTTTGCAGATGTACAAATTTAGAAAATTGAAAACCTACTCATCTGGTTTACCAGAGGGGGAATGAATAGATAAGCAGCCCTTCAATAAAAATGTTAATCAAATTCTAAAAGATTTATAGGAACAGGAGTAGGCCATTCAGCCTCTTCAGCCTGTTCCGCCATTCCATTAGATCATGGCTGATCTGTACCTCAACTTCAATTACCCGTCTTAGCCCCATAAAAAAGGCAAGAGTACATTAGATTTTCATTTGAAGGTGTAAAATGAGAATAGAAATACTTGTGTAAATTCCTGCCCTTGGAACTGTCAAATTGGTTCCATGGGTACTAATCTAATTTTTGGTTTTAATAAGGCCAAACAGTTAATTTATACAAGAAATTTCTTTCATCTTGTCAATATCAAACCTAAAGAGGAAATAATCTGGGAGGTTCACAATTTAAACTTTGGTGGTGGTTCAGATATTTATATTTTGCCTAGTCTTTAGTAAATTTACAAAACTTTATACAATGTACATTTGATTTTTGAACATTTTCGTGCATAATATAGAATAAAAGACATAAAAGCTTCTAAGAAAATGTAATTTTTAATGGTTCAAGGAGTCTAATAAGAATCATGAATGATTCAAACGATTTTATTGCTTAGTAATAATCATCTTCACATTTGATATAGTGCCTTATCACATCAATACAAATGTAATCGTGTTGTTTGAGACGTCTCAAAGCACTTCACAGGAATTACTGAAAAGTGTATTTTGTGGATGAAACGCGGCAGTCATTAGTGTTTTATGAGTAGTGGTACAGGAAAGGAACCAAATTAATCACTGCTGTTAATATGAATAATAATGTTTAATTTTGAAAGTAGAGTATTCTAAATTTACAATAACTTGTACTCATTTTTCTCTTGATTATACAGGTTGGCATGTGAGCATAATTTTAAAACGACCCAATGTCACCTAGTTTATCACACATTTATGCTTGATTTGCACAAAAATGGACCTTCAGAATAGGGTCTTTATTTCCCTTATGAATTTGCCCAGTCAGAATGATCCACAAACATAATAATAATAATCCTTGCATTTAATACAGGTTCTTATCATGTCTTTGACACTGAGCGAAATGCGGCAGCCAATTGCGCACAGCAGTGTCCCACAAACAATTGTGGATTGAAATGACCTATTTATTTATTTATTTATTTGAAGGAATTATTACCCCTGAAAAAGCATTCCGCCAATCGACTGACAACCAGGTTCCTACTTACTGCTAGGTAAACAGAGGTGTGTGGAGTAAGGAAACTTGTCCTATATTTCACCTTGCCGGGAATTGGACCCAGGTCTCTCACTTGTAAGGCGAGTGCTCTAACCACTGAGCTATTATGTGTGTGGTCCAGGAGTTTTACCTTACATATGACGATGAGCCTGATTTCTAAGATGATCAAGTGTTTATATAGACTTTATATTTATTTTTCTTGCTTTTCTAGCTTGATTGTTTTAAAGCGGAAACTTTTCATTTAAAGGTGGAAAGAGAATGGGAAATCGTTGAAAATGTGATCACTGCATCAAATTGCCCATAACTAGGGGTCAAAACGGTTTATGTAATTAAAATTCTTGGCATTATCATGAGTACAGTTCTTTTGAGTTCAGCTGGTGTCCATATTTAGATTTTTGTATTTTAGACTTATCAGAAAACTGTAATTCTAAAGCTTACAGTTTTTTAATTAAAAAAAGGACTTTCTTGTCTTTTCCCCTTTCTCTCCCCAAAGTTCAACTCCATTTCAGAACAATAAAAATTTAGCGAAAGCAGAGTTATCCATTTTTAAAATTATAATACTGTGTACAGGCAAGCTTGACTTGCACAGTGCAATTTTTTGACTGATTGTGGCTAGAGCTAAAGAGTGTGAACTCTTGTTACTTGTTTCTAGTTGTCTTGTGACGGTTGATATGTTTTGGTTGCATATATTGAAGTTTTCATCTTCCTGGCAGCTTAAATTAAGTTTTGTAAAAGTCTAACTTGCAGATTTAATCCATATGAGTATGATTGCATGATCGTTACCTGTCTGGTATACAAATAGTCACGGATATTGATAAACAAGGATATATGGATAAACAAGGATATTGTTAACAGCGTAAGTCACTTTGGCAATTTTTCTTTATGCTGAATCTGGGAGGAAGTATTTTTAACAACAAATAATTTTTATATTTCAGCTCAGGGTGATTAATTTTGTTGAAATACACAGTTTTATAAAAGGAAATTGGAGGCTTTTTAAAATGGTACCATGCTGAGACTTTTTATCGCCATTATCCTCAGTTGTTTGCGCTCCAAGACATCCTCCTGTGTGAAAAGGGCTATATAAATGCAAAATTTTATTCTACAAGTGCCTTTCCATTCTTCTGCACAAGTGTATAGAGATTCTGCCTGGAAAAAAAAGCAGCAATTTGTAACTTGACCAAATGTTATATGTTTTGGTAGGTTATGCAACATTGAAGATACTTTTTAAAAAAAATATTTTGTAAGCATTATGAATCATCAGCAGGACTTGGAGGGGAGAGACTGAAGAGCAGGAATTCTTCCAATTTAGCTCTTCTTAACCTTCTAAGCCAGTAATGCATTTGTTCCTGTTTCTGCAGACCAACCAATTTTCTCTATTACCAACTCATTTACTATGAAAAACAGCAAACGCAGTAATTTTACCCAAATGTCAATGTTGCATAACCTACCAAAACATAAAACATTTGGTCAAGTTACAAATTTAAAATAAGTTAAATAATAATTTAAGCTATTATTTTAAATAATCCTTGCATTTGATAATATCAAATGCAAGAATTACTTTATTATTTTTAAATACTTGTGCTTGTCCTGCAAAATGTTTCCTTTCTGCTTCCACATGCTATTTTTATTCATTTTTTAAAATCTGTCCCACTAAACCTTTTTAAATTGTTTTCAAATTAAAAATTACTATCATTCTTCCCTGTTTTCACTACAATTGTTTAACTGAAAGATGGGAGCAACATATTTTACATGAAGTTAAAATTGACTTGACAGATCAGCTGTATAATAAACGAACAGACGGAACACTGAAGATTAACCGAACTATATGTGTAATGCAAGCATTGTTTTTGACATGGAAATGAATCAAAAATGAGAAATGGAAACAATAATAAATAATAATCCTTGCATTTGATGTAGTGACTTATCACATTGTCATTGAGACGTCTTGAACTCGCAGGATATACTGTAAAGTGGATTAACTGTGTATTTTGTGGGCGAATGAATGAAGCAATGAATGATCATACCTTTTAGCTTCCTTCCTTCCTTCCTCCCCCTCCCCCCCCTCTGGGTACACTAGTTAGGAAGAGTTAGGTATACTCATCAGTAGCAATGCTCAACTCTTATCCTTCCATGAAGAGCTGAGGTTAAAATCCGTCATGCACCATTAGATGCAAACAGGCCACAGAGATGCATTATAATTTAGTGTTTGGTGTTCACTTTTTTNCTGTTTGTTGCATAGGCTAAAGATGCGGAAGGAATAAGTGATGATGAAATTCCATCAGATGTGGATTTGAATGATTCTTTCTTTACAGAAGAACTGAGACAATCCGGTAAGTGAGAAGATTATATTTCACATGTATTTTGAACAGACTCAATTTGAATTGGCAATGGAAACAAAAATGTAAGTGTTAATGTTGTTTGTTTTCTTATAGTTACATTGAGTTAGAAACAATATGGTGAAAATTGCAACGTGTGATCATCACATTATTGGTAAATGCAGTAGAGGCAGTTCTTAACAAGACTATGAATATCTCTGATGCTGTGATCATGGTTGAGTCCAAAGCTGACTTGTGGCTTTGGACCCAACAGTGATAACTGGGTATTCGATTGATAAGCGAATATTCGAATGCCAGTTCTCAGGATATTAGCTTTACTGAGGTTTTTTGAGTTAGACTAGTGACCTACATGCTGGCGATCCAATGGCTGCTTTGAGCCCAAGCATTGTGGCGATGTCGTTGGGGAGGGATGAGTTTGCTTTAGTTCTATCATTGATTGCCTCAGCCAATCAAAGATGAACTAATAATCACACGTCATAAAAAGAGCGCTGTAGCAAACAAGTCATTGAGGTGACTGGAACAACTGATACAATTGAGAATCCTTCAAATAGTTCCGCTTTACTATTGACAATTTCAGTGTTTTATGAAAATATTCCAGGGTTGGAATATTTTAATCATATTTGGCAGGCTGCAGTGGAAAACTCTCTTGAATCTGGGCTCAGTCCAGTTCAAAACTATACAGACCTGTGAACATAGATTAGGATTACCCATTCCAACTTCTGTAACATCAGAGAGATGCAACTGAGCTGTCAGATTTCTGAAAGATTGTACGTTAACAGCATTATGGTTGTTAACGCTGACGTTTATGACTAGAACACAGGAGTTTCTGCACCAGCAGCTCAACATCCTGTATGTATCTTAAAAAGTCAGCACAAAATCAGAATAGTGAAGGTTTGCACCTCACTTCAATCTGTAGATCATGTGATAGATCTGCATGCAGTTATAAATTAAATCTGCTAATGTATTTTTTTTACAAAATATCCAGCTATTGTGCTGTGTTTATATTGGGCCTGCTTTTGACAACATGGTAAACTATAGACAAATTACTATCTATAAACAGTTCTAACATCTTCATATTTTGGCCTATTAACGGATTGCACTCACTTTTTAAACAAATGTATCCCAAACTGAACAAAGAAAAAAAAAGAATATTTAAAGCCAAGAATCTTAATTATTTTTATTTAAAATGTTGATCTTGGTGAATTTGTCTTTAAAACTCTTGCAAGTAAGAATACTGTTCAATGATGAGTCGTTATTGCTTACCCTGGCTTTCCAATAGGCCTCCTGATGCACTGTTACAAACACTCAAGGGGCAATACTGACACTTGAGTGTCACTCAAAGTATCCCCAGCTTTTACATTTGAATTTCTCCTGCTGGGTTTTCATTCTGAGCTGATAAGAAGAATTAATTTGGTGTGCAAATATGTTCACATTAATAAAAGGGGAATTAAAGGGTTAATGCCATTTTTGAGCTTCAGATTGTATTGATGACAATGACACTATTAGATATTTATTCAGTGCATTTCCAGAAAAAAAAACACAATGTTATTTCATGTGTATTGAACATCTGCCCAGATTAGACGTTTCTTATTTTTTTAAATATGTATATGATAACTTCTAATTGTAAATGAAACTTCATTTTAATAGAAAAATTGTGTTTTTCTAATTTGACGTTGCATATTTTTGCTTCTGATTGATAGGGTTGCAGCAAAAGAAATCAAACAAAAACAACAAGAAGTTGACAGAAGAGAAACTGGCACCTAAGGAAGAAGCTGATTTAGAAAAACAGAAGGTTTGAAATCCTCCTAATGTTCAATAAAAAAATTGCATAAATAGATACAGCCGAGATATTGGCAGAATGATGATTTAAGTGGGACTGTAGTGACAAGTTCAACGAGAGTCGAGTTATCAGGAGTTTTCTCGATGCTAATACCTCTTCTGTGCATGTATACTAACATAGAATCAAGACTTGTTACTTGGATTTCAGTCAACACCTTGAAGATTTTTTATGAGTACAAATTGTCTTTAAAAAAGGTGTTTTTTTCCATTTGATACAGCGCCTTATGTCGTTGAGACATCTCAAAGCATTCACAGAATATGCTGTAAAGTGAATTGACTGTATATTTTGTGGGCAAAACGTATACAAGAAAATACACAGAAAAAAATGCATAGAGTATTAGAAAAATAAGTTGTATAGAATTTTGCTTTGATTTTTCATTTCTTTGCTGATTTCTATGCTTTCCTTGCACATGTCTTGCCTATGTGTGTTCTTTTTTTCTTATGACTCCTTTGCATCTGCTAAGGAAGGAACTGGTAGCAATTACCCCATCTGGAGTCTATGTCTGGTCATCTAATTGAAGAAAGGATAATATTGCCCTTGAGAGGGTAGAGAGACAAGTCACCAGGATGATTCCGGATATTATGAATCTTAAAATAAGGAATTTGGGTCTGCCGTCTTTTGCACAGAGACTTTGAGGTGGCCTTAGTGAAGTTGCCAAGATTATGAAGATCGACTAATTCAGTTAAATTGATCAACCTGATGAAAGGTTCAGAAATGTGGGACTTAAAATTAGGAGTAAATGTTGGCAAATGTTTCATACAAAGGATAACAGGCATATGTAGGCAATAAGTTACCAGGCAAGGCTATTAAAGCACAAAATGGTTTGATACACTAGGATGTGTGCCTGGAGAGACAAAGATGGAGGGATATGGTGGAAAAGTGGGTTAAGAGACAGCCTTGTTGGGGCTATTAGATTTTTATTATTCTTAAAATTGTTGTGATGATGATATTCAAAATTGCTTCATATTTTAAACAGCCATTTTAATATTGGTTTGGACAAATCACCACATTAGCAGGGTTTGACAAATAATAGAATCCTAGATATTACAGTACAAACCCTCAACCAGTGGAGCTAATTACTTTAAATCCCAGTCACATATTTTTCCCTTTCAATCCTACTCTTTCCCCTTACTTTTCATCTCAGATCACCATTTCATTTCCCTTAATTCTCGAATCCCTCTCCCCACCGCCACCCAACCCACCTCCCATCTCCTACCGCCCCTGGAAAAAGATCACCCGACACTCCCTCTCCGCTGCCCTGGAAGGTCTGAACTCTTCCCCCTCTAGCCTACCCCCCGCACCGACTTATCCCCCTCGGTCACTCTCCTCCACAACTCCCTCTCCACCATTCTTGTTGCCCTTGCCCCCCCTCACCTCCCAAACCACCTACTTCTCATGCAACTCACCCTGGTACACCAGCCACATCCGCTCACTCACCCATCGCACCTGGCTCGAATCTGATTTAATTATCCACCAGAGGATCTGGATGGACTCTGCCCTCGCCTCCGCTAAATCGTCCTTCTATACCAAGATAATTTTGGAGGCCAAGGACAAACCCAGGTTCAATCTTATCCACTACCAACCCGCTCTTCCTTCCACCCTCTCACACCTTGCCCATCTTCTCCTTCAACTGCGAGGAGATGCTGGATTTCCTTGAGACCAAAATCGAGGGGATCCGTTCAGAATCCTCCACCCTCCCAACTGCCTCGCCCCTCCCCAACTGCCTCCCCTCTCCATCTCTCCCTCATACTCTGGCCCCTCTCCATCCCTCCCTCCACACCTTTGAGCCTGTCTCCCCCTCCTCTTTCACCACCATTATAACAAGCATGAAGCCCATCACCTGCTCCCTCGAACCCATCCCTACCACTCTCCTTACCTCCTAGCTCCCCCTCCTCGCTCCTTTACTCTCAGACCTTGTCAACCTCTCCCTGTCAACTTGCACCATTCCCACCCCCCCTAAAAACAGCTGTCATCACCCCTGTCCTTTTAAAAAAAAAACTTCTTTGGACCCATCCCTGCTCACAAACTACCACTCCATCCAAGTCCTTGAAAGAGTTGTTGCTTCCCAGCTTCACTCCTTCCTGTCATGCCACTCCCTTTACAAACCCCTCCAATCGGGTTTCTGTGCTCCCCACAGCATGGAAACAGCCCGACCAAGGTGACAAATGATATTCTGCCCATCTGTGACCAGGGTTCCTTCTGTCTCCTTGTCCTCCTCACTGCCCCTCCTCTCACCTCAACCTTCAAGGTTCTGTCCTTGAATGGTTCAGATCCTATCTCTCACACCAGCTCCACTTTGTCTCCACGTACAACCTCCTCCAGCCCCCACACCATCTTGTGAGGTGTTCCTAAGGGATCTGTCCTTGGTCCTCTCCTCTTCAACCTGTATATGGTCCGTCTTGGTGACATCATCCCTAGACATGGGGTCAACTTCCACATGTAAACGGATGACACCCAACTCTATCTCTCTTCCTTCACCCTCAACCCCAGGAGCACTGATATCCTGACAGACATCAAATCCTGGATGAGAGCCTACTTTCTGCAGTTAAACGTCAGCAAGACCGAGGCTCTCCGATTGGCTCGCGCCAGCGCCTCCGCACCTCAGGCTTTGGCAGCATCAGCATCCATGGATGCACATTCCATCTTACATAGCCAGTCAGGAGCCTAGACATCTTGTTTGACCCTTAACTCCTTTCTCCCCCACATCTGTGCCATGACCCTCTGTGCCTTCCCCCACCTCCACGACATTGCCTGACTCAGCCACTTCAACACTTCGGCCGTTTTTACTAAAATAGAGAAGGTTGAGAGGAGACCAAAAAGAGGTGTTCAAAATTATGAGGGATTTTGTTTAGTAAATAAGGAGTCCTGTAGCTCAGTGGTTAGAGCACTCGCCTTGCAAGTGAGACACCTGAGTTCAATTCCAAGCAGGCCGAAACCTTGGGCAAATTTCCTTAATCCACGTGCCTAATCCCTCCAAAACAAAACAATAATAAATTGGTCATTTTCAATCCACGACTGTTTGTGGAACACTGCTGTGCGCGATTGGCTGCCGCATTTCACCCGCAAATATAGTCAATTCACTTTATGGTATATTCTGTGAAGCGCTTTGAGACGTCTAAAAGACATGAAAAGCGCTATATCAAATGCAAGGATTATTATTATTAAAGAAACATTTTCACCGGTTTCTCAGTTGCTAAATACAGCAGTGGTGGCCAACCTGTATGGTCAGCCAACAAATAAATTTTCTTGATTGAATATTTCTTAATCAAGAAAAAAATGAAAACACACTACGAATCGAACACGGACTTACCTAGACTCATGCGAATGTTTGGGCACCTGCCCTGCGAGCCACAGGTTGGTCAGCACTGAACTAGAGAGTGTAGTTTTTTTNCTTTAGCCAAAAATACTAAGGAAGGGAGAAGCAAAAAAAATTATACCCAGGGTTTGTAGAACATGGCAACAACAGTGGTTGAAGCAACGTGATATCTTTTAAAAGGGAATTATACAAATATTTGAACAGGAAAAATGTAAAAAGGTATAGGGAAAAAGGCAGAGCTGTGGGACTAATCAGAAAGTTCTTTGGGAGAGCCGGCTTAGGCCAAATAGAGATCTCCTGTGCTGAAAAATTTATTTATTCAAGTGTTATTCAAATTGATGCAAATGATATGACATAAACTCCAGTAACATACGTTGCAATGTATGGAGAACATTAGTATTTGTTTTCTTTGTAAGCAGATTTGCACAAGGCTGAATTATTAAATGCGATTAAACTGACAACATAAAACTTTATTTTATTATTAGGCTGAAATGTCTTTACTGATGATGGATGAAGACGAGGAAGAACGAAAACATTTTAATTATGACAAAATAGTGGAGCATCAGAACCTTGGCAAGATGAAAAAGAAGAAAATAATGAAGAAGCAGGGATATCTAGAAGAGGACAAGTTCCAGGTAATTCCTAAATTATTGCACACCACATCCATTCTGGTGAATGCTTTGCAACCAAGATTTACACTTCAAATATTAATTTGGCAAAACGACTTAAAGTGGAACTAAAGAGAAGTTATATTGCCACACTCTTACTCCTTCGGCTCCCACCATGAGCTCTAGTGCCAGTCAGAATTGTCAACGGCTTTGATAATTAGCGTGTTACTGATGTGAAAGGTGCTATTAAAGCGTAAATTGTATTGCTGGAATTTTTTTAACAATTGGTTTGTACAAAATCAGTTTACCATCAATTGTGATTGATTATATTCAATGGAAGGACTTTATTTGTGCACGTTTCATAAAGTAAAATGCCACATAATACAATCAAAATTACATTTGTATAGCATCTTTCACGTCGTGAGGACGTCCCAAGGCCCTGATATTCTAATAATACATTGGAAGTGACATATGGTCCTACTGAGATTGGATTTATAGTAAAGTGCAAAGATGTACTTCTGGATATTGCTAACAACTGGAATTCTGTACATTAGTATCAACAAGGAAGTTCAGCTATCATTTTATAGTTTGGTCATCTACTCCAAAATAGAAAATTTGTTAAAGCCTATTTGTCTAAACATCTCAAACTCATCTCATGAAATTGGACTCCTTTGGATTTTCTAATTTCTATGAAAGATAATAATTTTGTTGCTGTTGAAGATCTTTGAACATGAAAACATTTTCAAGAGAGTTTGCATCAGTATAACTGCAGTTTTAGGAGTCCAAATGAAGTGAGGTTTTTGTGCCAGCTGACATTAGCAGGTCCAAAATGCCTCAATTTAAAACATTCTTGTTCAGTATTAAAATTTGATTACTATTTGAATGTACAGTTAAGAGAACTCTGTTTTGTATACATTTTATTTGAGGAGAATGATTCAGAGCTATACTTTGCAATGCTCCACAACATACATCATTCAATATAGTGCCATTAGTGTAAATGAGTCATATGTTTATGGTGGTTTTCTGGATTGACATAAAGTTGTGCTTTTAATCAGGTCATAGCTTGATACACATCTGTTTGCTATTTTATAACCGTTTGAACAGGCTGTTTATTCATTCAGTGTCATCAAGTTAAAAGTTTATCCAAATTAAAGAGCATTGTATAATAATGCAAATTAACAGTTTGGAGAGATTTGAAACTAATGTCAATTTACACAACTCTAATTCTTCCTAAATACTGCTAGTGCAACTGGAGAAAAAAGGTAGTAGCAAAGATGTCTGAAATTCAGATGCAGCCCCACATGTTGACTGCAGTGATTTAAGTAGTGGTCAGATCGGGGAGGGGATCCCTTAATATAACACACAAAAAACAAAGTTGGTGATTTTTAAATGAAAAGCATCAGTTGTACTGAGAACAACATCAAATGTCGACCGCATCATTTGCATGCCGTGCTTTGTACAGCCAGTGCCTAATATAAAAGCACTTTTTTTTGCAGTGCCAGGAGATTCCAAATTGACATTGGTCTTAATTTTGATTAATAGGCTTATAAAGGATGAATGTGAATTAAAGTTTTAAGTCAAGCGCTCCATAATAAACGTATAAATTACTTGTTGATTTGAATAGCATAGTTGTACACACAATCCAGTTAAGTTTGTGCAATTCATATGCTTCCGAATTAGAACTAAAAACAGTCGCTTCAGTTTACAATTGTATTTTAAAGTACAAAGAAACCTGAAATCATCACAGATTCAATTTCTACCACAAAATTGCCAAAGTGACCTTAGGTGGACTGTTGGCACGTACATTGGTTTTAATAATACCTTTTCATGTGTTTTAAGGATTTCGTTATCTCTTTGTTGCTAGGTACCCTAAGTAAGATGTTGTCAAGTGTGTTTACTTTCTGTTGGCACTAAGTGCTGTTCTCACTTGCTTTATATGGCAGGAATCATAAGTGGTTTTATGTTGGGTTAGTTAAATGCGCTTCAGAGCTTGCATTTTGTGAAAAAAACATGTTTTGTTTTGTAAACTATGATATGTTTATTTAACAAGTAAATTTCCGTGAACTTGTCAAAATAACAGTGTCTGAAAACTTTGTATGAAAAGTAGTAGTGAACACCAACAAACTGAAATCATTTTGGAAATTTAAATACTTTTTAAGTGTCTTTAGAAAGACACAATTGATTTTAATTTGTCACTGAACGTATAGCACCATAGAAGTTTTTCTTCTGAGCTTAATATTTACATAAAGAAAAAAAAATGTTGTTTTAATAGGGACTTCACTTTAAATGTTTTCCCGTTTGTGGGAAATAAATAGGAAAGTAAGACACAAAACACAAATAGGAAAATTGAATTTGTAAAGCATACGTTTCTTTTCATGAGGATTGTGGTGACCAACTTTGGTAATTTAATATTAAGTAATATATGAACATGTTGACAGACACACAAAAAGCTGTAAAGTAGATTTTAAGATTTATGCTGACAAAACTATATTTTCTGCAGGTGGATGTTGGTGATTCCCGGTTTCAAGCCATGTACACTTCGCACCTGTTCAACCTGGATCCTTCAGATCCTGCATTTAAGAAAACTACTGCCACAAAATCTATTCTAGAGGAAAAATCCAGGCGAAGACAAGAGCAACAAAAGCAGGCAGCATTTATCACAACAAAGGAGTGTGAATTTGTGAGTCCGGACATGCCAGCTGTGAAGAAATCTGTAGACCCTGCACTTTCGATGCTTATAAAATCAGTGAGAGCAAAAACAGAGCAGTTTCATGCCCGAAAGAAACAAAAAGCTGAGTAACAAAATTACAAGTTTAAAACTAAGATGAAATGAACATCAGATTCTTTAAAAATGTCTCATATTTTTGATTGCCTACAGTAAACATTTAATAGCATCACTGGGAACCAAGTTTATAAAATTAATTACTGAAATACTTTGTTTGCTAAATCTAATAAATGTTTGTTTCCTGATTACAAGTTTTTGAGATTGTAAAATAAATGTTTACCAAATCCTTAAGGATTACCATCATCGATATTAACCATAGTGTTGGCGCATGACTAACAGTACATAAAGTTTAATTACTTTTTATGTTCATCTGTGAAAACATGAAGCTTTAAAAAGTTATGAGGTTCAGTTCATCTTCATTATCCTTTTCCTTGTGTTCTTTGATCAGGTGCATTTTGTTCAATGCAACAGTTGACATAATGAGAACGATGCATTTTTTATTAGGAATGGATGCTATATGAAAGCAAATAAAAACTGCTAATCAAGCACACATGTTTTTAATTCGTGAAATAATGAGGAAATCATCTTTTTAAAAGTAGCAAACTAAATCTATCTTCTATACTAATAAAACAACAATGTCTGTCTGTCTGTTTGTGCTTCAAGAAGGATCTCAATAACCAGTTTACCTAGAGTCATGAGGTATACCTCATCAGAACGGGCTTGCGCCTGGGAGTGACATGGGCATATTTGTTTTCAGGTAACTGCTATCTTTCATGAGTTATGACCTAAAATGTATTTCAGTTTTGCATTTTTTTGCTGCAGTTAAACCTGGTCAAAGTGGTGCTGTGGTGTCGTGGGTCACAGAGCACCTACATATGTACGCACGCGCTGCAGTTACAACAGGTGTCCACGCCGGCTGAACATGGCGGTGTGGCATCATGCGTCACAGAGCACTTATGTAGCCAAGCAGCGGGAACAAAATGAACACGGGAAGCTGAGCCGCGGCAACAACAACAAAATTAAATTTTTAAAACGCTGAGTCGTCCCACTGAGCCGTCCCAAAAGGAATCCTCCCACAGAAGTTCCCCCACAGCAGTATAGATAAAAATGAAATGTCTGTCTGTCTGTGTATTAATCTACATTCCATATTGGTTCCTTTTCTTTGCAAGCGAAGCTAGTATTGAATAATACTGTGGCTCGGGTTGTTTACTGGCCAAAACAAAATGAAAAATTTGTTAAGGAAGCAGAAGTGGGTAGTGACAGGGCTGCCCGGACCTCAGACTAGTAGACTGGGTGTTGGGTGATTTCCATCCGATAAATTGGCATTTTTTGTACAATATGGACTGTTCCAACTCACTGAGGTGCAGGAAATGATGTCCCAATGAATTGTCCAAATTCTGCCTTTTATTGGTTAATCTGTGTGTTATTGATGAGGAATTCTGAGGAATTGTGTTGTTGCAGATTTAGGAAAATGTACTGTGACAATGTAACTTGCAGGTGTGTGTATTAAATTATTTAATGAATTTAAATAAGTTTACTCTTTGTGTACCCTATAATTTATTGCTTGAAATATTTCCCAACATCTTGTGCCTTACCTAGTTGATAGGATGAGCTTGAAACATGTTGTCCTATTGCTACCTATTGGAAGTTATGCAAGAACAAACAAACAACAAAATTAGATTTCTGTAGCGCCTTTCATGTCAGGAGAATGTCACAGAGCCACAGATTTTCCATTTGTCCCTCTTCAAATGGGAAGCACCTGGCCTCAGATCAGCATATCCTGGAGTGTCACAATTGAAATCACAGCATGTGGGAAATTTTACGTTAATCCACGACCCTTCATTCTCAGTGCAATATGTTGCGTCACTAGGAAATTCGTCTGCTGTCCTGATTATTTAAATAAAGTTCCATTGTTTCCTGATTTTTTCTGCTTTAATAAAGCTTTTACTGCCGATTGATCTTCAAGATTTAACCATATGCATGTTCTGTGGTAAAACATCTGGAAACATTCTTTAATTTGTTGTCCTCCACATACCATACATAATAATAAATCAAAGTCAGCATAGCTGAGAGGGAATGTTTTCAAGCTGTTCCTTTTAAAAGCACTTTATTTCATCCCATCATATGATTTTTTCTGTGCCCTATATGCCAATCCTCATAAGTCACATTTGCAACTGCTTCTGAACAATCTCTTTGAATGACTGCTATCCCTTTCAACTTCTGAACACCTGTATTAAACTCTAATCTCTGTTTTGCCAGTTCCTGATAACAATTTGTGTCTTCAAGCTAATTACGTTACTCAGGAAAGTTATTCCAGCAACATGTCCAGTCCCTATGTTCATGCACAACTTTATCATGTGAAGTCTGCCACTGATTCCAAGGAACATCAAAAAACAAAAGGCTTAAGGGTGGATCAGAAGAATCAATTGGCAAGTCCTGTACGTTGCCAAATCTGCAGCATCTGTGTGGTGTGCAGTGTGTTCAGTGTATATACTTGAGTTGACCATCGTTATTTTACTGAATGTGATGGTTACTCCTTGAGAGACTGGCCCCTCCCCCCCCCCCCCCCCCCTACAAACAACCATTCAGCAGCTATCCAGATACCACATTGGTATTCTCTCAGAGCATTCTGAGTGGATGGAGCGGACCGGTTGATATGGGGTTAACAGGTAACAGAGATATGAAGGAATACGGACTTGCACCTTCCTATCTGCAGGACGTGGAGAAGGTGAACAACAAAATTACATTTCTATAGCGCCTTTCATGTTGGGAGGATGTCCCAAGGCGCTGGACAATCTGTTTCGTACACAAGCTGGGGATGGGGGAGGGTGGAGGGCAGGGGGGAAAGAGGGTGACTGACGGCACAGTTGATAAGGAGTGTCTTGAGACGGGTCTTGAAGGTGGCAAGGGAGGGGGGTGAGGTGGCGTACTGCGGGTTGGAGAGGAATCGCGCTGACAGCATCAGCATCCAAGGCTGCACTCTCCACCTCTCAAAGCCAATCAGGAACCCCGATGTTCTGTTCGACCCTGAGCTGTCCTTTCTTCCCCACATCCGCGCCACAACTGGCACCGCCTTCCTCCACCTCTGGAACATCGCCAGACTACAGCACTTTCTCACCCCTCACGCTCCTGAAACACTGGTCCACGCCTTTATCACCTCAAGGCTGGACTATGGGAACTCTCTCCTCGCCGGCCTTCCCGGCACCTCCCTCCACACTGCAGGTCATTCAGAACTCTGCAGCTCGTGTACTGTCCCGCACCAGGCTTCGGGAACACATCACTCCCACCCTCGCTCGCCTCCACTGGCTCCCCATCCCCCAGAGGATCGAATTCAAGATCCTCATCCTCACCTACAAGGCCATTCACGGCCTCGCTCCCTCGTACCTCTCTGACCTACTATTCCTCTACTTACCTGCCCGTACCCTCTGTTCCTCTGGCTCCGGTCTGCTCCACATCCCCCGCCCTAACCGCCCTACCATCGGTGGCCGGGCTTTCAGCCTCTCAGCCCCTCGGCTCTGGAACTCTATCCCCAGTGCCTTCGCCGCCTCCTCCCTTTCCTCCTTCAAGGCCGGTCTCAAGACCTTTCTCTTTGACCGTGCCTTCAGCTCCCCTCTCGACTCTCTACCCCTCCTCGCTCCCTCCCTTCCCTCCCCTCACCCTGACCATTTCCCCCCTGCTCGGGTCCCGACCCAACTGTACAGCGCCTTGGGACGTCCTCCCGATGTGAAAGGCGCTCCATAAATGCAATCTTCTTGTTGTTGAAACGGAAGGGATGTTGAGAAGGGGTGGTAATTTGAGAGCAGGGATGGGTCCAGGGAGGGTTTTTTAAGGAGAGGAGTGATGACGGACATTTTTAAAGGGTTGGGAATGGTGCCAGTGGACAGGGATAGGTTTATGATGTTTGTGAGTAGGAGCACTCCTTAAGGAGGTGGAGTTGGGAGGTAAGGAGAGGGGTAGGGATGGGATCGAAGGAGCAGGTGGTCGGTTTCATGTTTTCATGTGTTATAGTCATGGTGAGACAAGATTCAGGTTCAAAGGTGTGGAGAGAGGGATGTGTAGGGGCCAGGGTGTGAGGGGGAGATAGGGAGGGTGTAGTAGTCGGAAGGGCAGAGGCAGCTGAGCGGATCCCCTCAACTTTGGTTTAGCGAAAGTCCAGCATCTCCTCGCAGTTGTCGTTGGAGGAGAGAATGGGCGAGGCGTGAGAGGGTGGGTGGAACAACCGGTTGGTGATGGAGAAGAGGAGCCTGGGGTTGTCTTTGGCTTCCAAGAACAAATGAGATTTGATTGAGACAACTAAATAAATGGTTCTTTAAAAAGAACACCTTTTTTTCCCAGCCTTATTAGGTAGCAATGTATAGAGTATATAATAATCCTATTGAATATACTGAAAGTATAAATTGAGTTTCCTGCTTTATATCACTCCAGTGTTGGGAACAAAGGCAGAGTCTACCCAGGATAATGCACTTTTTTCCTTTGTCCTGGGTCTATGCCTAGGATCCTTATCAAGTATCATTTGGCAGCGTATCTCTTTACGTTGACTTGAAACTTATTATTGAAACTTTGTATCACCTATGTGTGGTTTCAGAAAGAAAGAACTTTACGGTGCCACATCACTAGGCGGTGGCTAAGATTTAGCTGTCAAGCACTGTCACCCCTGTCACCCCGTGCTGTTGGAACATTGGCTTCTTTCAGTAAACAAACAAGGTGGCGTTCAACCTAATTACTGTCTGTAAAGATATACTGGAAATTAGGCAGGAAACATAGTGTTCCTGATATCCAACATTTAGCAGATAACTTGAGTCTGATACCCCGAACAAGAACACAATAAATTTATGCAAGTGGGCAGTACACCAGGAGGTGGTAATCCTGATTTTGTAAGGGTCAGCTCAACTTGTAATAAATCTGTTTCTAGAAAAACAAGGAAAACTCAATTATGTTCCCAGAGCCACAAATACAGGACATTATCTTTTGACAGGTTCCTTAGATAGGGAATATGGGGAACTTATTTTGTTTTCTTCCTTTCCTTTTTATTCCGGTCAAAGAAGGACAAGCTATCTTAAAAATTGTACAAATAGAAACCTCAAAGTTTAATAAGATTTTTTTTAATATTTCATATATTGTGTTATATTACTATGCCACAAACAATAATGATTTAATAATAATAATCCTTGCATTTGATATATTCATAGAATATACTGTAAAGTGAATTGACTGTATATTTGTGAGTAAAACAAGGCAGCCAATTGTGCACAGCAGTGTCCCACAAACAGTTGTGGATTGAAGTGACCAATTTTATTATTGTTTTTTTTCTTGAGGGATTATTATCAGGCGTGTGGAGAAAGGAAACTTGCCCAAGGTTTCACCTTGCCGGGAATTGATCCCAGGTCCCTCGCTTGCAAGGCGAGTGCTCTCACCATTGAGCTACAGGACTCCTATCCACTGAGCTACAGGATTTGCACTTATATATGGCCTTTCATGAAGCCCACTTCAGAGATAATGTGGAAACCTGAGCAGGATAGGAAATAAAGGATAGGAGGGTAGTCACCAAAGTAATGGTCAAAGAGGAATGAAATACAAATTATATTGTACTAATGTGACTAGGATATTCCACTGTGTAATGTAATATAGATAAACTCAAATACAGTAACATGAAGAATGATGGAATGATGGAATGAGTTTATAAAGTCCCGAACCCTTTCCTGATGGAAGTGAGTTCATAGTGCACACAACTGAATGCTCAATTGGTTGTCTTACTCAGAAAGTCCACAAGGGTGGCTGCTGTAGGAAATGGAAATATCACTCTGGTGCTCAGCAGCATCTAATATTAAAGATACTGTGGGACTAATCTCTTCTACCAGCAGCACTGGAGTAGTTTAAATAGTTGGAGTAGTATTCTGACTGTCCAGCGCCTTGGGACGTCATCCCAATGTGAAAGGCACTATACAAATATAATTTATATAGTGCCTTTCAAAGTTATAGTATTTACTCATAATGAACCCAACTTGGGAGTGTTTGGTGCTGACGCTGGATACGGTGTTCAGAACCTAATTTGCATTTTAGTGACAGCAAACTATCATCCTCCTCCCCCCCAAAACCAATTGTCTAAGATGTAAGGTTTTGACAGGTTTCCTCAAAACAGCTTTTCACTCTCTTCTATCGGACTCTTAAACTTGATTTAAAGATCTTTGTAAATGTAAAAATCAAGTCTTTATGCAAATCCTTATAGAAAATCTCTAGCATACGTACAATAAAGTATTGGATATAGTACATAGGTAGTTTGAGACGTATGTGCATGCGACCATGAGGAAGATGGAAGGCAAACTAGATGGACCTTTTTTCGTCTAGCATTTCTTATGTTAAAGATCCATTGATAAAGAGTTCTGCTGACAAAAGGAAATTGATATATGAAGAATGAATAGATATGTTACTGTTTTTTTGGATTTTGAAATGAGATGTCAGAGAGGATCAGATGAATATAATTTATATAGTATTGTATAATACAGGCATGATGGGCCGAATAGCCTCCTTCTGT